GGCAAAAGTACACATTTGAAATGTATAGAATGAGTGAAAAATATTCATTCGCAATTAAGCATTTCGCCACATAAATTTACTCTTGTTTGATCAGATGATTGGATTATTTATCTTGAATATTAATTCAATTAATATTGTTTACATCTTTCACATCTTTCTAAACTCTTTCGAGTCCGTTTAATCTCTTTTTAAGAAATTTGTCTTATTCCCCAGCGAGCACAAAATTCTATGATCTCAAAGTTGAGCTTGAAATTGTTGATTTTTGTGCTATTAATCGCTCAAATTTTAGCCATTCAGTTGCTGCACTAGCGAACGTAGCGGCGATTGTATAGAGCCTTGCAAATCCCTTCAAAAGTGAGAGATTTACACTCTCTCTTAAGTGTTAAAAATACATTTACAACACATTTTTAGGCTAATTTTACTACTATGGCAAGCAAATTTTTCATCAATTTTCTTAGCAATCTTCCGAATTTTCAAAATACTTCTGCTCTTTTTCTGCTAAATATTGTACTCAGTTTTGAGCTTTTTTCTGGTAAAAATTTAGCATGAAAACAGAAAATCCTACTTACAAAAATATTTTTGTGACCTTAAAGGTCAGAGAGAGTTTTATTCAATCACTTTTGAAGGGATTTGCATGGCGCTATTTATACAATTCACTTGAGTGTTGTAATCACGAAGTATATTATTGAAATGGCATTACTTTTACATGGTTTTATATGATGCGACATCTGTGTATTTAAGTGCGCATCAATACTTTGACAGGTCGCCGCTACGTTCGCTAGTGCAGCAACCGAATGGCTGAAATTTGAGCAAATAATAGCAAAAAGATCAACTATTTCAAGCTCAACTTTGAGATCTTAGCATTTTGTGTTCGCTGGGTATTCAGGACAATAACATGATTTAGAAATAAAGTTTGCAAAAGTTTGTTGTACAACATTTTTTATTATGCAATTTTAACGATTTTACATTCTGATAGTTACAATTTTCCGAAAATTGTGTTCTTGAAGGTTAAGCGAGTTCAAGCCGAGGATCGAGCGGGAAAGCGAGCTGATCAGTTGAAGATTCCTCCAATAACATCTTTCAATGCATCGGGCACTGCTTGCACAGTTTGTCCAGTACCTGCGGCTGTACTCTCAATAATTTTTCCGATACCATCTACAGCTTGATTGGCAGCAGCTCCCATATTTTGTACAGCCGCATCTGGATTCGGAAATTTCCCAGGAAGCAATGTAAGATGTTGCGAAAGGACAGAAAAATGTGGAAATAAAATTGCGTGAGTTATCAAAAAATTAAAGATAATTCTAGTTTTGCTAAAAAAAAACAACACGAATTTCGATAATCATAAAATCTTAGTAATGTTTTTAGCGTGTCTTACTTAACTGTCCTGCTGCTTCTTGAAGTCCTCCGTTGAGACTATTCGCTAAAGGTAGAGCTAACGGCAACAGTATCCGTAAAACAGTAGCCAACAAACCTTCTGAAAAGCAAAAATAAATACTGTCAGTTCAAATGTAGTCGCAGATAGAATAAACGAAATAAGATTAAAGAATCATCGGCTTTAAAATTTACATGAAGCCAATGGAAAAAGAAATTCTAACAGAAAAAAATCAATCTTCGTTCTGATTCGCTTAACCCGAGGCTTAACTAAAAAGCTGATCTCACACATATTAGAAGTTATTCTTACCTTCCTCGCTCTCATCGCTGTCATCATCGTCCGTCGCAGTTGCTGTCGTTGGCTGAGCCTCGTCCACGGGTGCAGCTGCAGAAGAATGAGCGCAGAAAAAGGAAAAAAAGGTAAAGTAAACATGACAAGAGAAAATACGATTATTAAATGAAAGTTAATTTGGAAATATAAACGTAAAAAGAAGAAGAAAAAACAAGAATATTCTGAGGAAGCGTGAAGACGATGAGTAAATTGAGCAAAGGATCAGTAGATCTCACCTCCAGAGTCCTGCGCCAAGACGAAGAGCACGGCAATGGCCAAAGTCACGAGGAAGAAACGCATGTTGATTGATTGATTCACTACAACACTTTACTGAAGTCTTCTAGGACGCGAAGCTCAATTTATACCATCCAGAAATCATCCCGGAAAGATGGTTTCATTGTCTCTAACTTGAGTCACATAATTATGAAGAAACGTGTCAGACATTTTGCATCTGTCGCAGAATCAATATTTGAAAATTAGAGGAAAACAATTCATTCACAATTAAGTATTTCGGCGCGAAAATTCGCCCTTGTTTGATCAGATGATTGGATTATTTAATTACGCGTTTAAATTTTAGTGTAATTAGAGTATTTGAACTTTCCACGTGTTTCCACACTCTGTGTTGAATTCATTTGTTGGTAAGAACCTTGAGAAGGACTTTAGTTGTCTTGACACTGGAAACAACAGAGCATCTCAATGTCGAAAAAGGAATTTGCACTTGACAAATTTCGTCCGTGGCCAACCCGCGAAATTCGACCACACATCGCGAGTGTGCATAAAGTCAGAGGCATTGTCAGATATAACAGATCGGACAGCATCAATTTGTACATGGTGAATGTGAGCATGATCACATGCAGATGACAAATGAGATTGACGCGATTGCGCGAGGTGTTCGACCGTATAAAGCCGCTCTTGATTAATAGCCGCTACCGCGAGTGTGACAATGCGTCGGTAGCCAAATATGAATCTTCCCAGCCACCTTAATCTGACAATAAAATCAACAAAAGGAAAGCGCTGAGCACGCACCAAACGGCTCTCAAGTTCAAGAAAACCATAATCACTTTTGTTGCAAAAACCCGCCGCGCGCGCACAGCCAAAAAGACATTGTGTAACACGCTTTGCCATCGTTGATTCACTCCAGATTCACGCCCATCAGTGAATCTCATTTGCTTGTGTTGTAAAAATCCTCACAAAATGACAAATTAAACGGTAATCTCAAATAATTAAGTTATTACAAATCTAATTGCCACGCTACATAAACTCATTTGAATCCCATCTCATTGCATTGTTTCGCCGCGCATTGCGATGACGGCATGGTAAAAAAAAAGAGGCGGCAAAAGAAGTTAAACTACATCACAGCTCTCTTCCCATTCGCAATAAACTGTATAATAATTACTCTGTGGTGCCTTTAATGTAGCAATTTCAGAATTAACTGACATGAAATTTGTAATCACACAGGCATCTAATTATGTTGTTAGCGAAATCTTTCGCTTCACACTCAATAAAGACTGCGGACTTGAAGGAGTTTCCCTGCTCCAGACTGCTCACTTGCAGATTGTAGTGATTTTGACATTCGGAAATTGATTAATTGACCATTGCAATTACAGAATTGCTCATTTGGGAGGTTGTGGAAGATGTTTAAAGGCAAGACGGCCACAAGACAGCGATTTGAAGGACAACTGCTTAAGACACTGGAGCAATTCATTAGCATTATGAGATGGAATAGAGTAGAAATTCAAAAGTGTCCCATGGAATTCCTAGGAAATTCATTAGAGCTTTCCAATGCAGCCAAATTGTTTTGCTCTTAGAAAATCAATTAGGAATCAACAATAATAAAGAATAACATTGTGAGGACAATTTAATTAGAATCCTAAGTAATGTCCTATGGAAATCCAAAGGATTTTCGTAGGAATGTCATCCATTGCCCTCAATCTCTAAATTGCGCCTAGATTTCTCACTCTGCAAACACTCGCAAGCCAATTTTATCACAGACATTCACGAGTAATTCGTGTGAGAGATGAAAAATTGATGTCAGTCTAAGAATGCAAAAATTCATCTCAATGCCAAATACAATCGATTCTCTTTCCAACACTTTGGCCAGTAAATAATGTCTTTCAGCCTAATTGTCCTCAGCTTTGCACAACAATGCCACAAATAAGTGGGAAAGCAGACGCACACGGCGCTGTCGGACGTGCGTCGTGAGTGATTAGGTTGCAGTTCCTGACCTCGTCAAATTTGGCGCCAAATCCAATTTGTGAGTTCCTCAGTGAGTGTCAATTTGTGAGCGGGTGGGATTTAATGAGAGTAAAGTGCCTCTTTTGTCACTGACATCTCATATGAGGGATTCAGGCCCGCGACTTTTAGGGGCCCCCGAAGAATGATGATTGATTATCGTGTCTTCGGTGATCAATTGAAATCATCCCAACATAGATTTAGTTCAATGTTGCGCACCTTCGTTTCTTTTTTTTTCTTTCCTTCCACCTCAACTTTGGCTGCCATCGACAGAGTGGGTAGATCAATTTGAGCGTTTTTACCTTTCTTGATTGATAGACAATTTATTCACTCTGGTGGCCGTTTGACTTTAATTAAATTTACTTGTGTTTCCCATCATCTCTGCGCAGCTTCTCTTTACGCAAGGCTGTTAATCCATTTTCTCTCTCTCTCCTCTAATCCGTCAACACATTTGAGGCATTACGAAAATATTGGAAAACTTCCACTCTGTTCGTGTCAAGTTTAAGATAAAGCATTATTAATGTATGTTTTTCTTTCTGGATCTGCTGTCAATTGTGGAGAAAAAGGTGAGCTTTTGTAATTGTTGCAAAAGGAGGAAAAAAAAAGTGTGAAAGAAGCTCTTATCGTCTCGCCATGCGTTGTGAAATACAATTTTGCTCTAAAGCTCAGACATTTGTGTCGAAGTGCACGCGATCTTCAATACGTCAAAGTCAAAAGTGCTTCAAGACATGCGCAATTGATAATTTTGGATCAGAATGCAAAACTTTTTCCACTCCAAATGACACACTTTCGCGTGAATTTTCGCAATTGCAACTGCAAAATTTGCACTTCTTACATTGTAAATCACGCGGCGCACTTGAAGAAGAGTATCAGTTCACCTGATGCCTTCATCTGAAGATCCAGCGAAGGTGCCTTCCTTTCTATATGTGAAGTGGAATGCATGTCATGCGTAATTATGAGTGATTCGAATTTAAATGGAATTAATTGCTGCAAATTCTCCATGGCGCTGGAAGGTCACATGAAGATGTTGAATTTGATCAGCAATCGAAATTACACGCATTACACGATGTGGAGTGATCTCAACTTGATGACAACTTGTAATCAACATCATCGGGAGTGTGGCAAATGCGAAGAAACCGAAGAACCCGAATTGGACTTGAAGTTCATCATCTGTCCTCCAATTTTCACACCTCCAAGAGGTCAATCCATTAGAGTGAACATCTCAATAGAGCCCAGGATGTGTCAGGCAATGATTTTTCCGCCCACCGCATTATTTCTAAACCTCCTCATAAATCTCAATCGCCCAGACTTGACCAAGAGGCAGTTTTTACGCCGCACAGTGAAAAATTGGCAAACAATTGGCTTAAGATGCAAATTTCAGTCTGGAGCAGAAGAAATGGTCATATTCTCTGCTCCAATATGTTGATGCGCCATTGTTACATTTTTACCACTTCTTCAGTCACTTCTTTGCGCACCATTTTTTCACCCGATGGCGCACAGTTTGAATTCTGTCGACTCGAGCAATTAATCTTGTGGCAATTTGCGCTATAAGTTGCCCAAGTTTATTTTTCAAAATGTACACACACGGGGGATCATGTGTTGCGCTCACAATTGCGAAAGTGTTGATTTTTGCCGGCCAGAGGATGTGCTGTGGCCAATAAGTGCGCACGATGATGGTGCTGATGACCATTCAGTAATGAGAGCGATGCAATCTCCCAAGAGCTCAGCCTAATTTGCATTCCTACTCACTACTTCTTATTTCATATGCCCATCTTCCCAAGCCGCCGCACTTTTTGGCAATACTTTTAATTGTAATGCACAGTTGGAGATGAAATAAGACGCCTTTGATTACAGAAAAAAAGTCTCTCAATTGCCATTATTTGCCGTGGATTCCATCGGAGAAAAACCAATAATGCCACTTTGATTGTGGTTTATTGGAAAAATTGCCTGCTTTACATAACGCGTGAGAAGAACATCAAAATATACACTGACCAGCAGAGGAATACTGTCAATGCTGTGGTAAATTCACGAAGGCAAATTAAAATGAGAAACTGAAAAATACAGGAGAGATTTCACATCTACTGAACCAAATATATGAATGTCAACAAGACACAAGACAGTCAGAACGTTAGTTAAACAATCAACCAACCAAGATAATCTGATCGTCCCTATTCTCCTCCACTTCACTGTGCCAGCAATTTCAATCAGTCTTCATCCACATTCACACGCTAGAAGCCAGTAATAAAATCATCACAGCTGAATAATGATCCCTCGATCACAGGTCGTGTATAAAAATTCCAACAAATCAATATTCAATTAAAGCCGCAGATCAACAGTTTGCATGCGAGAGGAAAATGAAACAGCAAGAAAGCAAGATTGACCATCTGAGATGAACTCTTCGGCGAACACAGTCGAACAAGACACTCTCTCAGTGTGGTTCGGCTGCAGATTCACGCTTATGAGGCATCATTACTGCCTCCGCATGGGATCGCGAGACAAGAGATGCTCGAGACAGAAACAAATGCTCGCGGAGATCAAGACATCGGTTATCGGTAATTGGATGGCCGCATTAACTCCAAATGCGTGCGCTCTTGACCTGGACAAATTATGGATTGTGTGCGCGCGCGCGCAAATTGAACAATTGTCACAAATATGACATTGACCGGAAGTGATTGGGCAGAAGAAGGTCCCTTTTGAAGACACATCTGCCATCATTTTAGGCATAATGATTGGCTTAAGCAATTGTGCAATGCGCGCTGCGGCAATTTGCTATGTGTTGATAAAATGTGTGATTTCGGTGGAGAAACAAATGGATGTGCATGAATGGACAAAAGTCACCTCGTGATCTCATCATGGCGCACCAGATGCGCCAGATTTAAGGCAACGGCGTTGATGGACGATGTTGGGGAAAAATGTGGTGCTTGGCACCGCATGTGAGTGAAGGCAAATGGCTCGGAGCAGTGCTCGAGTTTCATTGTGCGATTGCAGATCGAAGGCCAGAATGAACCACTGCGCGCGATCCTCCTTTGATCGACTTGTGACAATGAGTTACATCGATAAATCATTCCACTCTTTCGCACCAGGCCAAGAGAGGCCCATAAAGAGGCAGCCAAGAAGGCGATGAGTGTTGAAATTGAGATCAACCGACCATCGCCAGATCCCTGGTGATCTCCTCTAATAATTATATCGACACCACCGCATGACATGCCAATCAATTGTGGCGCGCAAAAAGCTCCCTCGAGAATCCTCAAGAGGTCCCAACCTTTACTCTAATTGAAGCACAAGCACTGACTTTGCGCCGATTAGGCCTAAAGGCGCTGCAGCGCCTGTGATTCTCCTGCGAACCACTTTCGTGGTCAACAAATACGCGCACATCTCGCTGGATAATCGCAAGATTCTGCATCCAATGTCAATAACCGTCATTTTCCCGGCCAAACAATGGCCTAACAAAAGACCTTTGGAAAGGGAGAAAAAATGGCACAACAGTGGAAGCTTTAGTGGCTGTTAAGAGAGAGAATCTTGAGTGGCCGCGGCGTGTGCAAAAAGCGCCAAGAGGCAAAGTGATGAATTTAGTAGTCAGATAGATCAAGGGGGAGATAATACAGTCAGAAGTGGTGTACGGCTCAGCAGAGGTACTAAAGAAGTGTGGAAAAACCTACAATATTCCTTCCCTGGATGCTTCTTTCTCTGACAAAAAATAGAGATTCTCTGAATTTCCTTCGATTTTCACACAAAAAACAAACGTAATAATCTTATTTCTAGGTTATGTAACGAATTAATGACAGATTTAGTGAATAATTCACATTTTAGCACATAAATTCTGCTAAATCTTGGCAGAATTAAGCATTTGCAAGCAATTAACAGTGCTTTTTTGCTTAAGAAACACTTCAAATTGTGTTAAGATTTAACATAACCTCAAAAATAGTCGTTTGAACTTGGCAAATGTCCATTTAGACAACTTTCTGGACAATTTTGATTGTGAATCAGCAATTTCAGGATCATTGACAAATCATAAGAGATGTTTTTGTGATCCAGAAAGGTTTTGAACGGAGCATTTGAAGATTTTCTAGTGATATTTTTGAGGTTATGATCAGAAAAGATGTCCAAAAATAGCGGTTTTAAGTCGATTTTTACAGAAACATCGAATGAAACCTCAAGAAATTCATAACAATTTGGGAATCAATGTTGAAATGAATTCGAAAGTGATGTACAGATTCAGGGCATATTATCTCCCCCTTGAGATAGATAATGAAGAGTTGAATAATCTAATAGTAGAGCGCCTGCGCATTTCTCTCAGCGCGCGCGCGTCACCTTCATTCCATCATTGCGAGACCATCGCCGCGCGTCTCTTCCAAATAATTAGACCACCGCGGATAGAAGAGTCTTCGCCGTGCACGGCGTGATGCAATAATCCAGAAAAATGCTAAAATGATCGATGCGAAGTAAAAGCACATGGAGCTCATCAGGTGCACGGCAGAAAATCCTTCCTCCGCAATAAATCGCCGAGGCACGATCATGGCGAGTAATTCACTCTCACTTGCGGTTGTGCCACATTGTCTGCGATATGCAGACGCGCGAGAAGTCGGCCAGAGAGGCGCGCGCTGCCCTCAAAGGGGGTCCGCGGACAGGGCAATAGAGCCATTGATCGTCTGCGCTTCTTGATTTATCTGCTGTCTTATCTGCGATTCGGCGCGCTTCCGGATGACAATCTCCTCATCTCCGCATGACAACCGCCAATTGATTCATCTCGCAGAGATGAGATGTTATCGCTTGATTAGTCAATCAGCCCTTTATTAGGGGTATTATTATCGAATCTCTGGCTTCTTTTGCATCGCATTGAGACAGAATCTCAACTGGTTTGGTTTTAGAAAAATTCTTAGTATTAATTAGATTAATAAATCATCATATTTGCTATGTTATTTCCTCCCAAATACATTCACTTGAATATTACACAAGAGATTCGCAAGAGAATTACTTAAATTTTAAGGCATAAAATGGAAAAATCTATCGAAAATATCGAGAATTCTTTAATTAGTGTTTCATCGTGACTTGAGAATTCAAATGAAAAGAATGGAGAATAAATATTATCACCAGAAAACAAAACTACACAACATTACAACTAAGACGAAATACAATAAAACACTTAAAATTAAACTTCATAGCATTAAAACACAAAGAATGTAAAATAGAAACTGTAGCAGAATTTAACAATAAAGTAAACAAACAATTAACAGAAAAATTCGATGGAATATCAAATAATATAATTTAATAAATTAAAACAACGTAACAAAACAATAGAAACAAATGGAATTTGGGATTATTGTAAATAATAGAGTTGAGCGATAAAATACTGTACATATTTTAAATGAAATAAACTAGTGTAAATATTATTTTTAAATTGATTATTTGCCGATTTTTTTTAATTTAATTTGCCAACTTGATCAACAAAAATCGGTGGAAAATCACGCGCAATTCAAACTGTAACGGCTGCTCAATGCAATCTCATCTACTAAAGAGATTCTTATTGTAATGTCATCACTGTGCATCTGCCTCGAGGGCGTCATTTTCACTCTCCACAAGTGATCTGTCGATGGTGTTCTGTGGCCGGGAAAATTCGTGGCGGCACGGAGATCATTAAGGTTCAGACACCAATCGATCCATTTACTTGCTATAGCAGCGCTAAAAGCACTGGGCAATGGTGTCATTAGCATGATGTAAGGCTCCCATGTTGCGCCTAATCATACACTCTCGTCGTGTGTAAGAGAGTGAATCTTCTTGGCTGGAAAAATCACATTACATCAGACAAAATTTTTGGCGATTCGCCTTTTTATCTATTTTCCCCGATGATCTTGAATGATCGAAAAATCACCCACAGCTCGATCGCATTTTTCAACTTCCACAAAATCCATTTCACAATTGATGGGATTCCATCGCAAAATGCGCGATATCATTCAAGTGCTCAGCAATTGCTGTATTGCCCCACATTGATTATTCGTGATCATCATAAATAAATGACGGATACCTTGCGAGGCGCATATTTCACTGAGAGATGAACTACATGCTCCGCATTGTGTTGGCATTGCGAAATTGTAACATTGCATATTAGCCTAAGGAATGGAGGAACCATCACTTTTCTCGCCACCCAAATTGTCCGACTGATGCTTTTCCTCCCGACGGGCGCCCAAGAAGTCTCGCTCTCTCGAGAGAGCACTAGAGTGTCTTTTTCACTCCCCAGCGCGCGATCAATGAGCGCATCTCATTCTGGCCAATCCGCACATTCACTCCCAAAGCCCGAAGAAGAGACGCTCAAACACCACCTTTTTATGAATGAGATCGGGCCGCAGATTCACGCGGCAGATATATAAATACGGGAGGCTGGAACCTAAGCAAATCATAATACGATCGACCACCAAACAGTTCTCACGTGCAGTGATCCCCGAGTTTAGTCCGCTCTTCTGTGTGTGATCCTCGTTTTGTGATCCCAGTGTTTTTCTATATTTTGTTAAATCATACATCTCTCTTTTCACTTAAACATGAAGGTACGATCATTGATCTTGGAGTTTTGAAAGGCCTCGCGATCTCTTCCGCGAACCAGTGAAAATTAGATGGGAAAATCTGCGTGTTGATTGACAAGAATACATCCAATTATGCCACCCTTCCCATTGTTGGCAAAAACTCACTCTCGCCAGCGCGAGAAGAGTGAAAGACAAAATTCATCTTTTGTGTGCAGCTCTTGTGCGTACGATCGCCTTTGTCAGGTTGCATTTGTATTTCAAAAAAAAAAAAGTCTGGTGTGACATTAATTATGAAGCTAATTGAGAGGTGGTATTTCCTAATCTCCCTCCACCTTTTGGAGATCTCATTCTAATTTACAGCGTGAGATCCATCTCTCTCCGAGATTACACATTTAAATGAATCAGATGGTTTGTGATCACCGTAATTGTTGACATTTTTACGTAATGAAATGCATTGAAAAAAAACCCCCCAAGTCGCTGAATAGGAGAAACTTGTAATCTCCAATTGTACAGATTGTCACACGGATCCGATCATGAGGCTTGATAGCTCTCTTCCCATTGTCATCCGCCATTAAGTGATCGTGGTAATTTATTGTAGATCTTCGCAATTGTGTGCACTCTCTCCTGCCTGGCGTTGGTCAGCGCTGAGCCACCTGCCAACGGCTATCCGCCCAGCAATGCCCTCCAGGCGCCCGGAAATGCCTACTTGCCCCCGTCCACGTCCTACGGCGTGCCGTCCAGCAACAGCCACCAGTACCAGCCGAGGCCCACCAACCAGTATCTGCCGCCCAACGGACACAATGGCCACAACGGACACAACGGACAATCCACCAACGGCTACCACTCCAGCCAGGCTTCCTTCCAGGCTCCCAGCCAGCAGTACGGCGCTCCCAGTCAGCAATACGGAGCCCCAAGCCAGCAGTACGGAGCCCCAAGCCAGCAGTACGGAGCCCCAAGCCAGCAGTACGGAGCCCCAGCCGTGACCAGCGCGGTCTTCAAGCCTAGCAGCACCTACGGCGCTCCCAACGGACACTCCAACGGCGGCAGCAACGGATACAGCAACGGATACTCCAATGGCGGCAGCAACGGATACTCCAACGGAGGATACGAATACAACGTAAGTCCAAAATTTTTTTGACCGGGTCTTGACTGCGTTTCTCTTCGAGATTTTCTCTTTCTTCCATACTTCCAACGCGATTGCATTTTCGATTTTAAAATCTCTGGTTTCTCTTCGAATTCATTGCTCTTTGTTCGATGTTTTTTTCTTCTTAAACCTGAATCTGTTCTTAACTCCTCTGTGTTTCAGGAGCCAGCCAAGTACTCCTTCGAGTACCAGGTTCTGGATTACCCATCTGGCAATGATTTCGGTCACATGGAGTCTCGCGACGGTGACAAGACTGTCGGTCGCTACTACGTCCTCCTCCCCGACGGCAGGAAGCAGGTGGTGACGTACGAGGCCGACGAGAAGGGATACAGGCCCACTGTGACTTACGAGGACACCGGAAATGGCGCCAACGGCGGAAACTACGCCGCCAGCAACGGCTACAACAACAACGGCCAGTTCCACGGCTACTAGAGCTCACCATTGACTTAGTGTAGATCCATTGCAGCATAACGTCATGTATTTATAACCCTGTGCAACTGATGACCATCCCTTTGGCCAGTCCGTCCATCCGCATTCTGTCTCTAGATATTTAAGACGTATAATATTATACTTTTACGATAGGCAACATTTTGATACAAACGTTGACAATTACAGCATCGACCATGGAATACGAGTTTGCAAGCAATATCACCTTCTTAGCTACAAAGACGTCCAATCAATTTTGAGTGGGAAAAAGAAGTTATTAGACGAAAATACTCACAGACGAAATGAGTGTCGCCCACCAATTTGCCCTAATCCGAGTCTGTTCCCAATTGGATCGATTTCCGGATCGCGCACGCGAATTGGATGGTCGTCACTCATTTCTGTTTGGATAAATTTAAATGATATTAAATTAACTAATAACGTAGAAACTGTAGATGATATTGTGTAATTTCTTCTCTCTTTCTTTGTAAATAATAGTAAGTTAAAAAGCATATAGGAAAAAAGGGGGTGAAAAAAGTGCAAGTGTGTTAGAATTGACACAGTAAAAACTGCCATAATTTTGAGAGAAATCATAATGCAACATAAAAAAAACAACAAAAAAAAAAACATTGATCATCGACTTTGTCTAAGAACTCTCTAGCGAAGAAAGAAAAAAAAAAAACAACTCTTGAATTATTGTAAGATTGTATAATTTTTTGTACTCTTTTGTATGATGTATTTAAAGAAATAAAGAATTGTGCATTTTGCAAAGTGAAAAGCAAAAAAAAAAACCGACGATCTTGTCAAATTGTGCGACGCTGTGTTGAATCATCGACGCGAAGTTGAACTGCGAACTGAATTCCAATGCGAGCCCGTGAATTCTGGGGAGACAACAAAAGAACCACCGCGATTACATCATAACATCATGTTTCAGGCCAATGTCAAAGACCTATTAATGCACGGCAGAACGACGAGCGACATGAATTGCCTCGATAATTTGGTCAATCTTCCTCTTCTAGCGCAAAGACACTCACTTTTTCGTCTCTAATGCAATTCCGAGCTCTGCATTGGCTGCACTTCAAGGGGAAGCGCAGCCAATTTAATGCGTATCGCAAGATAAAGTGGCTGAGAAATAGTGCCAAAACGTCGTTTGCAATTGCAATTAAAACTTAGTGGACAATTTGTCTCAGTTTGCATGAATTTATCGACTCAAAAATTCACATGGAGATTCAAATGCTTCTTCTTCTTGAGGCTCAACTTTGAGAACAACATTCCAATATAGGGAAAGGCGGGTTCACAAGTTTGTTGAATAGTGAGCAAGAAATCAAGTCTGAAATTGAGATGCATTTTCTCACCATTTATAGAAGTGTTAAAGATTGGAAATGTTGAAAATTCTTTATCTCTTCTTAATTGTTATCGCCGAAACTCACGAGACTCAGCAGCATTTTTTATCAATTTCCAGAGACGCTTTCGCAGTGAGATTGGGCGTGATTTGATTAGCATAATATCCATGTCCCTGTCACAGAAACACACTCACAAATTTGCGAATAAATCAAATGAAAGACAAATAGTATTTCGGATGCTCTCTGAATATCAAATGGCGTCTCATTGTTGGATATAAAAGATGTCGCCGGCTGAGTGATCGGCAGTTGTGCAGAAGCGCCAAGACAAGTGCAATTAATCGACATCATGAAGGTAGAATTTCGATTGAAGATCGCCTGAGAGTCTTGGCATTAAGGATTTACTCTTTCCTCTCTGTTCAGTTCCTGATTCTGTGCGCCCTCGTCGCCTTGGCCGCGGCCGAAGCTCCTTACGCGCCATCCGGATGGAGGCCTCAGGGGGCGCAGTTCAACCTGCCTAGCAGGCAGTACGGAGCGCCCCAGCAGAGCAGGCAGAACTACGAGGTGGAAGTCACGCGGGAGAACGTCGAGTATGCCGGAACGGTGACTGAGAACCCGGAGAATCCGCCGGCGGACGAGGTGAGACGATCAGAGGCAATGGCTGAAGAGTTGTGCCAATCTGCTGATCAATTTGCAGGAATCCGACGACAGCGTGAGAGTCCAAGGCGTGCCAACGACAAATGCGCCTCGCTTCAATCCGCGAAAGCAGCAATCTCGCCTCCGCGGCCAATTCACGGATCCGCAGGAGTTCGAGGTGGCGCGCAATTTCCAGCCTCAGCCGCAAGGCGCTCAGCAGCAGTTTGGACGCCAGCAAGCCGGCCCACAGCGGGAATACGGCGCGCCCGCGACTCGCCAGCAATCCGAAGAGGATCAGGAGGATGAGGAGCCAAGCGTTGTCGTTGCCAAGGCGGCATCTTCTGGCCAGTACTACGTCCTGTCGCCCGACAACACGCTGCAGCGCGTGATGTTCCTCACCAGGCAGACCGAGGAGGATCGCCGGCGCAACGGATTCACGGCCCAGCTGAGATACAGTCCAGTTCAGCCCATCACGGACCCGGTTTACGTGTACAACGAGCAGGGACAGCTGGTGCGCGTGTTCAACAAGTAAGCAGGGACTCGTGGGCATTTTTTTCGGGGTGGAATTTGCATTCAGTATTGTTAAGTTTCGTCAATTGTTGGATTTTGCACAAATAAAAGAAATATTAACGTATATTTCATTTGAATTTCCTCATGAAACACGCATTTCACGGGTTTCATGTTTCACTGCACAAACGAATCAAGAGTGAAACCCGGAAAGAAACATCCAAGAAGAAAGACAAAAAGCGCCCCAAAGAGACATCTAAAAGCCACCAAATCCAATCCACAAACGGGATATTTATTCATAGAGACGTAAGAAAGCGAATTAGTGTAAGAAATTGTGTAGATTCCTCAATCCATGCGCGTTTTGATGGACTTCGTGGTGATTTTGTCCTTCTCGATTATGTACACCGTGGCGCCCCATCCGGAGATGGCGTCCCTGTCGAAGGCATTCACCATGGACTGCGCGATGACCTCGAACAGCTCGTTGGGCCCCAAATCAGGCTCCCAGAGCGTCTCGCACATGCCGTAGAGCTGCTCGGCGCACGTTCCGGCCACCACGAAGTCGTCCGGCGCATTGGGGCAGCCGATGAGGTCCATGTTGCAGATGAAGGGCTTGCTCGTCTTGGGGTCCAGCCCAGCGATCACGGGCTCAATGAAGTACGGCCCGAAGCGGCGCTCGTACAAGAAACTCGACAGCATCGCGGCGAATCTCGCCGGCGTCATCACGCGATTCTCGCGCACCTCATACAAGTTCTTGCGATACATCAGCTTGTCGCGCACCGTGAGGATGTCCGATTGCAGGCCCACGAGTCCCAGGAACATCTGTGGATTGATCTCGAAGATCTTCTCGAATGTCGTGTCGATGGTTTGAGCCTGGATGCCAAATCGATGATCAGTGGCGATTGCCACGCAATCCTTGCCCTTCATCGCCACCACACAGCCGCCGTTGTACGCGAGGATGGACATTTTCCGCGAAAATCCAGAGGAAACTCAATAAAACACACTCCCGAACAATTCACGATGAATCTGCGTTTTGTTTTTCTGAGGTTATGTCACGCACTGACAAAACATTCCAGCGCGACTTCCAGTCCAGTGCTGCCAACTTTCCAATTTCACTATTCAGCTGTTGGTGTTGTGAAACATCGCAATTGGCGTTTGTAAACAAATTGTTTTCTGTGAAAAATCTTGCTTTTTCCCCAGCAAAAACCGGGAAATTCCTGCAATGTGCGGTCGAACATGCTTGTAAGGATCGTCAGCAAAGATATTTCATTCAGAGAATCAACTGTTAGTCACTTTTTTTCTCACGGTGTTTTGTAGAACTCTCAGTCCCGAAGGCGTTTGTCGAGCCTGTCGCTACGCCCCAAAAGGGGGCAAAGGGGCGAAACAGCAGCCTCTGTGGCGATCAGAGTACAACCAGGGGAAGGCCTACTCTCCGTCCTACAACATCGCGCCCACTGACATGACGCCCGTCCTGGTTTCTCAGCAGCACTTCGAGGAGGACGCCGCGGCGGGAGTGCGCGTCCTGGTGCCCATGATGTGGGGCATCGTGCCGTTCTGGCACAAGGGCGAGTACAACACCCACGGATTGACCACCAACAACTGCCGGCTGGAGAGCCTGATGACGTCCAAGCTGTACAAGCGCTCCTTCACCAGCGGCCAACGCTGCGTGATCGTCTGCGAAGGATTCTACGAGTGGCAGACGACGAAGAAGGCTCGTTCCTCAGAGCGGGACGTGTTCTTCATCCACAGCCCCCAGGCGGAGGGCGTGAAGATCGAGGACAAGTCCACGTGGGAGCCCGAGCAGGTGGATTTGCTGAAGATGGCCGGAATTTACGACGTCTGGAGCAGCAACAGTGGCGACACGCTCTTCAGCTACACCGTCATCACGTTCCAGTCGAACGAGAAGCTCTCCTGGATGCACGATCGCATGCCGGCGATCCTGGACAGTGAGGAGAAGGTGGCAGATTGGCTGGACTTTAAGAGAGTCGGCCCGGAGGACGCTCTGAAGCTGCTGAAGCCCACTGAGAAGATCACATGGCATCAAGTGTCCAAATATGTCAACAGCTCCCGGAACAAGGGTGAGGAGTGCAACAAACCCATCAAGGAGGAGCGCAAGAGTCCGATCAAGAGCAAAATGATGCAATCTTGGCTGGGGAAATCGCAGAAAATCAAGTCGCCGAAGGAAGAAGAATCAGATTCGGGAAGTGAGGCGAAGAAGCCAAAATTGGAAGCTCCAGAGTAATTCTGGTACATCCTGAGCACCACAAGTTCAAGAATACGGGTTATTTTCATCAATTTGCGAATAAAAATTCATGTTTTTAAGGATTTCGCAGCATTTCGTCCTTCCTTTCCAGGATGGCGCAGCGCGCGGGAAAGTATGTTGTCAAAAAAATCTAACCTTACTTTCCAGTCTGTGGGAAAAAGTGCGGAGTAAACGAATGCTTTTCTGGTGTTTTTCGCCCTGAAAATCGTCCATTCAGGTGGAAATTCGACCTAGATTCACCAGTGAGTTGTCTGCAGAGTGATTTCCCACTGGATTTGCTGGAGTAATTTGCGTATTTCCACCAGATTTGGCGCTCCTGGAAATAATGCTGCCCTCCAACCGGGAGTTGAATGGCTATTCGGAGAGTCTCTGCACGTCCAGACTGGAACTTCCCGGAGTGGCTGGCTCTCCGGTGTCTGAGGAGGACGTGTTGGTTGAGCTGGACGAGCCAGCGGATGTGTATCACTTGCTGTCGGACAAGGTGAGGAAGGAGTACGTGACTTACCTGGAGAAGCTTCTGCACTCCAACTACGAGACCTGGATGATCTGCAGCCCGTCGGCGGACGAGCAGAGGCTCAACTGGGAGGACTTGAATCTCTGTGCCAAGACGCTGGAGCTGGAAGCCGTGAAGTCTAGCATGATTGTCAGTCTCTATCGGAAGGCGATGCTGAAGATCATCTCGGAAGTGCGCCTGGAGACGAAAGGGCAGAGATTGATTTCTCGCCTCGCCGAGTGTCACAGTGGCATGAGGACAAAGTGCAATGCGGAGACGCAAACGGAGCAGTTTGAGAGGGATTTCACACTTCCTGGAGAGCTTCCTGATCTGCCAGACACACCATCGCCGCCCAGGAAGAAGCGCAGGAGCGCCAAGAAGCGCCGAAAGACACCACCGCGGCCAGAGGCTGAGGAGACAATGACAAAGGATGAAATTGAGGAGAATCTGGAGAAGCTCTTCGCCACAGAAGCGAACGAGTTGGACATCTTCGAGACTGCCGACGATCCGCACATCAAAGTCGTGCTGTCGGAGACAAATCACCCGCCGGCCGGCGTGCAGTCGCCCCAGCTGATTGTGGAGGAGCAGCAGGACACGCTGAAGGACAGCATTTGGCCGTGCGAGCTGCGGATGCGGCGCAGGAAGCTCTTCCAGATCATGTGCACCGTCGGCGATTCCAGCCTGCGCAGCTACGAGCGCCTGAAGCTGGTGTTCCAGGAGCTCTTCGGCGAGGACAGCGACGACGAGGAGGCGCCGCTCAGTCCGGCCGACGACATGGACGCCGCGACGCTGAGCAGCTGCAGGAAGCGCATCGCACCCCTGATCGTGAAGCAGCTGATGAAGCCCTTCAGCCAGGGCCTGATCGCCAATCGGTGGCTGTTCAAGAAGCTGGCCAAGAGCCTGGCGGACAGCATCGTGCTGGTGAACGACTATCCGGACGAGCGCTTCGTGCGGAACCACATCGACGAGTACTTCGCCATCCATCCCAGAATCGCCGACGCCAGCGACATCGCATGAAGCTCTCTTTCTTTCCCTCTTCCTGCCCACCAAATAAAGCACAAGTCGAACAGGATACAATTTATTGGCATGCAAATCGGCTAGACTTGCTGCTTCTTGTCGCGCCGCTTGCGCTTCTTCTTCCTCTCCGACCCGCTGCCGCCGCCCGCCTGGATCTCCTGCTTCTTCAGGATGCACACGCGGCAGTACCAGTCCTCCGTGGCGTCCGGCGGCACCTGGATGCCCACGCACACCCAGTGATACCACGCGTCGCAGCCGTCGCAGCCGATCATGGGCGTGCCGTCGTCCACGCGTCCGCACGCCGGGCAGATCCACACCTGGTTGCCGTCGGCGTCCTGGAAAGAAGCGACAAAGCAGCGGTGAGAAAGTGGCCAGGAAGTGCACAACACACCGACAATCTCACCCTCATTGAATTATTGATCATCTTCTCTGGAATGAGACTCGTTTCCATCGGCAGATTCAGACCTGCAAAGGAAGAAATTGATTTGATAAAGACAAGATGAACTTCTTCGAGGAGAAAAAGAACCATCAAAGTGTCCGTTCATTTCCATCTGACGAATATAATTCAGTGGAAATGTTTCTCTCCAACCATTGAAGCATTAATACAAGAAGCTATAACTCCATGACGTTCATTGCCCACGAGACAAAAGGACAAAAATAAACAGATTGTAGAAGATGTAAGAAAAAAAAGGGTTCAAAATTCAATTTCAGTGTGTTTTCGAGTTTTCCGCAATAACTTTCACCAGGTTTTTTCCCCTTTCCTAGCAAGTACAAATGCAAATTTCATCACAATCGCGTGAAATTCCAATCTTCTAAGCTTTCAGAAGCCACGCCCCCTCGAAAGCCACGCCCAGCAGAGCCCAAAAGAGCGTCAAACACTCACCAGAGATCAGTCCGGGCGTCGCTGGCGCTACTGACAGTCCTGCGCCGTGTTGCTTGCTGCCACTCCCCTTGGGACGTCCTCTCGCCGGCATGGGCGTCAGTGAGCTCGTGGGACTCTTCATGGCGTCCGTGGGAGACGCCAGAGATGCGCCGAAGCCTTTAGCGCCTGCAAAAGAGGGTAAAGATCGGTGAAAACACGCCTCTTGATGGCGACTTGGCGGCTCTGAGTCTCACTGGAAGAAATGCCCGGAGTCGGCGGCAGGCTGGATCCCGTGGGCGAATGCTGGAAGAATCCGTGGCCAAACGTGGGTGACTTTGGCTTCGGCGGTCGCGTGACCAGAGGCGAAATCTTGGCCAATTCAGGCATTTCTCCTCCTCCGCCTTCAGTCTCACCCGACATCGCGGATTCCCGCTTAATGGGCTTTATCATGCTGCAGAAATACGAGCACAGAGTGAGAAAAGAATCCCGCGGGAAGAGAGAGTCAGAGTGATTTTTATTCCATCTTGTGAGACACACTTCAGGTACGCAATAAAATCAAAGTAATTCACAGGGAAAATGTGTGTGTGTTTGTGATGATGATCGGTTAGTGAGGGTGAAATGAATGGAAAGCCAATTATTTCCCTGACACAAGCCAATGAAAATGACTGCAAGAGAACAGAGAAAAAAAAACACAGGAAAAGGACAACTAAAGCCAATCACCGTCAGCTCACGCGCGCAATACTCACAGTTTCCGACCGCCGTCCGGCGACATGGACTTGGGCGAGTGTCCCAGCTTCAGTGTCAGCTTCGGGATGCCCACCGTCATGCCCTCCTGCTGCTGCTGCTGCTCCATGAAGCCCTCGCGCTCGCGTTCGCGCTTCTTCTCGCGCCTCTCCTTCGCCTTGGCGTCCTTCAGCGCGCGCTTCTCCTCGCGCTTCTTCTCCTTGTCGCGCGTCTTCTCCTTCTTCTCTTTCTTCTTCTTCACCTTCTTCTCCAGCTTGCGCCGCTTCGCCTCCTCCTCATCCTCCTCCGCCGCCGCCGCCGCCGGCTCCACCTTCGGCTCCACGCCCGGCGACGACGCACCCGCGGACATGTTGAGGATCAGCGGCTCCAGCTTCAGCGACTCCGGCACCAGCGGCGCCACGTTGCACTGACTCTTGTCCGGCACCACTTGTGGCGACAGTGGCGCCGGCGACGACGGCGCGCCGGCCGGGATGGCCGTGGTGATGGGCGGGAAGCGCGGCAGCGGCATCAGCGTGAAGGGATTCGGGCCCCGAATGCCGCCCGGCGGGAAGTGCAGCCCGCCCGGCTGCTGCTGCAGCCCGAACGGGTTGCCGAACAGCGACGGCGGCGGAATGAGGCCAGGACTGCTCGAGAAGTTGAACAGGTTGAAGAGATTGTGCGGCCCAGTCGGCCGCGGCGGCTGCTGCGGGAACATCGAGATGGGATTCTTCTGCTCCAGCGGCGCGTGCTGGAAATCCGCGCCACTCTGGCCGGGAAAGTTGAAGTCGAAGCGCATTCTGCAAAATAAGGACACGATTCAGACTCATCAGAAGCCCCGAAAGGAATCTTCCAACTCACGGATTGTCCATCATCGGCTGACTCATGGACATCTTCTGCTTCTTGGACGCTCTCTCCGTCTTCGGCTTCTTCCGCTCCTTCGGCTCCGCAGTCCGGCCGGCGTTGAGTTTCTTCTTCGTCGTCGGCGGCGGCGGCGAGAGCGGCGTCTGTGGAATGACTCTCACGCTCGTGTGCGGCTCCGGCTCCGGCGAGGCGTCCTGCAGCGTGAGATCCACGATCTGCGGCTTCTCCTCCTTCACGCCAGTCACTTTCGTCGATGAGATGCGCTTGAAGATGTTCATCTTCAGCTTGTCCGGCTCGGCGCTGATCTTGCCCTCCACGAACGGCGCCTCGGGCGCCTCCTCCGGCGGCCTCTTCACCGTGGCCAAGTCCATGGGCAGCGGCACGTCGGGCGGCGGCAGCGGCGGCTGCTGGGCCGCTTTCTTGCCGGCGTGCTGCCTCTTGGCCGGCGGCCCGTCCTTCGCCTTGTGGGCGTGCGCCTTGGCCGACCTCTGCCGCGGCCGAGTCTCGCCCGGCGGCTTCCGCTCGGCGCCCTTGCGCCCCTTCACCTTCACGTCGAACTTCTCGGGATTCGCCGAGGCGATGTTCAGCGGCGACGGCGCGGTCAGCAGCGGCGCCGGATCGCCGTCCTTGCTCGGCACGACGCTCGGGAACACCTTCGGCGGCGGTGGTGGCAGCTCGGGACCCACCAGCTGGTGCAGCAGCTCAGCCAAGTCCACCGAGAGCTTCGCGTCCGGCAGCTTTCCGGCGCGCGACGGCGAAATGAAGCCCGACGTGGTCATGATAACGCTGCTGTTCTCCCTCACGGCGCGCCCCATGTCGTCCTCCTGCGCCTGGTTGCTGAATCGCGGCCGCGGCACACCCTGCGGCGCCACGAACTCCGGCTGTGTCTTGGTCTGAGACGTCTGGCGCGGCGACAGAGACACCACGTCGATCTCCCCGTCGCGGCGGGCGTTCTCCTTCTCCGCCTGCTTCGCCTCGTCCTCCTCCTCGGGCAGCATCGGCGGCAGGTACTCGGGAATGTGCACCGGCCGCGTGATGACCTCCTTGCTGCCCGGCTTCAGGAAGTTCAGGTGATTCTCCTTCCTCGCCGGATACTTCGGCACCTTCACGGCGCACTCCTCGGGACTCACATTCCTCACGAACTCCAGAATATCACTGTAGCTCACGCGCCACGAATCCAGAGCCTCCGCCAAGTCATCGAGATTCGGTTCCGTGCGCTGAGCTGAAAAGGCGTCCGGAAGCGCATAACCTCAACCAATCTCTCTTCATTTAGAGCCCGGGAAACTCACCCAATTCCGTGTATCTGTGCGTCTCGTGGCCCAGGGCTTGGATGTAGCGCTTGGCCGTGTCCACGAGGATGTCCAGAGTGCCGGACTGGATGGAATGCCAGCCGATGGTCTGGCAAATCTGCGCCACGACCGTTCGCAGCACTTGATGCGAGTACGCCTCACTCATCCTCTGCCCAGCACTTTTACCACGCAATTAGACACTCTCCCGGGCGATTTTCATGCTTTCCAGCGATAAAAGCTAAGCAGAAGCGGAGAGAAAACCCGAGAAAAACAAATGGAAGCTTGTCACTGAGCGATGACGTCACGAACACACTGCTGCCAACCAAATCGCGTCCAAATCAAAAGGGCGCGAAGAGTCATTCAAAAATGTCCGATAACTTCAGTCCGCTCGTTTTTCCGCCTCTTTCCGTGCCAAATAATAAGTGAAAATCGCAATGGTCTTCCGCCAATTCTTGCAAACTCAAGGACAGAGTGAAAATGCCGTGAATTCAGTGTGTTTAGCGGTAAAATCTATTTTCAACACAAGCAAGCGTGGTGTCTTCGATGGCGTCTAGTCTTCCCGGATGGACTCCAGGGCGTCCAGCAGCGGCAAGTCCTCCCTTTTCTTCTTCCTGTCGCACTTCGGGCACGGCTGCAGCGCATTCAGGCAGCTGTCGTGGAAAACAGCTCCACAGATTTCACACTGCGGAAACGAGAGGAAGAAGAAGTGCGCTGGATGAAGAGTAAAAAACAGAGAATTGGTCAGGAGGAGAGAGAACTTACGCGGAATGTGGTGTCAATGTTGAAGGGATAGAGGACTTTGTGGCTCTTGCACACCTCACAGATGAATCCCTTCTGGCTGCACAGGCGGCAATTGAGGATGTGCTCCTGGCCGAATTGGATTGCCTTCCGCAAGAGGACCTTCAGGCTGCCCTTTGGCACCTGCTGCGTGAGATCGCCGATGGAGTATCGATGGATGTGCTCGTAGAGGTATGTCTTGCCCACCACTTGCTCCTGGAACTTGTCCATTATCTCGCGATTGCACGTGAAGAGATAGGCTCGAATGAAGTTCAGCTGAATCCTGAGCGATTGCAGTTCAGCCATTTCGCTGACTGCTGAGTAAATGCCCGGATTGATGATCTTCATGTCGATGATTGGCTGCAATTGGAACTCAAAGAGGAACTTGGACACCTTCTGACTCACTGGCAAGCGCCTAAAGTCCCAGTTGTGAATCACCTTCGCGGGAATCACGTGAAGATCCTGACTCATGCACGTGTCGCAGAAGTAGTGGCCAGTGAAGGAGCACGCCCTGGACGAAGGGTGAGTGAGGATTAGCGGGAAGAAAACAGGGAAATGTGGGCAACTTACTGTGGCGGTGTGATGCCGATGCCGAAGGGACTGGAGCAGGCCTGGCACATGAAGCCCTGCCTGTCCAGGCCCTTCTCGCGGGCAAGAATGCACGTCTGACTGATCAGGCTCTTGAGTTCCTCAATCTCAAACTTCTCCGTCAGGGAATCGATCATCTCGAAGCTCAGATCCTCGTCACTCTCATGCGACGGCGTCTTCTCCGTGGGCGTCCGGTTGGCATTCGCGGCGTACTGGGCTTCCAGCTGATCCCAGATGTTGGTCAGATCGAAGGTCGTGGCGTAGGTTGTCCGGCCGGCGTGCTTCTCCAGCAGTGTGTTGAAGCTCTGCCGATCGGCGGATGTGGATTGCGTGGAGACAATTGACTGCGATCGGCTGAGATTGCGCGACTGCTCCTTGTCCACCGACGACCAGCCCTCCTTCTGATCCACAGCATTCCCGGACGTCTTCCGCGCCGTGCGCTCCGCCACAATCTCCTCCTCGCCGTCGGACACTTTGCTCATGAGTATGTCGAAGTTCTCGTCGGCCGTCAGGTCAGCGGCTCTGGGATGATTCATTGGGGATGTGGAGAAGATGGAGTTGGAGATGGAATCCTCGTACACCTGATCAATGGACAGTGGCTTCGGCTGCGGCGTCGAGTCCGACGGCGGCGGCGGCGGCGGCGGATCGTCGACGAGAGAGCTGGCCACGTCCACACCAGATGCGATGGGATAGGATTTGAGCGGCGGCGTCCAGATGCCGGCCATCTGCAGTGGCTGATCTGTCCACTGGTTCAGCAGGCTAGAGTTGAATGGCAAGCGGAATCTGATGCAACTCTCCACACCCTCGAGAATCCTCTCGGCCACCTCCAGTCGGTCGCTGTCCTTCAGCAGGGCGTGCCGATTGTAGTAGGGATTGAGGGCGGACGAGTCATTCCGGATGGTCTTGAGGTGTGACGACAGCAGGCCATCGTTGATCAGCAGCCTGATCCACGCGCGACAGTAGCCAATGTCCTTGTTCACCTGCGTCAGCGACTGGATTTGATCGATGAACTGCTTGTGCGTGAAGATCAGCAGAATTGGCCAGAAATTGGGTTCAGGTCGTCTATTGATTTCATTGGCAATCACACTTATTGTCTTCCTCACGAACGATCCCTTGATGCCATGCAGGAAAATCGCCTCGATTGTTGTGCAGAAGGAGTTTGTGCTCTCCGTGAGTTCCAGCAATTCTTCAAACACCATTTCAGAGAGAATGATTTGAGTTCAGAAATTCCTCTTCTTCTGCTTGGCGTACGTGAAAAACTTACCACAATTGTTTTCAGCATATTCAAACTGAATCTCGCGCGCATTCTCCGACAGAGACGCTATCAATGACTGCTTGATAGCAGTCTCTCGACCACTTAAACTATTCCGCACGCCACTAAAAAAGGATTCCATCTGTACAAAAGTATCCAAGACACTTCTTGGATCGATCACAAAACATATTCTCGCGATAGACAAACAATGGCGAAACCAGCTGATTTTGACGCTCTGCGTCGCGCATGCGCATTTGCTCGCAGCATATGCTCTTGAAGCGTACACACCAGGGAAAGTTGGTAGCCTTGACAAACTTCACGTGCCCATTTTGAGGTTATAAACAAACAGAGCGCTTTCCACGCTCATCTTCTTGACTGTCTCCCAGGCAGAATGTCCAAGATATTTGAGTGTCCTGAGTGGGATTGTGAGCCCAAGACAGTGGTGAACTATAATTTCAAGAAGGTGTGCTTGTGCACTTCTAATAAAGTATCAAAAATGATAATTGAATTTCCCATTCCAGAATGTAAACAAAGTGAAGAATGGAAGAGTTTCCAAGGCTCTCAAGTCATCCAAGGGTAAGAAGAAGAGGAAGCACATTCCGGAAGCTTCTCCAGAACCATCATGCAGTGAGCCAGGGCGATTTGTGAAGCTTCACAAGGAGGAATCGCCAAAGGCTGAAGTGGGACTGCGAGAGAGGCTGATTGGGAGTCTCAAGGGTTCCCGCTTTCGCTTCATCAACGAACAGCTGTACACCAGCCAAGGGAAGGACGCGCTGAAGATCTTCGAGGAGGACACCACGGCCTTCAAGGTGTATCACGAGGGTTACAGGCAGCAAGTCGAGCAGTGGCCACTGAATCCACTCGATGTGCTCATTAAGGCCGTCCGGAAGATGCCCAAAGACTACGTGATTGGGGACTTTGGGTGCGGAGAGGCGAGACTGGCGAAGTCTGTGCCCAACAAAGTCTACTCGCTGGACTTGGTGGCGAACAATGCGGACGTGCTGGCCTGCGACATGGCGAACACACCGCTCAAGAGGAACTCCCTGAACGTCGTGGTCTTCTGCCTGTCGCTGATGGGCACCAATCTCAAGGACTTCCTCCTGGAGGCCAACAGAGTCCTCAAGATGGGCGGCGTGCTGAAGATTGCCGAGGTGCAGTCGAGATTCTCGTCAGTGAAGGACTTCATCAAGAGTGTGGAAAAGTGCGGCTTCAAGATGCTGGACAAGGATTTGCGGAAGAACTACTTCTACTTCATGACCTTCAAGAAGAGCGCCAATGTCAGCAATTCCAGCCACTTGGATAACTTCAGCCTGAAGCCGTGCTTGTACAAGAAGCGCTGAACTTTGTCCAAGAGACGCCAAAGTAATGTAATCATTGCTTTATTCAATTATTCTCTAGACTCTCTTGTATAATAAATTGGTGGATACAAGATTTAATCAATTATACAAGGCTGGGGGGGGGGATAAATAGGTGAATAATAGGAAAAAAAGAATAATAATCCAATTAAGTCACATTCAAAAGAATAAACATATAGAGATTGTTGCCCTTGTATAGGAAGTAATATTATTTTGATTTATTAAAATGCGTTAGCCTAATTTTTCGCTCGATTCCCTCTCTCCAAAAGTAAGTTTTAGTGATAGTTCAGCTGCTGAAGGGATGATTTAGGTTCGTTTGTTTTCTTGTGCGTCAATGGTGAAAAGAGAAGAGAAAGTGATGGGCAGTTGATATGATATGGATGTTAGTCGAACACCTAAAGTCTTTAGCATTGCTTCCGTGTGTGTGTTTTGGGCAGAAGGGGCTAAAACGTATAAATTGGTGACTATCTCTAGAAGCATAATGAGGTGATTTGTGGCGCTCCTCGGGTGGTTCTGCGCTTATGTCATGGTGAGAGCTCCGGCGCCCAGGCCGAATCCCACACCCTTGATGCCGTAGTTGCGATTGTAGCAGCCTCGGCAGTAGATTTCGCCATCGGGACCGTCGTTGAGATTGGTGGAGTCGAGACTCTTGCGACAGTCGCAGCACGAGAAGCATCTCCTGTGCCATATTCTGTTCTTGCTGATCATCTGTTCGGCTGCGTACACGGCAAATCCACACCTTCGGCAGCCGCCCTCCTTTCCGGCCTTCGGACCGGTCACGGGCCTGGCTTCCGGACTGCAAAAGGGAAGAGCGCAAGAGTGTTAGTCTCAAAACTGCTCCGCCCAGATTGCATTTAGAGTCGCGCGCGATGTCTGCTCATCAGAATCGTACGAAAATGTAACATAAATTCAACTACAAAAAAAAAGCACTCAAGAGACTCAAGATCTTGGGAGTTTTCATCGGGAATCAGAAACAACAACTTAGCAAAAAGAAAAAAAACCAACAATTGTGAAACGTCTTGCCCCTGAGTTTACCGGTCTGGGTTAGTTACGTTGCCGTCCAACGAGCTAACAACAAGAGATAACGAGTGATTTTGGGTCCACAAGCTGGCGCAAAAGGAGACTAAGAAAGGCGCAGGATACTCACTAGGCCATCGTGGATTCACCGTTGGTGGACACGAGGGTGGGCGAGTGTCCGTAGCCGAAGCCCTTGGGCCCGAACAGCTTGCCGTAGCAGGCCTTGCAGTGGATCTCGCGATCGGGTCCGTCGCAAGCCAGCATCGAGTCGAGCGGACGATGGCATTCGGCGCAGTTGAAGCACTTCTTGTGCCACATTGTGCCCTTGGCGAGCTGCTGCTCCGCCGCGAACACCATGCCGCCGCATCGTGGGCAACCCTGGCCAGCAGGAGCCTTGATGGACGTGGTGTCGGGATTGTAGTAGGGTCTGTTCTGAGAGATCTCCAGCTCACTGCAAAATAAAACCCAGAGAATCAGTCAAATGTTGGCGAAAACGCGCGCGCTGCGATTGCACAACTCACGTGAGTCCGTCCGTTTGCAAGAATCCAGCGCCACTGGCGAATCCGTAGCCATGGGGGCCCCACTTCTTGCCGTAGCACGTCTTGCAGTACACATCGCGATCGGGACCGTCGCAAGCGATGATGGAGTCGAGTGTCTTGGTGCAGTCGCGACACTTGTAGCACTTGCGATGCCACTCGCGCCCCTTCGACAGCACCTGTTCGGCAGCGAAAACTAAGGGAGGAATTGTTAGTCTGGGATTCTATTGGCCAATCTGCAGTTCATCAATAGTAAAATTACTGATTTTCTGAACATTATAATAAGAAATTGACTAAAAATCACACTTTCTAACGAGCAAAATGCCGTAATTTGAATGATAACATGATTCTTCTTAAACCATCAACTTTTCCTCTTATTCTACACTTCATTAAAAATTCTGTGAACGGGATTTGAACCACTATTGTGTGGAAGAAATGAAGAAATTGTACAAAAGCCCTAAATCATTTCTTCTCTTAAGGTAAATGTCTCGAAAATTGAAAGAAATATCGAATTTTTAGCACCAAAAATATTGGTCAAAAATTTCATAAGTGTCTTAAGCCAATTTGCGCTACTGTAGCTCACCGACTCCTCCACAGCGAGGACAGCCTTGGCCAGGAGACGCCTTGATCACGGAAGTGTCAATGACAGTCGTTCGGGGTCCGAGTTCTCTGCAAAAGAGGATGATTGAGATGCGAGTTTTGCGGAAGTTGATCTGGTTGGACTTACCCATTGGCCAGAGAATCGCTCTGGAGGGCTCCGCCTCCTTGGCCGTAGCCGTAGCCCTTGGGGCCGAACTTCTTGGCGTAGCATACTTTGCAGTAGATGTCTTTGTCCGGACCCTCACAGCAGTTCACCGAATCGAGACGCTTCGAACAGTTGCCGCACTTGAAGCACTCCTTGTGCCAGCCCTGAGGAAGATTCGAGTGTCTTAGAGTTGTGATCGGGTGCATTGGGAAGCGTGGCAGTTACCTTTCCGCGCGCCAGCATCTGCTCGGCGGCGTAGACGTAGCCGCCGCATCTGGGACATCCGTGTCCCTCGGGGGCTCTGGCGATCACTCGCGGCTCCAGGCAAGCGCCGTTGCGTATCTCTATTGGGGCGCCACTGTTGGCCAAAAATAGGTGATGGTGTAGAAAGATCTCGTTAGTTGTCTCACGATCTTCTTAAACATCTCAACACACACAAAAACTAATTTGGATTAGAAGAGGCTTGATTGGTGGGGGGAAAAGAAGGAATTTGGTAAACAATTGTGTTGAAAATTCCTTCAAAACGTGATGGTTTTCTTTTATTAGACAGAAGTAAAGAAAAAACACAGCACAGAGAGAGATTTCAGAGATTTCAGGCTCTAGCGTCTCTCTCTCTCTCTGCCAAGAGAAGAGTCTCTTCTCGACATAGAAAAGAAATGGTGTGTTGTAATGATCACAAAAAAAACGAACAAAAATCATCCAGAAAAAAAAACATTCATGGACAAGAAAAAAAAGTCTGTGAAAAAGCTGCAAAGCGTCATGTTTAATTTTGTGTATTGAGAACATTATTTGTTTGTTTGTTTTTTTTTTAAGAGAGTAAAATAAATATGAATAAGAGATGGAATTAAGAGAAAACATTTCATTATTAAGAAATAAAAAAAGGCAAGAAATATCTTGATTTCTCGGGGAGAAGGTAGAAGTCCCTCTCAATATATGTTTTTCATCTGCTAAAACGTGTCATTTTTTTTATTTTCAAAAAGAAAGAAAATAAAACAAAAAATTTCTATACAGCCAAAATGAAAATATATCGCATGATACTAAAAAATATACTAAATAAGAAAAAAGATGTGGATAAATATGATAATTGGTTAAAAAGTAATGATTTGTTCTGAACAACAGCGAAAAAAAATGAATAATAAAATTTCTTTTATAGTACTTTTTGAGGGCTTACTTTCCTTATCCCGCTCATACAATGAAATGTGTTAATTAGAGAAATTTAAAGGAGACTTTAAGACAGGAGAAGATTAGATTTTATCAATTAGGACACAAAATACCTCTGCGTGATTTGAAGCCATGCGAGCAATTTCTCTTAATACAATTTTCTTTGTTTAATATTCACCTTAATTTATCTCTCACCTCAAGATTTTTTTTTTTCTACCATCTTTATCGTCAAATAACTTTTTGCCTCTCTCTCTCTCTTTGTCAGTGGGCGAAAAGGAGGATTTTTTCTTTCTTTCTTCGTCTTCTTCTTTTTATTTATAAAAGAGTGTTTCTCTATTTTTTGTATTGTGTTTATTTTCTCAAAATATTATAACATTACGTTACAATTATTTTACTTCTATATCATTTTTTTTTCTTCTTTCTTTTGTAAAAAAATAAAAATGTTTCCTTTCATTTGAAGTTTTTTTTTCTTCCATGTTTTTCTTTTTCATTTTAGCAAAAATTCCAATTTGATATTTGAGTTGAGATTATCTCGAAAGGCAACAATTATATATTCAAATATTTGTGTATTTCATATTTTTATTTATTTTAAATTCAAATTTGTACAATGAAAATGACAGAAAAAAAAGGTAATTTTGTATGAATTTTTCCACCTTTTCACACACACAAAGTGGATGGAAAAGAGTGGGAAAAATTGTCATTGGCAATTGCTCTGGTAGAAGATAAAAATTTAAATTAAAGAAAAATAAAAACAGAAAATATGCGAGACATCTCAGAATAAGAACACAAATGAAGTTAATTGCTTTTGATATACAAATTTACTGGACTCCGTGTTATAATCTGTTCTTCATGATTTTTAAAATATAGTTCCGACAAAGAGTTGACAACTTTGATGATCTTTTTGCATTTTACATGATTTCGTGGGTTGCAAACGCCTTCATGATTGACGGTTTTTATGGTCCAGAGATAAGTACTGGGTAGAGATTTAGTTGCTGCAGCAGAACAAATAAAGGGAACGTGTCATGCATTTGTTTTTTTTGGTTTTTAACTATTTAATATCAAGTTTATAATTTAATAATTATTCTAAAATATATTTATATACTCAATGGAGAATAATTCCTCTTGAAAAGTCATGTTTTTTAAATATATTTACAAAATCTATGTCTTGTATTTCAACAATTTATCTGAAGAGGAATTATTTGCCATGTTTTGACAAAATGTCGATAAAAAAAATTGTTTTTTTTTCCAAAAAAATCTGCATCTTATATGTACAATCAAAAAAGGATATATTTAGTTATGATCTTTAGAACACGTTTTCAGACTATTTTGACATCTTATGCTCCTCTCAGGGGCCTTTCAGTTAACACTTATCTCTGTCAAGGTGCTTTTTCATCTTCGGATAAATCTGTGTCCTCTAAACAAAAAGCCATAAGGAAGGAGAGAAAAGCCGAGGAAGTTGTTAGGGTGAAAGAAAAATAGTCAAATTAGGCCGAAAACGTGTTGAATTTGATCATTTATTTGAATTAATAAGAGAGAAAATAAAAACGATTTAATGCTAAATTGTGAATTAACAGAATGTCATAATTGCGATGTGATTTTTTTTTTTATTTTAAAAGTGAATAATAACGCAAATAATAAGAGAGATAATGGATAAGGAAAGGCCCCAAGTCTTACAAACTATCACATTTTTTTCTTTTTCTTCTTCAGGAAATGAAGAAAGTGTGCTTATTTTCACAATCTGTCAAAAATTAATTGCTAATTACATAATATGTACAATGATTCGACTCAAGATAAAAAAAAATGTGAGAATAAAAAGGTAGATTGAGACATTATTTATGGGTTTTTTTTTGTCTGAAATGCAGATTTCTGTGACAAAGTCATGCGAAGAAGATTTTCTAAACCATGCGGTTCGTTCTTTGCGGAGAGATGAAAAATTTTATGAATGCCAAAGTGTTGAGGCATTGCGAAAATAGAAACGCGAGTTTTAAAAATAGTGTTAATGCGCTCTTATTCGTCAAGTCATAAAATATCTTATAACACCGGAATATTGCTCTGATTATGTTTTATCTCTCTCTCCTCGCAATTCAGAGGATCACTTTCTCAAGAAAGAACCTATATTTAGTATCACGCGCGCGTGCGTGTCGCCCACACTCACAGTGTGGCTGAGGAATAGGATATCTCTGCAACTCGCCCTCGGGGCGTCTGAGTCACCGCTCAATTTAAGATGAGAGATCCTCAATCTTATGCGCTCTTTGGGTTAATTATCAAAGTGGGCGGTGGTGGGGAGGGGAATCGAGAGATCTTCGTCATAACTTACTCGGTTTGTAAATGGGATCCAGTGTCCATGGAGAGACATCCGGCGCCGCCACCGAAGCCGTATCCCTTGGGTCCGTACTTTCGGGCATGGCAATTCTTGCAGAAGAGCTCCTTTTCGTGTTCTGTGCAGTTTGTTGAGTCCAGAGCCTTGTTGCACATTCCTGCAAGAATGAAATTTGCAATTGCGTCAAGTGTTGCGCGCCATGCACAGGTCAAGGAACTGCCGCCCCAGCGAACACTTACCACATTTGAAGCAGGTCTTGTGGAATTTGTATCCACCGGCAACACGCTCCTCAGCGGCGTACACTGACTTTCCGCACTTTGGGCACTTTGGGTTCTCAACTGGCTTGAAAGGCATCTTGATTTCTCTGATGAGGATCTGCAAAAGGAGGGAGATTTTTCTTCAGTGTGTTGTGTGTGTCAGGAAATGTGCCAAGCATTCGTCCTAGACACGCGCTCTAAAATTAGAGACAAAAATCTCCAACACCGCTCAGGTGTGGCTCCGCACATCATAAACTAAAAATACCCAAAATGTGAGACAAATTGAATAATAACTTTGAAGCATAAAATCATGAAAAGATGCACTGGCAGTGTGAGTGACTCTCAACAGTGGTGGTTTCACTCCTTTGACCGCGCGCTTTGAGAGTTTCCCCGAAGGCGTGGGATATTTTCTTTGGAGTTGTGCCAGCGAGGCATTTCTTGCTATTTTAGGCTGTCCATATTAGGTCACTATGGCTTCGATTACCAGCGCTCCGGACTTTTTTTCTCCTTCTTCTTCTTCTCCGCGCGCGCCTCCATTGCTCACGATAATCGCGCGGGATTGGATTTCAGGCCAAAATGATCGGTTGAGAGTCACTCTCGGGGCTTCATATCTTGGTGGAATTCAATGATTTTCAGTATTTTCACTTTCAATGCCGCAAATAAATTGTGTCACAATTGGAATCCCTGGCACTCTCCTCAAAAGCTCTCCCTAGGCTCTAGGTGCACTCAACTGTTGTTCTTTACCTGGTTCGAAATCGATTAAAAAGGTAATGTGAACTTAAACGAAATGATAACACACGGTCTCCAGTGAATTTGGAATAGGTAGAATGAAGAGATTGTGTAGTCGACGCTGACTATCACTGTATTCGAATGAGTCGGAGGGTGGCTGAGCGCTGGGTAGTCTATGAAGCGGGGTGCACACGGCACGCCTAATATTTTCTTGTCGTGATGATTCAGGAACAACTCGTGCTCGCTCTTCGCGAATGCTGCCGCACTCTTTCATCTCCCCATGTCCAACGGTGTGGCGTGCACCTCGTCATCCCGCTCTTAGAGCGGGTCCGCCCTACAAGACCCCAGGCCGCGCTGTGTGCCACTCGCGGCCGCTTCGCGTGCTTGGAGAAAGGGCAGTGGAGAGACAAAAAGGTAGAGAGGCATTCCTCCGGTGGCGTTCCGCATCTCTGTCGCACGCGCTCTCCTCTCCCACTCGGGAAAACACCGCCGGTGAGCGAGAGAGGTGGCTTTAGGGTCGCGCGGATGAGTCAAAATTGGTTCGCCGTGTGCCCACACAGAAATGCCACTTTTGGCTCATGCGGTGAGAAATGCCTTTTTTCGCATTCATCCCAAAACATTCTTGCCACACACAACAAAGAAAGTGGCGTCAAAAATATCTTTTCTCATTTCCCGAAAAATTTTCCACTTCAATATGACCTTTTTTGCCTCTCTTCAATTTTGCTATGGAATTTTTCTCAATTTTCATTCATCTCCAAAATTAATTGCAGAGTAATTATCGCAAATTCCAAACAAGACACACACGATCAAGTGAGCTGCGAGGCGAAGGACTCTTGGCAGTGTGCTGGCTAAGAGATGATCAACCTTCGCACTCACTAAAAAACCACTCTAAAGTGTGCGATAAAACGAAAAGAGTTTATTTGTTTGCCATTCAAGATGTTAAGAGGCGAAGAAATGTAAAGGGCAATGTGCCCAATAAGCATTCTGGGGCTTCTCAAAGCTTACATTAAACCTCAAGATAATTGAGTGCCTTGGAATTGGTTGGAATAAATTTGCAGAAATCGTCACGTTTGCATTCATTCAAATCCAGAAGAAAATTACAAACGGAGCGACAATTCGTTTAGTGTAGCAAAGCAAGGGGAAGATATTATGCCTGAATTCCGTACACCACTTCCTGACACTTCTACAATTTGTATGGAGAATCCTCAACACTTCCCAGCATTGTTTCCTAAAATCACGATTTTTCTATTTTGGCGCAAGAATTTCTACTTAAAGATATTATTTAGTCTTAAAATCAGTCACATAACCTAGAAAAATATGTAAAAATGCGGACTTGGAGAAAAACTAATGATAAATTCAAAGCTTTAGACCAAATACTGATCTGTACACCACTTTTGGCCAGAATATCTCCCCCTTGCAGCAAAGTTCAAAGGTGTTCCTCATGTAATTTCTCTACAGGAATGACTATTGATAGTCTGTTGGCTCTTTGGCGGCGTGCGAGCGAGTTTGAGCAATTAAAAATCTCCCATTTCATCGTTGGCATTGACTTGCGAAGCCGGCGCGCACTCAGGAAGAAAAATCCGGCGGCCAGGAGAGAGATCAAGGTGTTGAAAGCACCCAAAGACACTCCCTGAAATCTGCCTCGTCGTGGTTTGATTGTTGGACATCGCGACGGTTGAGGTAAAAATAACATTTTGGGACAATTAGTTGAGAGATTCAGGCTCGAGACATCTCACTGAATGCTCTGGTACACATAATTAATAAATTGTGTGTAATATGTGTAATTTCGGCATTGGTGAATCACAGTGCGATGATTTCACGAATTTTCATGAAGGCGAGGATGTTTCGCTTTTCTCGAATGGTCAAAAATGTTGCTCACTCGCGCGCGCGGTTTTCTATAAGCGTGCGAATAGTCTGCAAAAATAGATCAATACACTCTTATTTTTAATACTCCTCCGCGTGAGTTTGTGCGAGAAAATTCTCACTCTTCCCACCCATTATTATTAATTATAATTCATGGATATGTAATTTTTTACGCTCGACATTTCGCCTCTCTTCGTGAACGATGAATTTTCTATGGATAACTCACAAGTTTTGGCGGATTAGTTTGGGACATTTTCGCCTGTAGATAATTAATTAATGCCAGTTTAGACTATAAAATTTAATTTTAGGTTTTTGCAGAGAATACTGCAAGACGGCGAACGGGTTCTAGAATTGCTCATTAGTGTTTAACAAATCGCATATTAACGATCAGGCAATCAATATTACACTTTATGTGACTTTATATGCAATATACAAAATTACCAAAAATTGATTATGACTTGAAATGTAGCCAAAATCAAGACTCCATCGTCAATTCCATTGCATATATTTCCTGCAATCTGAGACACCCTAACATTGACACTTTTCTTTTCCTTTGCATTCATCCGCTAAGCCTTCCCAATGTTTATGCGAAATTGTTTAACCTTCAATTTTCTCTCTCTGCCAAAGCGTTGAATTTCAAGAACACTTCACATTTTGGATTCTTCAACAGATTCTCCAATTTTTCACTGAGTTTCTGCTGAAAGCTTTATTGAATGGCAAAAGGCAGGTTCTTCTAATCCAGAATTGCGCGCTCAACTCGTAAATCTGTGGTGCGTTTTGTCTGTTTTCCTCATGAGATAATAAATATTTCCCAGCCAAATATCCGTAATATTTTTGCAGTAAATCCACTGATATCTGTGTGTCTGTTTGCATCTCACCCAAGGGGAAAATCACTCGCCAGTTGAGACCATTAACTTTAAGATTATTGAATCATTTTTTTTTAATTCTTGTGATCATTACTCAAATTTTGATTATTTCACACAATTTCTGATTATTTGTTCATTATTCAAAATTAGAATATTTTTCAATTTTACTTGGGAAAATAATCATTCTTTGTTTAATTCATTCATAATTTGATTGTTTTGTAATTTTACTTGGAAAATAATCTTTTTTTTTCGTGACTTTACTCAAATAATTGATTATTTGATTAGACAAAAAAAAAGGTTTCCTCAAAAATCGCCTTGTGATTTGCCCCTTGATCTCACCTCAGCAACCCAAGAGCTGTGAGTTTTCCTTTGGCGCGCGCGAACGAGGGAAAAATGCCGAGAAATCATTGGTCTTTCATCACAGTGAAAATAGCTGCGAGCTGTGAGGTGTATTTGGAGGCAAATTCTGAAAATTGTTGATCCATTGGAGATTACCTCAGTGTCTTTTTTTAGCGTCGCGGGCATAAAAGCTCAGCGCGAGCTTCAGCGCTGAGGCACCTTGAGAGCGCGCGCGATGCTTTATGGACGGCACACCGTTCGAAGCATCCTTGCGCCGTGTGAAGATGAAAAGATTGCCTCTCTCTCTCTCCCTCCTTTGCCCACCCACAAAACTCTCTCTGCGATGATCTATTTTGGGGCCATTTAGCTAAATACAGTTGTGCCTTCTTGGAGTTTCTGCCATGTATATAGTGGAGGCATTTTGTTGAGAAATTCACTATAAATTTTCTAGCACATGAGTTGGATATTATTAGAAAGATTGTTATTTTATTTTTTCACATGTTTTCTCCACCATTGCGATGATGTATTTTCATCATCACCACTCTTCTGTGTGTGTGTGTGTTTGTGTGAAAAATGTTGCGAAAAAAAGTCCTTCTGGCTTTCGTCAAAACTTTGTATCGGTTATAATAAGAAAAATTTATTTAATTCTTCGTTTTTGGGTGGTAGAAAAACAACAAAATAAAACAATGATTACATTCTCTTACATTTTTTCTTCCCCAAGTTCTTCTTTTTTCTCCTTTTTACTTCTTCTTCCTCCGGTTTTGACTCCCCAAAAAAAATTCCTATACACAATTTATTTCGTAGAAAATTCACATAATAATTATAATTTATTACCCATTTGGCGAGAGTAATGATTTACATCATCTCCTTTATGGTATCCATCTATAAATAGCGTTGTGGGCATTGCGAAGTGCGTTGGAAAAGATACAATGAAAAGCATTCCTTTGCGATGTGAAATTGATGAGGAATCGTCGTTTCTACTTTCCAAGCAGAATCTTGCGTGAGGCGCCAATGTTCTGGCCAGCCTGCGAGGCTCCCTTGTTCTGGCCGGCCTGGAGGCCAACGATGCCCTCGCCGGCGCGCAGCTGCTCGTCCGTGAAGTCGCGCTTGCACTCATCGGCTGGCTTGGGGCCGAGGTAGGGACCGCCGAATTCGGCGTGCTTCCAGCACTGCAAAGAGAGTCAAACTCTGAGTCCTCCAGAGAGAGAGAGACAAAGAAACCTCGATTGTCACACTTACGGCACGTCCGAGAGCGAAGAGGGTGTTGGTGACCTGAGAGATGTCCTTCTTCTCCCACAGATCCACCGTCTGGAAGACATCGATATCAGGTACACCGTAATCTTTGAGGGCTTTCTGGAAGTTGTTGATGTTCTCCATCATCTTGAACTGGCCGCCGCTCTCGTTGATCTTGGGCACAGAGTTGGGCTGGAGTTTGTTCATCAGGCGACACAGGACTGTGCCGTCCTTCAGGACATCCTCGTACAGACTGCCAGCGGGGAATTTCGCCCCCAAGAGAGTCTCAATCCACTCCTGCGCCTCCTTGTCCTTCGTGGCATCGCGCTTTCCCGCGATCTATCAATCAGCGCGTGAAGAGAAGATAGAAGATCGTTACTTGGCATTGCCTCACTTTGTTTATCTGTCTTGAAACTGCACTAATGGTAGCTCTCCTCCCCCCGGTCGCCCACCCACCGAGTGGAGATGGACGAGCAGGTGGGCCGAGGCAATTAGGAAAATAAACTTACCTTGGCTCGCACTTGACGCTCAAGAGACATTGTGGGTGGGATTGGCTTTGTTGTGTTTGTGGCGAAAAGGAAAACTCTCTTGTCTCAGACGCTTCACTCCTCCGCTGAGGTTGTACCCCGATTGGATAGAGAACACTAACTGATCCTCAAGTTTCGTTCGCTATATGCTTTTATAGACTCCAAACGTGTGAAATCCAAACGACGTCGAATATTCGGGAATGAATATTTTTCAACCGACACCACACACACAAAGTGAGGGCGCCTTGTCACGAACAGTGCGACGCAGAATGTCCACATGATCACGCACGATGAGAGAGATATTTGAAGCCAGCAAGGTAATTCTCAAGGTAATTTTTCATAACCTCAAAAATATCACTAGAAAATCTTCAAACGCTCCGTTCGAAAGCTTTCTGGGTCACAAAAACATCTCTTATAATTTGCCAATGATCCTAACATTGCTGATTCACAGTCAAAATTGTCCAGGAAATTATCTAAATGGACATTTTCCAAGGCCAAATGACTATTTTTGAGGTTATGTTTAATCTTAACACAATTTGAAGTGTTTCTTATACATAAAAGCATTGTAAATTGCTTGAAAATGCTTAATTCTGCCAAGAATTAGCAGAATTTATGTGCTAGAATGTGAATTATTCACTAAATCTGTCATTAATTCGTTACATAACCTAGAAATAAGATTATTACGTTTGTTTTTTGCGTGAAAATCGAAGGAAATTCAGAGAATCTGGATGATTTATCGGAAAAAGAAGCACGAAGGAAAGAAATATTGTAGGTTTTTCAACACTTCCACTTCTTTAGTACCTCTGCTGAGCCGTACATCACTTCTGGACTGTATTATCACCCCCTTGGAGTGAAACTTCTGCACATTTTGCTCCTCACTGTGCCACCAGTTCAGTATGATGAGGATGTCGTTTTCCTGTGTGTACATGGAGTCGCTTGGCCACCGTGTCTTCGTGTGTGCACACGAAGGAGAGAAACTTCTATTCCCAACTGCTAAAATCATCGTGGAAATATGTACATAGTTGAGTGAGAAGTTTTCATTTTAAATTTAGCGCCAATACAGCGCTTGAGACACCCTCTCCGCCCCCACGAGCACACCACCCACACCAGAGCCCAGAGGACTCCCAGTGGCACTCCCGGCACCTCCTGATCCTGAGGACAATCCAGGGAATTCTCATCGTGCTTTTCTGCCTTTCAAGCTTTTTGTTTTTTTATTTCACGAAATAATCCTCAATATGACTATGATTTTTCTCTTCATTTTCCACCATCATTCTCATTACATTCTACAATATTCTTATCTCACCTTTCACGCTCTTTCTCTCTCACTTATTGCATAATTTACAATTAAAACATGGAGCCTTGGCGGACTCTCATTGACTGCCTAATTGGGTGTCTCTTAACATGGATGTCTTTTGTGGTTGGCCAAAGAAAATATATACTTTCACACTTTCTGGGGGAATTTATTTGAAATCTGTTGCTTTCGACTAAGTGGAGAAACTGAGTATCTCTCTATAGTGTTGTGTGTGGCATGAAAAAAAAAACAGTGATCTACGACGCAAATGTTGGATGAGGAGGGCAACAAAACATCTAATCTTCGCTATTTTTACAACCATATTTTATACAAATTGGCAAAAATAATTTATACCACTTCTTTCTCTCGTATATGGACTCTCTGGTCACCTCTCCTCCCCTCACCTAAATATATATGGTATATATATGATTTTCCGTATACAGATGTGTTCAGTAGACTATACACACTTCGATTCTCTGCGCTTCGGCGAAAAAAAAAAGACATTCGTATCTCATTGAAATTCACATGTGATAACTTCTTGGCTCCCGCGGGACTGGACGAAGACTCTGTCTTGCATTTCGGGGGGGGGGGTGGTTGTGGCTCGGTTCTCAGCCCTAGAAGAGGTGATTGGCCGTGCTGGACTTGTTCAGGCTGCCCAGAGGGTCCAGCAGGTAGCCGGCGCTCCCTCCGGCGCTCAGGAGGGACGAGAAGGGCGACGCCAGGGCCGCGGCGGCCACGGCCGCGTGATGGTGCGACGTGTGATGATGGTTCTGAAGGCCACTTCCCAGACTCGACGCCGTCGTGGGTGACTTCCCCAGTTGCTGCTGCTGATGGTGCTGCAGCAGCGAGTTGCACGATCCTGTCCACTTGTTGTTGTTGGACGTGAGATCATCTGTGATTTTCCCTAAGGGAGACACAGAGAAAGACACGTGAGGACAAGAAGAAGCAAGACAATCACATCTCAGATGCTATCAAGGCGAAATCTTCAAAAGGACGAGGAAAAGACATGCAGAACAGCGTGTAGAGCGTGAAGAAAGCTTCTCAAGCCGCGCCTCATCGTCTCGTGAATCTTTGTGAATCAGCCACAAAAAAAAGTCCCTCTTGCAAGCTTATTTAGGCAATATCGCTCAATAAACAACACGCCAGAGTCCCACATTTTCCGTTGGCGCGCGAGAATGTGAAAAATGCGAAGAGAGGACGGAAAAAACGAGAGTCTCTTTCAACTCTTGCAACTAGTGGCACACGAATTTTATTTATAAATCCTGCATCACACAATATTGAATTTGTCAGGAGATCGAAATATGATGAGCAATTTATAAATAAAAGTGAAGGGGAGGACGAAACTCCAAGTGGAGAAATTGCCAGTGATAAATAGGACTATAGTTTTGCAACCCCCCACGCAAAAGCACCTCATGACCACCCCACAGACTTTTTTTTTGTTCTTCTTCGATTGCCATTATTTATCGCTCCTGGCAGTTCCAGTAGAAGTTTCATATTTGTTTTTGATTGAGGTCCGCACAAATTAATGCAGTTGTGGTGGAGAGATTTATGAAAGTACGTCGAGAATTGTTTTCTTTTCTCTCTCTCTTCATCCTGTGTTATGGAGCTTCTGCACGATAGGCCATAAATTTGCTCACACTTGGATTTCTTATGGATTTCTGTGGGGAAAAGTGGGAAGAAGGGATTTTCTGATATGTGATTTTTATCCATAAAACACTACAAATAATGTAGATAAAGAAAAAACCTAGTTTTTCACATAAGAAATGTAAATGTGAGCTGTTAAAAATAATAATCATTCGTAAAAAAGGTGTTGCAAGATTACGATTCATAACTTTTACGAGATCTGAAAGGTTGCAAATGTTGACTCCTGAAGTTAAAATTCATATATTTCATCACGTAAAGACAAGATAAGCCCGAAAATTCACGTGAAAATCAAGGAAAAAGACAATAATTATGTTTTTAGGTTGATTAGGAAAGATTTATTGTATTTTTTCTGGCCATTTGTACAGATTTCAATACACCAGATTGAGGTTATGTGTTTCCGGACATCCTTAAACCATTTTTCAGGAAAATAATTATAGTATTTTAGTAAAATGTGAAGGGAAATGACCAGAAACTGGGCGCAAATCTTGTATTTTTCAGTTGCTCAAAAATAGTCACAATAAAATGGCTTTTTAACAGCTGAAATTCATATTTAATAAATCCAAACTTCGCCTTACAACGTCTTCTCGTTTGCAGTTCATTTGTACTTTACACTAGCGCCGCCAGGCGGCCGTCAATATAAGCTATGAAAATGTAAAGTTTCAACATCAAATTGATAGCTTTTACGAATTGAAATACTAAATCCGTAATGTTGCAACGACGCCATCTAATATATATTTATCTTCAAATCAATTACGCTGCATGTTAAACAAGAAAAACTCAAGACAACATGACTTCTTCAGTTGGTTGGCACGTAATTGCTGTGCAACTATTGCAAGCAAATTGTATGCTTATCGTCGGCTTACCATTAATGGGCTTGATGTCGGTGGACTGATGCGATGACGAGTTGGAGTTGGGCGTGGTGGACACTGTGGAGATGGGCGAGCCTGCTTTGAGGTCCTTGGGTGTTGTGGCGCCCCCGGGATTCGCCTTGATCTCCGCCTTGACCGATGCATCCGAGGCGCTGCTGGGATTGTTCGATGTGACCTTTTGCTGTGCTATTCTCTCCTGTTTCCGAAATTTGGCTCGACGATTCTGAAACCACACCTTGATGGTGGAAGAGACACAGAAATAGCCTAGCATGAGTTGTGCGTGGGGATGGTCATTTTTCCTCATCATCAATGTAAAACTCTGGGGAATCTCATGAATCTGTTGACAAGGTGATTCTTAAAGGCTCGTGTCAGTTGGGAATAAAAGTGTATATGTGCGCGATTTCTTCCCCACTGCGTGGGCGCCCATAATTCTCGCGACAATATTCTTGTATTAAGAATAGCGTCACTGATTCATTTTTGTGGCTTGTTGAGTCTAATTCTCTTCACTCTCTCTCGCTAGTCAGACAATTAATATAGGATTAAAAGTCCACAAATGTGTTTTATGTGTCTCTAAGAATAGATTTTCTCAATTGACGGACTTTTTTTCACACACTTTCGCTCTTCTTCTCCTCCTTCTCCTTTGCCGCGCGCGTGACTCAAGACGAAAAGTGCGTCACATGTTTCTCTTTGTTTGATTCTCTCTCTCTTCTGGTCGCCAAAACCCGAAAAACTATTTGTCCATATTGTGACGCCTTTTGCCCAAAAAGATTCCTGAGAGAGAGAGAGCGAGAATAAGGAGTAAAATAAATGTTGGTCTTTCAGCTCTGTGCCAATTTATTGACTTGGTCTTGTTTTCCAGGCAAGTGCCTCTCACGACAGTTGTGCTGGAAAATCTTTCCACACAACCGCCGAAGGGTGGCTTGTTCATCATCCACTCTCTCACCCTTCTTCTCGAGCATCCACTCTTGGCTTCTGCATTGTATCAATATTTAGTTAACTATTCGCTCTTTTCATTCCCACCCAATCGTTTCCAAAGGCGCACCCTTCCACCCCTCGGACGCTCAACACTTTCACCCAGCGTGAACGCAGCGGTGCCGAAGCGAAAATAAACACACTTGCGACTCAGGGGTTAGTTGACGGTCTGTCGTGTTGAATTCTCCGGGCAAACAACTATCTAAATTCCGTGTCACACTTGCAATTAGCCCAATACACCGCGCGTCACGCCAGTTCATGGCAATCAATCTGCGGAATGTTCATCGTGTATTCGGGAATATTTGAGAAATGCCGTCGCCAAGAGGATTTCGCATGAAATATTTACAATTCAATTGATATAAATAGGTTTTTGGGTAATTGTTTACATTACAAAGACCATTTGGGGATGAGAAATGGGAGTGTTTTGGTCTTAATTCCACAGTTTTGCAATTAGTCTTGGTGTGGAGTTATGATGTCGCCAGAAAGCAGAAATAATTCGGTTTTCAGTATCTTCTTTTTGAGGTATTAAGAGATGAATTATGCCTTTGACTAAAGACTCTCAATTACGCCAGGATTGATAATTATTAACGCTCTATTGGAAGGGATGAAAAAGTGAGAATTCATTGAAAAAATGCATTGAAAAAATCGAGCTAAATTTTGGATCAAAATTCACACTCAAACACAGAATCTCCAGTACTTTCTTCATGAGCATTTTTATATACTTCCCAAGGGATAAATATTACAGTCGGAAGTGGTGTACAGCTTTTTGAGGAAGTATTAGATAATATTTGCATTGTAAAAGCTTCTGTTTTTAGGCATTTTTAAATTTATTTTGCATAGAAAAATCAATTTATTTACTTTTCTAGGGTTTGTTATTGATTTTAAACAGTTTCATAATCTTAAAAATATTTTTTCAATCTGGAAAATATCTCTTTGCATAGTTTTTCCACAGTTTGAGGGTTAAAGTGGCAAAATCGACCTCATTATTTAGTAGAAATATTGAGATATTCACTATATTTACTCATATCCGAGTTTAGAAGGATTTTAAAGCCAAATTCAAAACCTCACAATTTGGGCAAAATTTCAAATACACTAAGAACATTTCTTACTATCTGAAATGTAAGCATTTGAAGAATGTTTGGGACGGGAAAACCTGGATTAGATTGTTAGAAGTTTAGAAAGGAGTGAAAGAAACAGTTGAAGGAGTCCAAAAAAACGATGGAAAAAGGCTTTAAAGGCGTTCAGAAGTGTCTGAAGTGTCGAAGATTCTGCACAGAAGCTGTGAAAGTGCCAGGAAGTGGTGTATTATCTCCCCCTTGGTGCTTCCAATATGCATCGTGCCGAGCATAGGTCAAGCTATCAAGTGTCAATGGGAAATCCATGGAATTCCGGGTAGCGAACAATTAAATTGCACCTCCCCAAGTAACAGCGGACACCGAGACAATTCCCCAACGATGTGCACCGACCGAAGTCAGACGCTCTTGATGGACAGGAGTGGGTGCGAATAAATACTTTAGCGAGTGAATTGAAATGTTTCCATTCGTCGGTCCTCCTGTGCATTGGCGCCGAGGTGGAATTATTGAATTCGCCAGCATTGAAATCTCATGAGATTTGTCTCCCTCACAGAAGCTCTGGGGACAGAAGCCATGGTCCAAATGAGCAGCTCTGGCAAGTGCTTTTCGCCTCCACAGCTTCCTTTTTTCTGCTCCTCCGCCTGCGACGCGCGCGCCAGCAAAAACTGTGCCGGATCGTGTGCTTTTTTCCAACCATTATTTATGGGAGAAACACATGCACTTTGAATTATTTATCGTTTTACTCCACCAAAGAATCAACTGAATGAAAATTATGCGAAAATATTAATCATAATTTTCACACGCATATTCTGTGACAGGGGCGCAGAGGGTGAGTCTCTCACCCTCTTTTGGTGTGTGTCTATCCACTTGAGAAACACGGAGTGACTGGGCTAAATGTTTTTAATATCTCTCTATTTACACGCACATTAAAACACAACCATGCTCGAATCCCTAAAGGCCATAACTTTGTCAACCCTCGCGAGAGTCCTCGGGAAAATATCTGCAGGGCGAATTGAATTGAGCAAGTGTTTCTGTGACAAGTGCTTAGGGGTGGTTTTGGCTGGTGTTCGGCCAGGAGGGAAGCCAGTCACCGCGGGATCCGGAACAAGAAGAGCGGAACAGGACATTATCTACATCTGTCGCGATGATGCTAAAATTATCATGTCTTTAAGCCACTATATCACTCTCCCATCGACAATATTAATTATTTAACACTTTGCAGGCAATTTTCTAAATTAACTTAGGGACAGTCAATGTCATTCAGATGCCTTTTTGCTGCAGTGCTTCTCAAATAGAAGATAAAATTGATGAGGCAGTAAAAATTCGTATTTTTTAGAGCAACACTCAAAAAATTAAGATTGAAATGAGGAAATATTGTGAAAAATACACTTTAAAAAAACCTCCCTTTTGCAAAGAATGGATTCGAAAGATATTTAAGTGCATTTGTAAGAAAGAAAGTGAAAAACGAGGTGAAAGAAGTTCAATTTTGGTTAAATATTCTATTTTTTGTAAGACTTTTGCAAATCAAAAGTTCAATCTTGATTTAATTCCACACTAAGATGTCTCTGTCAAGCCAAGATGGATTTATCTGCTTCTGTGTAACTTCAAAATTGCTCCACATTTCACTAATTTCAGCCTCTTCAGCTGATTTATCTGCACTCAATACAATTTTCCCGTCTATAACACAGCGCAAGGGCTGCAGCGATCTCTCTGTAATCTTCAAAACACCCTCCAAACAAGCCCGGAAATCAGTCTCCGAAAGCCACATACAGGAAATATGCATGCTATGTATGGATTTTAATCTGGAAACCTCATCGCGCCATTTATTCCAATACAGCTCGCGTAATTGTTGCGCTCAGCAATTCTCGCGCTGCACTTTGTGCCCATAAATTCACGGAGGAAAATTGTTCTCCGCAAAACACTTTTTGGAATGTGCAAAATTCTCGCAGACTCATAAAGTGGCTGCGAGTTAATTGGTGAATCTCGCGAGGGTGCAATATTTTGTGGGTGGGCGTGAAATTGTGATTTGTCTGGGGGGATGATTGTTGGTTACCTGAACTCTCGCCTCGGTGAGGTCAATCTTCATGGCGATCTCCTCGCGTGTGTAGATGTCAGGATAGTGGGTCTCCTGGAAGGCCCTCTCGAGCTCCTTGAGCTGCGCCGATGTGAATGTGGTCCGGATCCGTCTCTGCTTCCGCTTCTCCGTCAGCACGGAATCGTGGCCAGGGTAGACTTTGTAGGAGATGCCAGCTGCAGAAGGGTGACACACACACGCACGGCATGCGGATGAGAAATTGGAAAAATTGCTGAATATTTCAGTGAGACGAGAGAGAAATTCAGCGGAGGCCAAAAGTGGCGCTCACAATTATCATAATTGGATGAACTTCTTTTCCCCGCGGCGCCCCCGCGGCCCCCGTGACGCCGTGGAGTTACTTTTCCAATAAATTCCTCCACAGGCATCATAAATTATCTGTCGCGCGCTCCACCAAATGATTCTCGGCACATGAGATGTGCGCTCCTCCACCTTTTTTTCTCTCTCTCTCTCCGGAGTGCGAAGCGGGAAGAGCTGCACATTTTTACTGTGATTAAACTTTCCAATTGAAAGGAAAACAAAACGCCGAGTAACAGATGCCTCTGTTTGTTGCTCACCCATTTATCTCGGCTGTGTGCGCCTCTCCCCAGCCACCCCCGCTGTACATAAGCCCACCCCAGACGCGCGCCCTGGCGTGTGCAGGAGGGAAAAAGAGCGCCAAAATGGCGAGTGAAAGTGAGCGAGGAGGAAAATCAAACTCCCTCCCCCCCTCGCAGGATTCATCCCATGTCCCAGGATCAATAAGTCCAGGCATTGTTCGTCTCACTTACGCACAAAACCCGAATGGCATGTGCTTCAGACTCTGCGCCGCAGTGCGACAGAGATGGCAGAGCGCTTTCCACCCTCGCGCAATTTTCCTCAGCAACGGAAAAAAGACCCCCAACTGAGCAAGACACCCGTGAAGATTCCGGGCGAGGGAACAAAGAAATGGCGTCGTGTTTTGATTGTATGTGGGTGAATCTGCTCCAGACAGACGAATAGCATCAACCCATTTATGGATTTTCCTTTAAACTTAAATCGACAATGAACGACTCGCCCAACCTTGATCTAATGGAAAAGCACGCTAAGAGCTCTAAGAAGAGATTTATTATCAAATGTTAAAAGGATTTCCTATAATCGCATAATGTCTTTGCTGTTTCAATAGCTATTTTAAACTCATTTTATTCAAAAAATTAAGGCCTTTCAGACAAATATACAAAACACTGTTTTGAGATCGATTTAAATTAGTCAAATGATATTTTTCACGAACCAAATAATGTCCCTCATGTTAAGAAATATATTAAGGTAAACTTTATGGCTATGAACTGCTTTTACACCTGCAAATCTTGCCGTCCTTTTTTCAGATAGAATACTTTAGAATAACCTTGTGGGGAATAAAACCAGAAATTGTGAGCATCGTGAGAACTTCTGACAGAAATTCATTACTTTTCAATGAAAATTCTTCATTCAAATGAAAGATTCAAAGCTGCTTTCATCCCAAGAAAATCATAGACTTATAACTTAATCATCACTTAACAATTTGAGATAATGATCAAACTTTTCCACTCTAGAAGAATATTTTTTTCTAAGCCATCCTTCCACCCATCTTTTGACCGAGTTGCTCGACACAAAGACCATTTATATCAGAGTCTTGAATCCAATATTGCCCTCACACTCACTAATTCAGCCCGTAAATTTCCCAACATTCCTTGGCAACAGTCCAAGTGTGAAAAAAGTCCAACATATTCTTTCCATAAACGTGTCTAAAATAATATTCATGTCACAGTGCAACACTGTCGGACAAATTTCATCTACATTTTCGCAAAGACGATCATGAATAGACACAATTAATTGAGTGGCAGTTTTGGCGTCTGTTGGTGGAGGAGAAAACGCCATTAGGAGCCACACTTTCCCCACTTCAGCATGTTGGCTTGCGGTCTCTAAACAGCATGCATGAATCTCTCTGATGCATTACTGGGTTCGCCTCCTTATCTCTGGGGCAACCCTCTGAGCTTCAATGGTGCAGAAAGTCTAATATCTCTGCGGTGGAGTCGAACTTGCCTCTGGGAGGCTCTCGTGGGATGAATTTAGTGCTTATTGTTGCCGCCATCGCGTTCATTATGCATAGAGCCTGTGGCTTAACGCTGTTAGTGGTGAATTTGAAACCACTGTAGTTTATAATGCAATCCTCTAACACGCTATTATTTGACTTAACACAATTAAGGAATTATCCTTTGAATGATTTATCGCAATATCTACACATGAAGTGCCACACAAGCCGACAGCATTAAGGAATCTCTCTCTCTCTCTCTCATCCTAATTCGATTAGGGCTGCCGTATCCAGGGGAAATCTGTCTTTTGTCTTAACTTTTACAAGATGGGCCTATTAGTTTAAACTTCTTCGCGTGCGCTCAAATGTGCAATTTCTTGACTATGAATAAGTGAAATGATCGAGAATCGAATTGAATGCTGTCAAAGCAATGAGTTGAGATGAATTTGGAACATTTTCATCATTCGGAGTACCTTTTAATGCTCCAACGAAAGGGTTTTGCTAACGATTTTTAAAGTTTTGCTGAATAAATTATTGCCTTTCGCTCTTACAGTGACGCCAAATTAAATAGTGCCACCAGAATTTTCGTCTGAATTTTTCCACCAATCATTTCTCATTGATAAATAATTACCATGCCAAGTTTCAAGACATTCTTAATGGATCTGAGAAGCAGACATGGCGGAATTCGCCTTAAACACCCAAAAATTCGTCGATAAAGTTATTCGCGACACTTTTTCCGCAAAATCGACCTTTTCCCGCGCTCAATTGTGCTCAAAACTCTTTTTTCTGGGATAAGAAGTCCTTCTGGTTATTACCCTGATTAAATTAAAGACATCCCAAATATATTTAAATTTCGTTTAGAACCCAAAACATATTTAAATGGCAGGAATTCAAAGTGGCCCTATTTTAATTGGACGATTGATTACTGCTTCGGTTCTTCTTTTATATCATATAAAGGTATTAAGGATTTGCCGAATGTCTTGAAACTTGGCATGGTAATTACTCAATAATGAGGGAAGATTTGTGGAAAAATCCAAACCTCTAGCTTTATGTGGAAATTCGCGGCACCTATTCGATTTGGAGTCACTGTAATTCTTTTTCAACGCAAAACCGTGCTTAAGAAGACAAATTAACCCTTCTCTTTATTGAGTAAATTCAGTAAATTTGTTAGTCTTACAATCTTGAGACCATTTTTAGGATGAGTCAAATATCTAGTGGGAGATTTATTACACTCACTCTGGAGGTTCATCGAAGCGGGAAACATGGAAGTTCTGTGCATGTCCTGATGGTGACTCCGGCCGTTCATCACGCCGCACTGACTTCCCGGGGCGCCGGTGTGGTGGAGACTGCCCATGGCCGCGCTGCCGTGGCCCACGGCGCTGCCCACGGGATTGTAGGATCTGGCCATCGAGGCGGCGGCCGCCGTGTAGCGATAGGCGGCCTGCGACATCTGGCTGCAGGACGTGAGATCGCCGTAGGCGCACGGCATGTTGGCCAGTCCGGTGGGATCCATGCCGCCCTGCAGGCAGCTGGAGTCGAAGGACGCGGCCGCCTGGTTGAGATACGAGTAATCCATTGGCTGAGCCTTGCAGACACGCGAGCAGTTATCAAAGCGAGAGCTTCACTTGCACAGCATTTAAACCTGCACTTGAGATCTGTGGACGTTTGGGTTTCAGAGAGGTTCTTCGGCACTATCACTGCGATGGACACTGTCACTGGCGAGTGTGGCAGAGGAGATTTATCACTAAACACCCCGCAAACCCCATCCCGAGAGCGCGAGTCCTTGAAAAATGGTGCCCTTCTTTGCCTTAATGAACCCTATTATCTGGTGATGATCTGACTGTTATTGTATTTATGCGGCGGTGTTGCGGATTTGCGTGAAACTCGATAAAAGCACACCGACCGGTTACTTGTGCCAAAATCAAATGATAAGCCTAATTCAATAACGTGCACTGGAAGCCCTGACGCGGGGCAAAATTTCCATCAAAAGGACATTTCGCGGCGTGTCTGTGTGCGTCCCAGCGTCGATGCAACACGAGGGGTTGGCACAAAAAGTCACTCTCCTGCTGAACCGGACGCACGCCGCCGCGCGCCAGAGCGAGATGGCGCTCTGTGCCGCAGGATGTGGACGTGGGCGTGGCCTCCCGAGCCGAGCCAAGCGCGCGGCCAATCGGCGCGCTCGCAGGCCCGCGCCAAGAGGTCCTTTTCTCGCCAAGCCACCCGTGACGTCACGAGGAGAAGTTGTTTGTCACCGCTCCTTGCGAGACGCCACAAGAAGAGGCCACGGCGGTGTATTGGTGCACATTTTTCCACCACATATTCCGCGATTTGGCGTCAAATTGAATAATTCTTGCGTGATTTCCTCAATAATGCCCCAAGATGAGGTGGGTGGAGCGGTGAAACGGAAGAGTCACTTCATTGAAGGATTTTTTATCTCCCTCAGGCTAATTCAATTTTGGCCGCTCCGTCTGAATTATTCGTCGAGGACACAATTTATTATTTAAATACAATTCAATGCTAAGGGTTTAAGTAGCTTCCTTTCGCCTTTTCGCATGTTAAAGTTAGCGAAAACTTTTTTCCACACATAAAGATTTGTTCGAGCAAATCTTTGATTTAATCTGGTGAACATTTCTTAACACGGATTCCTTTAAGAAAGCAAATGAAGTCATGAGATGAAACAGAAAGAGAAATTATTGACTTCTCGGCTTGGCTTTAGGCTTAAGCCAGAAGTCTGAAACAAGCATGAATAGAAAATCTCTTTATATTTTCGTCAACACATCATAAAAGGATTTTCTTCTCTAAATTCCCTCTTCAATTTTCACGCAAATTTCCTCTCATATTCACAGAGTTGAAAGATCACGAAGCGAGTGGTGGAAATTTTGAATATTTCACTAAAAATCCACCATATAAGATGTGAGTGGGTTCCATAAAACCACCCCAGAAAGCATTCAAACCCAACATTGTGTCGTTTTTTTACCCCGGCGAAGGCGAAAAACGAGGCGGCAAGGGAACGTCTTTTGCATAAAATCCCACAATGTAAAACTATCTGTTGCAATCTTACCTTTGCTCTGCGATTTGCTTGAGTCACTTGCAGGTAAATATCAACAGATTCAATTTGATTTCGCCCGTTTTTTTCTTCTTCTTCTACTCCACGACAATTCCGTATCGCGAAGATGTGCTCGTGTGGCATCTCAGATGGCAAAATACACAAAATTATTTGTGCATCCAAAGCAAATTTGAGCGAAATTCGTCCCTCTTCACGTGAGCCTGATGCACACGTTTTCCCACCCCCCGAGAATGCTGAAGGCACTTTTCAGCGCCTTTCTGCAGCTTCGGGACACAAAAAAAAGCGCGGTGCATCGAGGGAAAAAAAGCTCGAGAGCACGCGATATTGTAGACACGATTGAAGTGTGTGAAAATGGTAATTGGGTGTCAATTGAATTATGAGAATTGCAGTGGCGAGCAAGTGAATTAGTTCCGGGGGAAAAAATGCAGGTGGATAAAAAAACAGTGCTGAAAATCAGTTCCAATCAATCCGTGCAAAATTGATAAATCACCCCGCGAGTTAAATGTTTGGCCAATAATTCACACGAAACATCCACTGTGGATTGGGTTGCAAGTAATATTTTTATTGCATTAAAAAGGTTCAAAATGGCCAAATGAGAGATGATAGTAAATTATCACGAATGCACCAGCAATTGAAAAGGCCGCATGGGTTTGAGGGCGGTGCAATTTATTGATAAACCAATGGTGATTATATGACACGATTAATGTCAATTACATCACCAGTGGATTAATGTGATTATCAACGGTGTCGGTTTGCATGCGCGCATCCAAATGCAGTTGAGTGGATTTTCCATTTTGGCTTTCGCATGGCTTTTATTGTTATCCACCCATTCCAGGAAGCACCGAAACTCACCGTCAACAGCCCCAATTTACACCCCCATTATCCCACATCGCCCATGCCTCGCGGTGCATACAAATAACCAGTGAATTTTCACCATTTGATACTCAGATGCACAGTTAACCCATCACGCACATTGCCGTGCATTCAATGCACTTTGAGTCTCCACTCATGAAGACTAAGTATGATTTCTCAGACGAAGAACAATTAGTGGCGAAAGTGCTTGAATTTAATCTTGAAATTAAACTAATTGCATTGGGAAGGGAACTTTTCCAACCACTTAAAGTATCATAACCTCAAATTTAAGAGTCTTTGACCCAAAAATAGGCGCAATTTTTACTTGAATAATCTTGAAAACTCACAGAAAGACAGTTTTTGAAGAATACTGGAAGTTTTCAGCGGACATTTTGATGTGATTTACTGTTCAATCGTTTTTTTTTTAGATGCGCTTTAGAACATAATCTAAAAATCACCTTCAGATTTTTGAAAGAATCCCTGAAAAAAACTTATTCAGAAGCTTTTAATAAACAATTATTCTGTTTTTATTGGATAATAAGCTAAAATTTGGTATTTTAATGTAGAGAAATCAATCTAACAGCACTTAAAATAGGAAATTTTGAATTTTGAAACAATATTTTAGAGGTTATGATCAATCTTACCTTAATTAACACAGTTTAAAATTGAAAACTTGTAATCCTCATCAGATTTCATTGTTATCGTGCCAGTAAATGCAAATTATACCCAGTTTAGGCACAAAAATGATTGATTTTGAAGGTTATTTTGTGACAAAGTTTGTCTTCAATTCATAACAAAGATATAGAATAAATATCCGATATAAATTCAGTGCTTTTTCAATCATAACTGACCATAATTTTACTATTCCTAAGTGTAATAAAATCTTGTAAAAGTTGCAATATTTCAAAAAAGAAAAAAAATGTGTCCAAGAAATTGCGCCAATTCGTAAATTCTCGCATCCTTGAGGGGTTAATGTGCAATGGGATGTCCCTGCAGCGCCAATCTGGCAATTTCCAATGGATTCTGTCATGCAGTGGATGTATGTGGTGGAATTTGGGAAATTGGCGACATTTTGGCTGCATCAAAATTGCAGTTGCAGTCAAATAAATTGTCCACCCATATTACGCACTCACAGCACTGATTAGCCGCCCAACCCCTCTCAAACCCCATGCATTCAGCCCATCAGAGATATGGGAAATCAGTGAGGGTGAAACTTTGAAATTGCCACATACTCTGGGACTTTGGCACTCATGAATGATCATAATTAATAATTCGATAAATTAGCGCAGCGTATAAATAAAATGTGGACAAATTTTCACTGATTCTCACCCAACTGTGGGTGGCGCTAAATTCAGCGACTGGGAAAGTTATAATTGGTGAATTCTCACAATTCTCGCGAAGGACCCTTTATCCTGCATCCGCATATGGTGCTAATTTCGCTATGAGTTTGCGAGGACGTAATCAAAAATGCACCGCCAGAGATAGTTTTTTTTTTGTTGTTGGGTGTGGGAAAAAGGGGGTTGAATTTATGTGAACAAGTGATTCTCTCCTTCCACCCTCTTTGTGTTCGTGGGACAGTTTTTTTCCCTTCTTTCTTCTCCTTCTCTTGCTCTCAACCACCCCAAAAGAATGGTGTGAGTAATGCAATAACAGAGTTATGAGAATTGAACGAGGAGAGCGCAAATTAAACAAGTTGCCATAAATTTACATGCGGGAATGCTGTGAAAAATCCTTGAGACACTTGGAGACTCGCTCATTTTCCATTGCCTGGGAATGGAAAAGTGGCTCCCCATAAATTCCCACATGCGACACATTCACCGCTTCTTGTGCGCAATTCGCGGAATGAAGCGCACTTATCAAGGATTTATCTCACCACCCATTGGATTTTTAATAAATTGCTTATGATACTAAGGCATTTTTTCCTCCATTGAATCATCTGCAATACATGCTAATGTTAACATCATCTTCTCCTTCGTGTACTGCTAAATTGTCCGTCTTGAGCGTGTGTTTCCTTTATCTTACTTTTATTCCGTTCGTTGTCCTTCATTCTTACATCTTTTGAAGCACCATTTGTGTCAGCTTCCTTCCACTTTTTGGAGTTTTTGGTTTATAAATCGAAAACAATCCAAATTTTCCGTTGTAATGGAGAAACAGTGAAAATCTGATTCGGAAAATTGTCTTAGAGCTCAAAAGTGTGGCGCACAAGACAATTTTTCTCCCTTCCTTTTGCACTGTAAGAAAGTTGGGGAATGAGGACGGAAAGTGAGTGAGAGAGATTCATGTTGGCTTTCCCACTGTCGAGGAGAAAATGCTGGAAACACTTACGTGATTAATTCAGGGTAGTCGCATCTATTTGTCAATGGGTGGTGCCCGCGAGGGTGGGCGCCACCCACATTTTTCTTTCTCTATGGCGTCTCAAGGTGCTCTCGTGGAGGCATGTCTTCAGCGCCACGATCAATCCTGGGCAAGTGACTGTCATATTGCTGCGTGGGGTGAGTCGTGTGCGCTTGGCACGTGAACCATCAGGACTCTTTTCTGCATCTGCGATACTCACGAACGCGCCCAATAAACCATCAAACAATGATCACAACACAAACAGGATAATAAATGGCCAAGTACTTGAGAAATGCACTTGCTCTCCTCGACACATTAAACTGCGGGTGTCTCTGACGAGGGGTGATTGTTCACTTGATTGCTCAGGCACGAGAGGGTGTCACTTTTCAGGGGTTGCAAGCTGGAAGATATCTCAGCAATCTCTCGATTCGTTTGGATTTTTCGAAACTTTCAATGGCTGAATGATGTCAAAAATTACTGTCAATCCATCCCAAATTAACCGCAAAAACAGTTTTTTTTTTCTTTGTTTTTCTTGTGAACATTTCACAACTTTTCCGTACTTTTCCACCCCTCGACAGACTCCTGACTTGCTCATCATCTCCTGATCATGTCTCTCTGGTGCTCTCGTGAGCACCACGAAGGCAGGCGACAGACGCGTGTCGAGTCACGTGCACTCCCGAAGGCCTATCCCGGTGGACAAGGCGGATACAGATGAATATGTAATTGAATTTGAATGGGATGTCGTTTGTTTTTGTCCCTCCGCCACTTGACTCATCAATTCTTGCCATCTTCAACCGGATAATTTCACGACTTTACACAAGGATTAAATCACACAATTTCAGGGTCAATTCTCCTGTCATTGTGTATCGCATTTCAGTTGGAAATCAACATGAGAAATCTCTTCCGGATGCTCCGGCATGGGGATGGGGTGGAAAAAAAATCCACCCAGTCACGTTCTATTAACTTTTTTCCACCCTCCGGACTGGAAGGAATCTGCTGCGCGGGAGGAGGTCAGTTGAGATGATACGGAAAAGTTTCAGGATTTTGCAGGATAAACATGAGTTAATTTGATGGGGAATTTTCTCAAGACTTTGATTGTCGGACCACCCAAAATCTCTCCCGCCCGATTTAATGGCCATTGTGTGCTCAAGTCTCGTGTGCTCGACGACTGCGGAGCAGAAGACAATCTGCCGAGGCCAGAATGAGTGGAAATTGAATGAATGGGAATGAAAATAATACACATTAAGAGGCGCATAATGAAAGCAATTTCCTTGATTATCCCGTCACATACACAGCACAGATCGTGGACATTTGCTCAATTGCAGATGAGGAGAATACATTATTAGGCGTTGCTGGCAGGGAGCAAAAGGAGAAAATAGGGAATGTGGCGCATGAGAATTGTGGGAATCATTGACAAAAATCGTGAATTAAGATTCAGAGCATTAAGATTTCTCAAAAATCGCCTTGTGACTTGCTCCTTGTTGATCCCTGAATTCCAGATTGACTATCTGTTCGGTGTGCTCTATTCCTGCGACATCCTGCAACTTCTATCTGGGCATTTGAAGCATTTCCACTGGCCAGAAAGACTGAGGATTGTTGGTGGAAAACACATGGCTCACTGACACGATGAGACACCAAAGATTTCCTCCCCCTTTTTTTTCCCTCCATGAAATGAGTCTGGGTGAATTGTTGTGTGATTTATGAATTACGCATCCATATAATATTTGGAATGTGATTGATTTTGCTGAGGTGCGCGCGACAATTTCCCTGCCATTTGATGTGGTTTTTCCCGGTGCGAATTTTGCCAATGAGACTCGCCTAGGATGAAAATTGATACAATTTAATTTTCCACACTGGATTTTTTTCTTCTTCTCCCTTTTTTCACCACACAGGGAAAATCCTTCGCTTAATGCTACTTCAACATTTTCACTCAGTCTCTCTCTCTCTCCCTCGCTCTTTTTTCCCTGCTCCACAATTCAGAGCAATTATTTATTCAGCTCTGATAAATCAACATGGACTTTTAGTCTTTTCGTTATCTCCTCCTTTTCCCCATGCCTTTTCCCACTCGACTGTGTGTGTGTTTGTGTGAAAAGTCCCAAGTACACAAAAGTGCCATCGGGCGGGCGGTTGTGGAGGAATCCCCCAGAAGCGGAGAAGAAGCTCTTCCTGGATGCTTCCAGAGAGGACTCATCCCAGGGGCTTTTCCTCCCACTCTGGCACCCAATTCGTGCGCGCGTGTGTGTGTGTCGAGACAAATTCAGCATTTTCCACCCCCACAATTGGCTCTTCTGAGGTGTGTTTGTGTCTCCTCAGCCCAGGATGATAACACACAAAAGTTGATTCTCTACGTGTCATCTCAGGAAACATCCCTTCGTGTGTCGACAATGCCTCGTCAATCCCCATCCGTGCTCACGTCTCCTCGTCACACGGCGCCTGTGTGTGTGCGCCCTGGCAAATGAATGCGAGAAAGGGGATGGAAAATATCCCTGCAAGGGATGGGGTGACTCATTAGTTCTTCAAACATTGGAGGACAGTTTGGGTTTGATGTTTCTCTGGTTCATTTTGACAAGAAAACCACCCCCTTCTCCCCCCCTCAGCTTCCGTGTGCGACAAAATCAAACTCCGAAATACATAATAGATTCCACCCCCTAAACTTCGTATCACCACCCCGCCCCGTGGGGGTGGCTCAGGGCGCGACTGTGTCACTGGAAAAATTAACTAACACACCCTGGTTTTTCGCCTTAATTAAAGCACCTCACGAGAGCAAAATTTCGTTTTGCCAGAAACTTTTCCATCTTCTGCACTTTTTATTATTTTCACCTGAATTGTTTTCTGCTCTCTGAAAATATGGCCCGAATCTTAATTTTAGCCTGCAATTTTAGATGATAAATCATCATTGAGAGACAAACGAAGCACTTAAATTCAAGGGAGAGATAGTACAGTCCAGAAGTGGTGTACAGATCAGCAGAAGTGCTTAAGAAGTGAAAGTGTTGAGAAACTTGAGTGCTTTTTTTACTGGAAAATTATCTAATTCCTTGGGATTTTCCTTGATTTTTTTTCGTAGAAATAATCAGAATAATCCTTTTATAGGTTATGTAACGTACCAAGGAGAGATTTAGTGAATAATTTGCATTCTAAACACATCAATTCTTATGCTAAAGTCAGAGAAAGCATGAATTTTTGGCAGAATTAGGCATTTATATGCAATAAACAATGCTTTTCTAAACATTTGATGCTAAGAAAAACAGCAAATGATGCTAAAGTCGAACATAACCTCAAAAGAATCGTTAAAAATTGGAAAATGTTTATCAGCAATTTATAATCAGCAATTTTGAGTTCATCCGCAAATGATAACAGATGATTTTGTGATCTATCGAGTCTTTCAAGCTTCCAAATGTAGTTTTTTTTATTATTAATCTCTTGGTGATATTTTGAGGTTATGATCGATCAAAATACCCAAAAAGCGTTCTTTTTTTTCAATAAATTCTTACAGAAACATCGAATAGACTTAAGAGATTTATTAAAACTTCAAAATTACCATGGAAACAGTCTAAAAACTTCTTCACTTTGTCTTCAGCGCTTGAAGACTTGAGATAGTTTCAAATTCACTTTTGAAATTCAATTTATTCAATTAATGTTAATTGAAAATCAACACAAGAAATTCCATCAGAGAAAAACAACAATTTTTACTTTTCATCACTTTTCTTTTATTGAAATTTTCATTATAGCCAAATGTACAGTGAAAATTATGACTGTTAAAACACTTAACAAATATTAATGCCAAAAGATCGTCTGTGGAGATTTTTTTTTACAAAGACCTCATCAAATGGGACAAAATCTTAATGTCTACCGAAAAATTTATCAACACTGCTTTTCTCTTTCTCTCTGCGAAGTAAAAACCAAAAAAAAAATTGTCGATGCGCGGAATGAAGTGCTCGAATCTAAGAAATTGTCATCATCTTAAAACGCTACATTTTCAACCCTCCAAAGGAAAAACTAATTTGTACTACTCTTTTACTCGCTATTTCTTGAGTTGGTTCTTCGTTTCTTTGCTTCTTCTCTACCTTTCCTTTCTTCGTTTGCCAAAACAAGAAATTCAAGAAAACATGAAGATTTAGAGTGTTCGTTTGGCGGAGAAAAAAAAAGGAATGAAGATGAGCCGAAATTCCATGTCGATTTTCACCTTTTTTTTTCATTTCCACTCACGCCAAAAACACAGCGGAAGGACTAAAACAATCAGAGGGATGAATTTCTCACCGAGTGGAAACTTATGAGTGCTATTTTCCTCCTCGACAGTGATGAATTTATCTTTTCTCTCTTCGGAGCGCGCAAAAAGGGAAGCCAAAGTCAAGGAGAACTTCACCGTTTTGCCTTTCCTTGCCGAGGAACAAAATTGTCTCTTCGGACAAAATTCATTGCCTCTGACTTTCCATTCTCTCTCCGCCCAATTTCCATCATTTATCAATTTAAGACTGTTCTTGCTTTTCTCTCTCTTTCTCTCCGTTTCTCTCTTTGTGACCATGAGCACTCTTAAACTAAGAGATGAAAATGTGTCTCCGGATCAATTTGCCATTTTTATTTTAACAAACATGCAACTTTATGACTCTAAGATGGTGTGGAAAAATTACACAACTGGAACATTTAATACATTGAATGTGTCTTTTAGTTACACTCCTCGATAATCCTTCCTCCTCTCATTTCACTTATCCTCAAGGAAAAGAACAAAAAAGAAGAAGTGAAACTTCAGTGTTATAAAGAAAAATATGCAATTTGCAGGGCTTTTTTTCACCTCACTTTCTCTCTCTCTTTACAAAAGGGAATTATTTACAATTATTTGGGACACTGTTTTTAGCCCAGTGTCTCACGAATAGGATTTTCCTCTTTCTTTATATGGCATTTTATATCTTTTCTCTCTCTCTCTCTTTTACATTTCTCTGTCGACAATGATTTCTTATCCATCTAAATTCTTATCCACAAAAAATTCTCATTTTTTTTTAACTATTGTTTTCAACATCAACTAGACGAGATTAATGAACATTGAATTAAAATTAATAGGTTTTTTCTTCTATTCTTGTCGAAATTCCATCTCAAAATCATTTCACTCTCTCTCTCTTTCTCTTTCTCTATCTTTAAAAACATACGCTTAGGTGTGTGTGTGTGTTTGTGTTGAATGTGAAGTTAGATTGTTACATCTTTTCCTCTCTCTGGCGCGCGCAAAAAACACTTGTGAAACAGACAAAGTAATAGTTTTTCTTCTTCTTCTTCTTCTCTTCAATACCAATAAAACCTATAAGAACAAGATCCTCTCACTTCACCTCCGTGGCCACTTCAGTCGGCTGACTACTCGGCGGCTCTGCCTGCGGGATTTTATCACGCTCCCGCTCGCGACCCGGCCTGAAGGCCTCCAGCAGCGCCTCCACGCGACTATCGGTGGGATTCCATCGGGCGAAGCCGGCGTTGTTCTGCAGCCACACCACCATCGTGCCATGCACGCTCTTCACGTTCACCTCCGCCCTGCAAGAGACACACATTCATCAACCTTCTGGGTCAGCGCTTGTCGCCAGCGCAACACTCACTTCTGCAGCACGTGCTGATAGCCATGGCGGTACTCGTGCTCCATGCCCAGCACCACCACCTGTCGCCTCTTGTAGTGGCTCTCCTCGATGCGCGACAAACACTGCAGCACGGGCTCCTTCCACTCCGGCAGGAACACGATGAAGCTGCACGATTAGGAATCGTTAAAACTTTGAATTCATGGAGAAATCTCAGGGAATCTTAACTTAAGAGATCACGTGAGCCGAAACGGCGATACTTCAACTTTTGTCCATCAAGCAATTCTCAGAGTCACACACAAGAAATTAATCGAAAACTAACTAAGAAGTCCATTTTTCATACTTTCACATCTTTTGTATCTTTTTTCTGAAGAAATTTTAACATTTGCATTTTGCAAGAAATCTTATTCAAAAACTTTGAATAAAAATTAATTGATAAATTTGCAATTGTGGCTCTTATTTTCATGCATGAACATGAAAAATATTTCCAGTATTTTTTTTTATCACGGATTTACTAGTTTTATTGCTTGAATCTTATTAATGTTGGCAAATTTCACTTTTGTTTCTTCTCTTACACATTATGGGAAATCCCTTAAAAACTCAATTTGAAACACTCTTTTAGCGAGTTAGAAATTTAACATTTCTGTGTTTTTTGCTTGAGAATTGATCCATACAACCATAATTATCACAAGTTTTATTGATTTAACTTCTCATATTCAATGAATAGAAGACTTTAAGAGGGATTTTTTCAGCACATTTACCAAAAAATCAAAGATTTTTTTTTCTTAAAGTCTCAAATTCGTTTCGATATCAATTGAACTCTTCTTAACGCCGCCTTGCCTCACACCTCAGCCGCCTCGGCTTTATGCAAAGAAAAATAAAGTCAAACTCACCTCAGCGGCTCCGACGAGTCCGTGAGCAGTTTGTCGATGTGCTGCAGAGTGGCGTCGATCAACTCCTCACAGTACGGCGGATTGACCTGGAAGGAGCCCGAGAGTGGCTTGAAGTCCAGGAAAGGCCTGAAAGACACGCGCGCACCAGTTAGCTGAGCCATCATGGGATGCAGAGGATCGGCAAACACTCACCCTCTGGAGCCGAAATAGGTGTCCGTGTCGCTGAAGGCCGAGCAGTACTGGCGGAAGTAGCAGTTCAGCGGACTGGCGAAGCACTCGAAGGTGACGCCAAAGTGCCTGTGGAGACACTCGAACACCGTCACGGGCAGGCAGGCCTGCGTGAGCTCCGCCTCCTGGCTGGCGGGCGATGTATTGCACAGGAACGTCTGGTAGCGCTTCAGCACGCAGAAAACACGCCCGATGAACAGCTCGAACTTCTTGTCGTCATAGCAGCTGTAGCGATAGAGTTGCTCCTGCAAGGACAGACAGACAAACAGAGAGACTGAGAATTCAGCTTCCTGGACAGCGCGACGGCATCTCACCATCTTCTGCAGGTGCGTGTGATTGATGTACTGCGTGTCCGCCTGCGACTGACTCGTCTGCGAGTACTTGATGACCATGTGATCCCTGTCCTGGATGTACTCCACCACGGGCATCCTGGGCGACGGGATCATGAACTGCACTGGATAGCACCACACTTTGCGCGCCACCGGCGGCGGTGGCGGCGCCCCGGGCGGCTCATGGATGCCGCTCTCCGTCAGCAATTGCACGTGCCGCTCGCGGATCCGCCGCGCATGGTCGCCGGCGAAGTGGTACACCTTCGTGCAGAGCGCCTCCACGCTCTCGCGCACCGTCTCGACGAGGTGCGGCTCACACTGGCGCTTGAGGTGCGCCAGGCGATCCTGGAAGTCCTCATAGCTGGCGCCCACGGTGCGTCTCAGCCACTGGAAAGTCTCCTCTGCATTCCACTTCACCACCTTCTTGCTCTCCGCCGGCGCCGAGCGGTTCTCGATGATGTTCTTGGCCGCCTCCGCGTAGTGCGACAACTGCTTGCGCGCCGCGCCCGTGTACTTGGGCTTCACGATCTTGATGGGGATGTCATTCATGATCTCACGATACATGGACGGCGACACCTCCGGAAAGCACTGAGTCGGCAGCAGCGGATCGAAGCCGCGATCCACGCACTTCCGCTCCATCAGCCAGCGATTGAAGGAATCCTTCGGCGCCCTGGAAAGAAACCCAGTCAGACAAGAACTCCCCGATTGGACCCCAATTGGACACTCACTTGATGTTCTCCCGGCGCTGGCAGAGATCATCGTACGTCCGGAAGAGCTTCAGCGTGTAGGTGGAGCGCATGAGCTCGATCTCCGGGTGCGGATGCAGCATGGTGGCGGGCGGCCGCTCCAGGATGATCACATTCGTGGGTATTTCGAGGTCCCACGGCCCGGCCAGGATGAACTTCTTGAGCGGCGGCTGGCCGGGATCCTCCGAGGAGCGCCTCTTGAGCTGCTGATGGGCGTTGCCCTGGCTGGGCGGCGCATTGCAGATGCCCAGCGGATCCGTCACCGGATCGAACGTGCCGTGCGGCCGCGCGAAGCTCGGCGGCTCCCAGAGGCTCTCGTTGGTGGCCTTGTTCCAGAAGTACGGCCGATTCTCGCGCTTCGACCAGAACTTGCGCCACCCCTGGGCGATGAGGTCCGGATGGAGCTCCTCCGTGTACACGGGCGAGGCGAGGGGGGCGCCCTGGGGCGTGTGCGCCACCGCGTCCGGCGGCGGGGAGGTGAGACTGGGCTTCGTGGGAGTGGCGGGAGGACTGCTGAGCGCCTGGGAGTCCGCGGGGGGCGCCGTGACGAGGGGCGCCGCGGCGGCCGCCACGCCTGTGAGCTGATCCCACGCTGACGGCCCCGGTGCGACCACCGAGGCGGCTTCCTTACTCAAATCATTCATTCTCGCCGTGAAGACCTGCGGAAAATACACACCATTAGCCCAGCGGACGCCCGGGGGCGCGCCACGGACATCGCGAGAGCGTGCAAAAGTCGCCAAGAGAGCACTCAGCAACAAGCTCGCCCGCTCACACCGGCAGCCAGAGCGCGACTGAGTGGCTATGGGATGCTTTGATGTTTGGCTTGACACACAAAAAAACCAATTTCACGTACAATTTCAGCATCTCAGGAGAGTCCGAAGGCTTTTCACCGCTCTCTGGCCGCTTTGCGTGGTGCTGTGGCGAAATCACCAGTATGTGCCGAACAGTGACACGCACGCCAACCGTTTTTGCATCACTCTACGCGCAATACTCGAGGATTTCCCACACTTTTTCACTGTTTTTCCTCACCACACAAAAGTAAATGCCACCATTTTGCTGAAAATTTTGTTGTCTGATTTCGCGGGTTTTTTCCGCTGCGTGGCGCTATCGTGAGCGACACTAGTGCTCGTGCCAATTCCACGAAGCTCAGTTTTGAATTGGAAGATCAGGGGAAATATGTGGAAACTCGGTGAAATTGATGAGAAATTCTGCGAAAATCCTCTTTATACACTTCAGAAATATCAGATTTACTGGATTTAATCTACAGACGCAAAAATTACATCTTTCATTTTGAGAATTTTGAGGGTGATAAATGTTGGCTGCAGTGTTTCTTAGTCAACACATAACCTCAAAGTCACTTTATTTTCCGTGTTTTGATGTATTTTTTTAAATAAACACTTTTAGGTACGAAATATGTCCAATCCTCAGGATGAATTGTGTCCACCGCCCGGTGATGATGATGAGTTGACACTGCCCCGCGCCAGCATCAATAAAATGATAAAAGAACTGGTGAGAAATCCTCTGTGCCCAAGTCCCGGAATGACTTTCTCCTCTAATCCGCTGCTTTCTGGCTGCTTCCAGATCCCCTCAATACGGGTGGCGAACGAGAGTCGGGAGCTCATCCTCAATTGCTGCACAGAATTCATCCACCTGATCAGTTCAGAGGCGAATGAGGTGTGCAATTTGCGCAACAAGAAGACAATAAACGCTGAACATGTTCTGGAAGCGCTGGAGAGGCTCGGCTTCAAGGACTACAAGCAGGAGGCGGAAGCTGTGCTCAATGACTGCAAGGCCGTGGCGGCGAAGAGGCGCCGGCAGAGCACGAGACTGGAACATTTGGGGATTCCGGAGGAAGAGCTGCTGCGACAGCAGCAGGAACTCTTCGCGAAGGCCAGAGAAGAGCAAGCAGCCGCCGAGCAAGCACAGTGGATCAGCATGCAGGCGGCGGTGGGACAGAAGGATAACAGTCTGGACAACGAAGACGACGAGGAAGAGTACTGATTTTAATTTAATACAAAACACACACAGTTCAAAATGCGAGCGTGTCATTCTCAATTTCGTGGCTCAGCTGCGTCTGCAGGTTGGACAGTTTGTTCTTCAGCACCTGCACACCCATCATCACTATGTTCTCGGGCTTCAGGGCGCCGGAAGACTCCACATTGAAGAAGAACTTGTTTGGTTTCGCCTCCCAGTTGAACTCCGCCTCGTCTGGAAAAGAACAAAGGGTCAGTGAAGAAGGCTCTCTAGCCGGAAAACTGGGCACTTACACTGGTCGTCGTCCAGCTCGGTGTGTTCGCTCTTGGGCCACTCGTCCGGCTTGGGATACAGCGTGTGCTTCATGGTGTTGTCCGGATCGTACTCGAAGCAGACGCCGGCTGTTGGATTCCACTTGGCGTGCTCCTTGCCGAAGCCCTTCTTCGCGTACGCCCGCAGCTTCAGCTCCTGTCCCTTGCGCAGCTTGATGATCAGGATCTCGTCCGTGCTCTCGCCATACTCATTGTCATCATCCTCGCGGTGGCGCGAAGTTGCCGGCAGAACGCGCGGATCGCTAGACTTCAGATCCGCTGTCGTCACGTGTCGCGTCTGCTCGTCATTGCACTTCACGTCCAGCGTGAACTCCACGCTGCAGTCCGTGCAGAAGTCCAGGCAGGAACAGTCGCGAGTGTACTGCATCCGCTCCACCACATCGTCCGAAATCAGAGGAATCAGGCCGATGCGGTGGGCGAGGAATTCATCCGACAGCACTGTGGAATTCGCCTCCAGCTGCACCCAATCGATGGCCAGAGTGGGCGTCTCGGCAATGAAGACTCTCCGGAGGCTGTTCGCGACACTGCAAGAGCGCAAAGTGAGGTTAGAACTGAGGATTGCTCATTTTCTCACCTTTTACCTCAAATCTGTGTCCTCCACCACGAATTTCACATTCTCGTCCGTGAGTTCAGTGATTTGCACTGACGGCTGGTTGGCGTACGGCATTTTTCACGGGAAAACACGAAGAAACACCACTGTTTTCTACGAGACGCTCTGCTTTTGGATTGTTTACTATGCGACAACCCGGCTGCAAATCAGTCTATTTGGCAGACGACATTTCCTGCCTCCTGTCTCGATTGTCCCATAGACACATCTAGTGAAAATCCAATTCAAGAATTTAAATTTTTCTCATAAAACATAAAACTCTTTATTATTCACTTAACAATTTGCTTTCTCTTCTAATCTCTGCTCTTGTGCTTCTTTTTGCTCTTCTTAGACTTCTTTTCCTTCTTGTGTTTCTCCTTTTTCCTCTTCTTCCTCTCGATTTCCTCCTTTTCCACCCACTTTTCCTTCTTCCTCTTTTCCTTCTCAGCACTTTCGAATGATCTCACAATTCTGGACGGCTGGGAAACCTTTGGAGGCAGTTTAGGGCCAAAAACCTCCTCTTCAGCGTCTTCAGTTCTGTCTTCTTCCTGCACTTCCTGAATGACTTTCTGCTGCTCTTCCTTCTTCTTCTCCGCCGCTTGTCTCACGAAGAGGATCTTCGAGAAGATCCCTTTGGGCTCTGACGGATTCCTCAGAGGATTCACGTCCTCCTTGGGCGGCGGAGGAGGCGCTTCCTCCTTTTCATCTTCTGACTCGTCGGAGTCCTCGAAGATGGCCCTGAAGAGATCCTTCTTGTCCGCCGGATGCTTGTCTTTCGCCTCCAAAACTGCCATTTCCAGTTCATTCTTCTGTCGCTTTATCGGCGGCGGAGCTTCCTTGGCCTCCTTCACTTCCTCCCGCGGGATTTCCACCTTCTTCTGCTGAACAATCACAGGTTGCACAGATTCAACCATCTTGACTTCCTCCTTGGGCATTTCCTGGTTCTTCGACGCCGTGAAGTCAATCCTCTGACTCATTGGATCCCTCAAGCACTCGAAGATGTTTGAACTCTTCCGATTCTTGGACTTCTTCTCCTTCTCAAGCGTCCCACCAAATGGCTCTGGCACGTTGAATCTCTTGCACAGCAGCGGATCGGGCTTCCACGTCGTCTTCACTCGCCGGCTGTAGAAACTCCGCTCCTCCGGCCCTTCAGTCTTCGCGGGCGGCTCTTCAGGCGCTTCCTGGACCTGCTCTGGCGCACCTTCTGACACAAATCTGTCCGACATAAGATCCGCCAGAGGCTTGTGCATCCGTCTGGCTTGCAGGAATTCCCTCTGCTCCGTTTGCCGGTCAAATTGCGCGACGTGCAGCGGCTGATTGTCCCTGAAGAAGTCTTTTATCGTCTCCTCACTGGCATCCTTGCTGACCAGGAGGAATTTCTCGAATCTCTCCTGCTTCGCACTGTCATAGGCAAAGAGTTTATGTTGCCGAGGTGTTGCTGGCACAACTTCCGGAGCCTTTGACCGTTCACTGCTGTCGCTCAAGGATTTCTTGTCACTCTTTGGCTTCTCCTTCAGCTGTTGCTCCACTTCGGGCGGCAAAGGAGCAAATCTGCTCCTGCGCACGAGAAAATTCTTGGGCTGAAAGTCTCTCGGCAGATCAATTCTGAAGATCCTGGTCGAAAACTTCCCAGAAGCTGCGTCCTGAGTGGCAATGAAGCCCTCAAGAACACCCAATTGCACTCTATCTTGCCTCATTCGCGAGTTCGTGGGCTTCTTCTGGTCCTCCAGCGAGAAATCATACTGCGTCATGTCATCCCTGGTGTAGATATCATCATCCTCATCCTCCAGCGCACCCACGCCGAATCCCTTCCCCGAAATCATCATCTTCCTGTTGTTCTTTCCCATCACAGCAAAAGTGTCCGCGTTCTGTCTCTGCTTCGCCAGCACTGGCGTCCTGGCCAGCCCAGAATACCCTAAGCCGAACACATTGTCCTTCGGCGAGACCGTGAAAGTGTCGAAATCGTCCGGAGCGAAGGTCACTTCGCAGTCTGAATCGCCAGAACTGGATTCCTCCTCGGATTGCGCGACATTCAGCGGTCCCACGTCGCATCCGTAGCGTCGCGCCAGCTGCTGCTCCTTCCTGTGCTGTCGCTGCGCCTGCTTCTTGGCACGCCTCGACAGCCGCACGCCCACGCCTTGTCCCTCTCGCCAGCCCATCTTCCGCAGCAGCCGCGTCCCGATGTTGTCCCTCGAGGGCGTCATCAGCTTCTGCAGCACGCCCTCGGCATTCGACGCGAAAGCCACACTGTGCGTGCGCTTCTGGCCAGAGCCGGCGGCAAAGTCATCCTGCGCCTGGATGCGCTGCGGCGCAATTCCAAACTCACCCGTGTCCTCGCTGTCCATGAAATCCTCGATGCTCTGCACGACTTTCTCGGCCTTCTCGCGGCGGGAACTCTTGAACGTCTGCGGTTTCCATCCCTCCAGTGAGCCAACAGTGTTCCAGAAGCCAGCCGAGAAGCCACCAGTGAAGGCCCCGTGAAATCTCCGGCGCCCATTCGCGTCCACGGCGATCTGATCCTCCTTCGTGATGGGCTTCTTCGAGGGCACTTGATCTTGGGAAGAGGAAAAACAGCCATGAATTTCTGACACTTCGCAAGGGATTTTCCTCTCTTACCCTCTTCAATGGGATCCAAAGGTGTTCCATATCTGCATAACTCATTTTCATCATCCATTCGATCGAATTTCAGCAGGAAATTGTGGAAAATTGAGAAATTATCGCGCACTGCTTATTTTTGACAAACACAAACTGAGCGACTTTTCGCTCTTCTTCTGTCGCGCGCAGTTGGCAGCCTTGACGCCTGGCGATACCAAAACAAACCAACAGGTTCGAAAAATCCTGCTTTTCGCATAGAAAACACCCCCAAAAAGTGGTGGAAAATTAAGAAAACCCCTCCATACAGAGGCCTAGTGTGTGATTATACAGAGACATTAGTGTATTCGTCCTGAAAGTGTGCAATTTTTAATGGCTGAAAAAGTGTAAACAAAGCGACGTCAAGGATGAAGAAATTGTCCAGTTTGGCCAAGGAAGGCCGCATATTCCTGGTGAAGATGTACTATTATCACCACATGAATATGGAGTACGTGAAGAATGCCTACAAATCGTCCTACAAAGGCGCAGAGTTGCCCTCGGATGATGCGATTCTCGAGACTGTCGCTCTCTTCGAGACCACCGGATCCATTCACTTGTCCCAGGAGCTGTGCGAGGAGATTCCCTTCGAGGCGGTGGAGGTGGAGGAGAAATGCACCCCCATGGATGTGAAGGTTGAGCCTGAGGATGATCTCTCTTCCCCAGGCGCGAGTAATTGCTTTCCAGAAGAGCTTTACACCATTCCTGAGACTCTGCTGAAAGAGGTGAGAGATTTCCGCGTTGATTTCCCACTGAATCTCCAGTGCTAACTGTGCTTCCTTTCGCAGGAGGATATCAAGGAAGAGCTGCCGAAGAAGAGCACAAAGTCGAGGAAGATGAGAACGAGAGCCAGATCGTCGAGAGATCAGCTGTTCTCCTGCAGCGAATGCAATCAGAGATTCAAGTTCAAGTCTGTGCTGCACAAGCACATCATGCGACACTCGGAGAGGCGCTTCTCCTGTCCGAAGAAGTGTGGCAACAAGTTCAAAACCACCCTACACGCGAACACGCACGCCGCGGCGTGCATCGGGAAGGTGACGGAGAACTTTCAGTGCCAGCACGCGGGCTGCGGGAAGATCCTGAAGACGAAGAGTGGCTTCAAGAGGCACGCTCTCGTGCACAGCGAGCGCAGCTTCATCTGCGAGTGCTGCGGCGGCAGATTCGTGAGCAAGCGCTCGCTGGACATTCACGCACTCACGCACACGGGCGAGAAGCCCTTCCAATGTGATATTTGCTTCAAGAAGTTCACCGCCAAGGCGACGCTGAAGACGCACATTCGCTACCACACGGGCGAGCGGCCGTTCAAGTGTGACTTCTGCGAGAACGCCTTCGTGGACAGGCAGACGATGATCGTGCACAGGCGCCAGCACACCGGCGAGCAGCCCTACAGTTGTCCCTACGACGACTGCACCAGGACGTTCAAGCAGAAGCAGAACCTGCGCAGCCATCTCAAGCACATCCACAACGTCCAGCCGAAGCCCAACGCCAAGCGATCGCCCAAGTACTTCTAGGTGAGCCTCTTTCTGCCCCTATAATCCCTACATTAGGAGCGTCTTTAGCAAGATTAGAGAAACAGAGCGTGATAGGGTTCACGCAGAACCCGAAATACGAAAGGCGTGATGACAAAATTGATGTTTTCCCCTGTTTTCAAGACACTTAAAACCTGTCATTGGTAGAATTTTTATTGACTTCTTAGACATTTCACATTATTTATTAAATACAGAATAGTAATTTGTCAATAAATTAAATATAGTTTCTTTGACACAATATAATCTTTTGCCAGGAGTTGTAATACAAAATGTGGTTAAAAAGAAAATTAGACAGTATTTGAGCCCTTAATTAATTCCACTCACGACTTTCTCCACGTCAATGACCTTTAATTTCGATTCTTCTGTGTGAAGTTCATGAGTTCTGATTACTTTGGGTTCACATTTCCTCTTTCAAAGCTTGTGTTTCACCACATTCCATCACTGGGGGGGAATTCAATAGAGTGTCTTTCGAGATCAGTGCGAAGTTGTGGCCAGGATCTGAGCTCCTGGACTCAAGTTTCCTAGGCCAGCGAGGGAAAGAGCTCCGAGAGAGTCTCATTCCACAGATCCATGTCGTAGTCTGTGTCCGAGAGGGGCGACAGGGAGTTGCAGATGGAGGAGAATCCATCGTCGGGCGACAGATAGTCATCGTGGCAGTTCTTGTTGTACGAATGCTCCTTCAGCACTTCCCTCAGATCGCCACAAGGAGAGTTTTGCGGTGAAATCTCTGCGGCGCTTTGGCTTTTCTCGATGGAATCATCATCAGTGATTCCATCGCAGATTTCCTCAGCCACACGACAAGAATTGCACTGATGACGAGAAGGTTGAGCGCCATCACCTTCTCCAGCACGTTTCCCGACTGTGTGACCTCCAAGCGGCTCTCCAGCTCCCTCAGGCGCTCCTCCAGGACACCATTGCGCTCCTGAAGTTGCTCATTCTCCTCCGTGAGCACCTGAATGGCCAACTCCATGTTCTCCATCTTCATCTTCTTGCGATCACGCGACGTTTGCGCGGCCACGCGATTCTTCATCTTTCTGCAAAAGAAAAGGAACGAAAAGGGTGGGAAATTTGTTAGGAATTTTCTCTTGTCTTCTCCACTTCCTGCCAGATATCGGCAGGAAATTCGGGAATTATGCAAAGTGTGTGTGTGTGTGTTCTTGGCAAGTGAATTGCCAACACACGCGCTGCTAAACCACCTTATCGATTCTTTTTTCCATCCATAAAATATGTTTTTACATCGTTTCACTAATTGCGCATGAAAAGAGCACAACAATTGTGTGTTGGGAGATTGTGAAGTATTACTTTTGTGCCACAATTTTACACTCACTTTCGCTCTATTTTCTCCTCCTTCGTGAGATGATCCAGCCGGTGTTTCCGTCTCCTGCCCAGGAACTCCTCCAGGGAGTCCCGCTGTGTCAGGAGAATTTCTTTTGTGATCTTCATTGCACGCTTGCTCACCAAGAATTCACACCATTAAACTACAATTGTCGTCTGCAATTTGTCGGTTCTTTATTATCACTGGAACTGTGCACACACTTATTTACCTGCCAACTCAAGTCTGCACGAGACAATTGTTCAGTACAGGCGGCGGTTGATGAGTTTTCTTATATAGTCGCTCTAGAGCGACTGATGCAATGTGGTTCAAAATAAATAAATGGTTCTGCTTGGCGCGCACATGGCGAGCTCTCATTGGTCGAGGCGCGTGGATTAGACTCAGCGACGACTTTTCACAACTCCAGCACGACTTCTTGCACGCGCCATGATGGCGGAATCGATTGGGAACCAAGCGGGGAGCGCCTTTTCATGTTCCAATGCTGAATTGCCCGTCAATTATGAATGAATGAATCAAATGGCTCAATCAATCCCTGATATTTATCAAGTCAATTAGTGTTTAAATAACCTTAACATCTCTAATATTTTCACGCCATTAAAATCTGTTTTCGTGAGCTGAAGAAAAGTAGGCGGAGCTTTTGAGTAGGCGGATTTTCAGAATTTTTGTCTTTTACTATTCTACAGCCTAATTTCATCACCACATTTCTTAGTATTCTCCTTAGAGCTCCTCAGATTGTTTCCTTACTGTATGGTTTACACAAGAATCCTCTATTCTTCTGTTCTTTCGTTAAATGATGACTTAATGCGCGGCATGCGCAGAAATTTTTCCCTTTGCCGAAACTAGCGCCAGTGAGACAACAGCTGAACTAAATATCAAAACACAAAGCTGTCAATTTGTGTGCAAAACTTTTGATAAAAGTTGTTTTTCTCGGAAAATCCGAGCAAGATAGGGCTTCACACAGTTGCAAAGATGCTGAGAAACTTGTCCTCCAGAAGTGGCTTCAGCTGGTTGAGCTGGACAAAGCCACAGTGCTTTGTGGTGTTGAGGAATCACTCAGAAGTCGCACGTGATCAGGAGGAGACTCCAAATGCCCAGAAATTGATCAAAGTGGCAATAATTGGGGTGCCAAATGCCGGAAAAAGCACCTTTATCAATAAGATAGTCAATCACAGGGTAGATTTGGATGATGATATTGTGCGAGTGGAGTTGAGAAATTGAGGCATTTTGTCGTTTCTCTCTTGCAGATCTGTCCGACATCCAGCAAAGTTCACACCACGAGGGCGGCTTCACGGGCGATCACGGTGCAAAAGGGGGCGCAGATGATCTTCTTCGACACTCCTGGTCTGGTGACGTCGCGCGAGATGAAGAAGCACCACCTGGACACGTCCTTCACGTCCGGCTATCGACACTCTATTCAGCACTCGAATATGATTGGCGTGATTCACGATGTCTCCAGTCACTGGACAAGAGGACAGCTGCACGGCACAGTGCTGGAGACGCTGGAGCTGTACAAGACGCTGCCATCGTTCCTGGTGCTCAACAAGATCGACTGTCTGCGATCGAAGAGGGTTTTGCTGGAGTTGGTGGACAACTTGACGATGAATTCCATCGAGGGCGTACTGAGGAAGGGAGCGAAGGTGTCTGCGACGGAGCCTGGAAGGCCCGCTGGATGGCCCAACTTCTCCCGGGTGTTCATGGTGTCGTCAGTGACGGGGAATGGTCTGCAGGACGTGCAGAACTTCCTCCTCTCCCGAGCGACACACTCGCCGTGGGAGTTTTCCGAAGATGTGCACACCGATCAGCCCAGTGAGAGCCTGATTGAGGACGCTGTGCGGGCGCGACTGCTGGACTTCATGCCGCAGGAGATTCCGTACAGTCTGGAGAGTCAGCTGGAGTACTTCAGCAGCGTGCGTGGCATTCTCTACGCCTCCGTTCAGGTGACTTGTCCCAATCCGCGCATCGAGAGGCTCGTGTGCGGCGAAGCGGACGGGAAGCTGAAGCAGATCACGGAGAGAGTGAGCTCAGACCTTGTGGAGGCATTTCGCATGCCCATCAGTCTCACCATCACCACCACGAGCCGGAAGAGAGAATAAAGAGTGTCGGTGTATTTACGTCACTGTTTCCAGAGGCCAGAAAGATGATACCAGAGTCACAGCCGCAGCTTGAGAAACTTGTAGCGCCTCGGCGGCAAATTGAGCTGAGATAATTGCATTTTGGCTTCTGCGGTCTATGGATTTAAATGCTTTTCTCGAAAACTTCTGATGAGATTTTCATCGTGTCGAAAACGTAAGGGAGGGTTTTGGAGGGCGTCCTGGGCACAATTGGAGTTCATTTCGGGAGGATGATAAAGCGTCGAAAGGGCTTCTCAGCCTCTCAGGATGCGCACAACACATAAACAACATTTTCTACACACTTCGGCAGCGATGCGTAACGCCTGAGCGCTGAAAGGTAATTGGATACTTGAGAACCTCAGGAAGTGGAGAGAAGCCTTTGCGATTGCAGACAAATTGGCAATTTAATGCACTTGAACTGCTTTTTTCGGGTGAAAATTGCCCAACAGAGATTTTCACGCAAGCATGTATTTCTGCATTGATTTTTCTAGACACACAGAATGGACTGTTCCCGATGTCATTCGTTTGTGTAAATTTAAGAGAAAAAAAATACATTCTTTTTTATGCAGTATATTTTCGAGTCGCGGCCGTGGTGAGAAAATTGGTGCGTTTGCCGTGTTGCTTGGGAAACTCTTCGATGAAATGAAATTTGCAATTTCACACCTGGATCAGCACACCTTGTGCGACTCATCTCAGTTTCAAGAAGTTTTAATTGATGAGTGTTACCACGGCTGTAGAAGTTTTCCCTCTATAAAGCTGATTTGATGAATTGTCTTAGGAAAATATGGTGCAGAAGAGGAAACAATCAACAAGTTCGACCTCTTGCTATATTGTGGTTTATTTGCGTATCCTTGAGAAATTGGATATAAAGGGAAAATTTGCATAAAACTTCTTGCATTCCGCTGTACTTTTTGGCTATTTTATTTTCTTTCTTGTCTATTTCTCTCTAAATATTTTTGGGCTGATTTGAAAGAAAAAAAAGAGAATTCCTCTAAGTTTAGAGGAAGATTAAAGGCATGAAGAGACGACAGTTATTAATCTCCAGACATTCTTCCTGCCACGAAAATAGCCCATTCTGATAAACTCAATAAATCACACATACTTTATTTAGAGAATTGTGTGCCGAGACTCCATCGCGTCACGGATGTGCAACAGGGAGGCGGCAATTAATGAGGGAGGGAAGAAGAAGGAGAGCTCTATTGATTCCTGGCGAATGTGCTTAGTTCATGCTCTTTCCAGTCTGCTGGCTCCCTTTTTGGCCGAGGAGAAAAGAAAAAGAGGGATCCTTGACGACGGAAGTGTGATCACCTTGTGGGCAAAAGAGTGGCAAATCATCGGCTCTTGTACGCAGCAGCAGCCCGAGGAAGCCACCTTCGGCACGCGTATAAATTCAACGGCGGGATTCAACTGGGAGTCAGTTTTCTGCTGGCAGCCTCAACATTGGCCTGGCCTGCGACTCGCGGAGTTAACTCTTTCTCTCTGACTGTGTGCTTCTGTGCTTGTGTGTGACTAAATGTGAGAAAGACACTTGTGATTTTTCACCCAGAGTGATGAGCTTTTGATGATTTTGTTGAGCCTGAATGGTGATTTGCACTTTGAGCATGAGAGTTTCTTTTTTTTCCGCCTGAAAAATCCACCCACTTTGTCATCCTTCTCAGTTGCTGATTTACTGAAAATCTTGCAAAACATCCCAGGCCTGAACATTTCTCAAAATCACATCACATATAATCCGCTAAATTGTTTCTTAAATCACACAAACACACAGCGTGTGATGATAATATTTTTTCCGTATGAATAATTAGTGCTTTTCTTTCTGTTTTTCACGGATTTTCTGGTAGTTGAGAAAAATCCCCCATGAAATGATGCCAGTTCCGGATATAATTAGCCTGAAGAATTAGTTGGTTAGGAAGAAGCTCAGTGGTTGAAGGCTTGCGTTGAGAACTCAAAAAAAAAACAGTTGATAACTCCTGATATAGACATGGTGAGTCAAATCCATCAATCTGCGGTTGGAAAACACAGCGAGAGAGAGAGAATTTTAATAAAATCCTTCCTTTTGCACCTTGATTTACGACTCAAACACGCGGAATCTGAGCAATAAAACGGGCGCATCTTCTTCGTCAGGTGAACGACTCGGCGGAAAAAGTGAAAAGTTTCCACCTTAATTGCGACCACGACTCGCATTCCTTTCAATCACGCGCGCTCACGTGAATTTTCCCAGGCCTCCAAAGTTGAAAAATGCCAAACAATTTCTTCTTCCACTCTTTCTTTTGGGAGGGTGGAAATTTTGCGCTGCATTCTGGCAAATATTGTATACAAGAGGGATAATTAATTTGTGCGCTGTGTGAAGAGAGAGAGAGAGGATTTTGGGCTAAAACCGCGAACAAGCTTTCCTTTGGCAGTGATTATTGATTGTTACATAATATATTGGTCAATTTGAGAGCGAAATCGGCCGATAAGGGAAGGGAAAGAGCTCCCTTGTGAGCCGCGCTCGCGGAGGGAGGAGAAATCATCAAAGGCAGACTGAAATGATTACTTTTTTTCCCTGCATCCTTGTGCCCCAATATTTGCAGAAAGTCAACCGCGGAGCAACATGAGCAGAACCACCGAGAAGATTGTCTAATAAAGTCGCATTAGGCAAGTTGGAGTGCTTGCGCGGCGCGGCGCGAAGGGAAAGAAGGGTTACAATCTGCAAATATGACGAATGATGAGGCGATGAATGGCCCCGGGCAGGAGGGCAAGGCGTCCGTGTCCGAGGACACGGGTGAGGCGCATCCCACGCCCGCTAAGGAGAGTGATCCGCTTCAGCCCAAGATGGTCAACACGAGCAAAGAGGTGAGCCGAAAATGCACATCAAAATATCGATTTTGAGCGCGCACTTTTGCCACAGGAATGTGTGGTGAAGAGTGATTGACGGAAAAATTAATGAGTGTTACGTGAATTTAATCAATGGCTCAGGCTATTGAACTACACTTTGAAATCCCATGGAAAGCCTCTTGATGGATTCGGGGCACAGTTTGTGTCTTCAATTCCCTTCTAAACTCGCGATTTTATTCAGGCTTTTCAACCATTTTCCAACATCAGGAAATCATCAAGCTCTCATTCTGATTTTCCACACATTGCATTTGGGAATCAAAGAAGCGATTTTGAAGACGTTCATTCAATTTTCTTGACTATTTTCCAAGCACAGCCTGCAAAATATCGAATCAAGTGTATCAAAAGCTTCTTGTTAGAGCTTTTCAACATGTTGGAATCATATTTAAATATATGTGATGAGAAGAAAAACTCTAATTGTTGCTATTCTATCAAAATCTCTGCATTGGAAAATAGTTTATCAATGCGATGCGATTGTGAAACTGAGACACACATTTAGACTTACTTGACTTCCACTCGGAAACAACACAACAATTTTATTAATAAGCATCCTTGGAGGACAATTTGTCGCCATAAAACTTATTACTTTCTCGCTTGTGATTTATGAGATACTCTCATTCTTATGCCTTGACTCGATTAGTGTGATCATTTATTGGGTTATGAAGACGGAGAGAGCGCGTGCTGAGGAGGAGTGAGAAATGCAGATTCCACCATCTAATCTAATCACATGCCGCACATCCTTGACTTGTTCCAGCGCGTCCTCGTTGTCTCGCTGACGCCGGAGAATGGACGCGAGACGTGGGGCCAGAAGGCGGAGTTCCTGCTGGCCGTGGTGGGCTTCGCAGTGGATCTGGGCAACGTGTGGCGCTTCCCCTACATTTGCTACCAGAACGGCGGCGGAGCCTTCCTCATTCCCTACTGCATCATGCTGCTCCTGGGCGGGCTGCCGCTCTTCTACATGGAGCTGGCCCTGGGCCAGTTCCATCGCTGCGGCTGCCTCAGCATCTGGAAGCGGATCTGCCCGGCGCTCAAAGGTAGGCCAACATCCACTGGCGGGGGTGGGAATAATGCTTGTCGCGCGCAATTGAATTGAGGGGGAATAATCTTCATGTCACAAATCATTAAATTTCCGTGCTGCCGCCGGAAATTAAGGGTGTATCATCCTGCACCCTCGCTTCCACATATCTCCGGAGTGTCGGTTTCATTTGCAGCAATGACTGTAGGGGAATAAATTTGATTTTAATTATTGCTTCCGCCTGGAAAATATATTTGCAAGATATGTGCAGACTTTGACGCTGTCGCACTGTCGACACTGTTTCGCATCGCATCCAGTTTGTGTCACAGCTTGCTGTGCGAATTCAGCCTCCCTCCGCCCCCCACCCCACCCCCCCCCCACCCCCCGCGAGGGGGTGGAAGAAACAGGGACAAACGTGCCTTGTTAGCCTGTAAATGGTGGCCGTTGCATGATTTTTCCACGCCATGTCGCCAGCATTTTCATGAAGGCAATCGAACACGAACGCGATGTGAGATGAGGAGAAAAGTCGCTGATTTTTCCAACTTTTCAATACGAAATCACACTGAAATGATGATATATGATATGCTGAGACAAAAAGGGGTGGATGACATGATCTTATTTACGAAAGCCAGTGTGTGTGTGCGCGATAATTCTGTGCGATTCACCCGCATTGGAAGGACAGTTGCTCTCGACACAATCAAATTGTTAATCATTCTTTGCCGGGAGTTTGTGACGAGGAGAGAGGCCCAGGCATTGATTGCACTTGATAGTGGGAATTTGTCCTCCTTTGCCGCTTTCTCTCTCACTGTGGAAGAGTGGAGGATTTTCCTCTTGGGCGGAAAAGAGCTCAAATGTATGCTCTTGAGGCGAAGTCTTTGCCAGAGAAAATGGCTTTTCTGTGTTATATTTGCACAGAGCAGCGACGGATGGAGTATCGAACCAACTATTTTCTAATGCACAGAGACGAAGAGCCACTCCAAACTCACCCCCGCTCATCGACGATTGTCCACGCGGTGATATTTATTTTCGTGAGATCTCAAGGGAAATAACTATTAGGCCGCTTTCCACACTCACACCTTTTTTCCGCGATGGATTAAATTACACTCTGTTTCACCCAAAAGTTTTGCAGAAAACTCACACGTAAAGTGTCTGCTTTCTTGCACTTACATTAAACTTAAAGGCATATATTTGCCGTTCAAGTTCTCTTTCTTGACGAATATCTTACCTGGAAATTAGTGATGCTCTTCAAGATTCTCCATACAAATGTCTGTTTGTCTTGATTCCAAGATTTCCAAGGAGCGATATGCATACAGTGCGTCTGAATTGAATAAGTAAATTAGAAGTTACATATGAGAAGATTTTTTTTTATAATTAGAAAAAAATTAATTCTTGCATAAATATCGGATAGAAACTTAATAAATTCATTATAATTCAGGAATTAATGGTAAATTTTAAAGTGTTCAAGGCATATTATCTCCCCCTTGGAATTTCTCTCAATTGCTCAAGGGAAGTTTCTTTTACATCTCATTTGCACTTCCCTGTGCAAATAAATTGCTTAAAATTCGCCTCACAAGTGCATCTCTAAAGTCTCAAAATCAAGTGGAATTGTTTGCCAAAAATGTTTATGGGAGATTCGCCCAGGAAGCGCGAAAAGCGAGGGAAAACTTCATTAAGCACATAAAATTAAAAGATGTGGATTTGTTAGGGAAGTTAAGTGAATTCTCCCTCCTTAATTGCCAGCCATTGAGTTTGCACATGTGAAACAAGAGAGAGAGAGAGAGAGAGAGGATTCCCAATCCTCTTATCAATCGGCCAGAATGTATTTATTCATCATTATTCGCACGGCGAACTTAATGATTTGGCGCTGTTCCACTTCAGGTGTCGGCTACGCAATCTGCTTTATTGACATTTACATGGGGATGTACTACAACACCATCATCGGCTGGGCCGTTTACTACCTGTTCGCATCGTTCAGCTCAGAATTGCCATGGACGTCGTGCGGCAATGAGTGGAACACGCTGAACTGTGCACGCGTCACCAACACCAGCATTGCCAACGGCACGAGTCCGGCCAGGGAGTTCTTCGAGTGAGTTTACGAGCCAGACTGTGAAAATCTGCATGTTTCGCCCGCACACCGAAAGTGTTAAGTGGCCGCACAGCGTTTATGTGCGGCGGCTTTTATGGGTGAAAGCTTTTCGGGATATTGCTTGCAATCCATAAAATTGATGGGGCTTTTTATCCCACTTCAAGCGCATATATTAAATTAATTGATTGGTGAACTTGTCAGGACGGGGTTTTTGTCCAAAACGAATAGTTTTTACGGCTGGAATTACTCCCCAAAGAGAACGTTGATGCACTGAGAGAAATTCTCAGTTTCTCTCTTGAAAATCCCAATGCAATCTTAAGCTTTGCAGTTTGAACATCTCTTTGATTTAAATGCAATTTTTTGCTCTTACACCTCGGCGAGCCAAAAAAGCTAAAAAAAACAGCTAAAATAGCTGAAAAGTGTGCTAAAATTTTAGCAGACAGATAAAGCGATCACAGCGGACGATAGGAAAAGCTCAATAGCAATTCCAAGCAAAATATGAAGCCAAAATGTTTTTGCTCAAGTTTGCTGATTTTTCATCCGTTTTCTGTATGTTTCGTTTAATATTTTAGTAAATTCACAGCTTATTTCTGTTAAAAACTTAGCAAGAAATCAGGAAGTCAAAATATCATGAATTTTATACACAATTTTGCTCTCGGCTTTAGGCGCAAAGTCCTGGAGCAGCACAAATCCGACGGGATGTCGTACATGGGCCCAGTGAAGCCATCGCTGGCGCTCTGTGTCTTCGGTGTCTTCGTTCTGGTGTACTTCTCCCTGTGGAAGGGCGTCCGGAGTGCCGGAAAGGTGGTCTGGGTGACCGCTCTGGCGCCATACGTCGTCCTGCTGATCCTCCTGGCGCGCGGCGTGACTCTGCCCGGTGCCGCGGACGGGATCCAGTACTATCTGACGCCGGAGTGGCACAAGCTGAAGAACTCACGCGTGTGGATCGACGCAGCGTCGCAGATTTTCTTCTCCCTCGGCCCAGGATTCGGCACCTTGCTGGCGCTCTCGAGCTACAACAAGTTCAACAACAACTGCTACCGCGACGCCCTGCTCACCAGCAGCATCAACTGCCTGACCAGCTTCCTGGCGGGCTTCGTCATCTTCTCGGTGCTGGGCTACATGGCGCACGTGCAGAACAAGTCCATCGACCAGGTGGGACTCGAGGGTCCGGGGCTGGTGTTCATCGTCTATCCGGAGGCGATCGCGATGATGAGTGGCTCTGTATTCTGGTCCATCATCTTCTTCCTCATGCTGATCACGCTGGGCTTGGACAGCACTTTTGGCGGCCTGGAGGCCATGATCACGGCCCTGTGCGACGAATATCCGCGCACCATCGGCCGGAAGAGGGAGTTCTTCGTGCTGATCCTGCTCGTGGCCATTTACCTGTGTGCTCTGCCCACCATGACCTATGTAAGTTCCCTTCCCTCGCATTGTCACAATCAGAAGCCAAGCCAGAAACTCATTCAGGTAAAAGACTCTTTTTCTGGGTCGTGCAAGAATTAATTGATTGAAGAGAAAAGGAAACATTATTTTTTTCTTTCAGTGTATTTAAAGTTTGAAGAATTGATTTTTCTATATGCAATTTTGCACTGAAATACGTTAATTGCTCAAAGGATTTCAATGAGGAGCTCTCGAGATGAATGTCTCTCGTGTTGCGATATAAATGACAAGAGCATTCAATAGAGATTTAAGTAAATTGAATCCTCCTTTTCACCTCTTCTTCTTCACTCCACTTTAGCCTCTGCGATCCGAATTTCAAATGTAATTCCCTTTAGTGATTTTATTGGGGTGAATCTCACCCTTCTTGAGCCCGAGAAATCAACTCTTGTGCCGTCGGAGAAATATTTTCGAGTGTAATTAATATTTTTTCCCCGACACAGACCAGAGAGGCGTTTCAGCCACAGGAATGGAAGCATGTTAATTAAGAGCAGGTCTTATCAAACGAATACTATCCGGGCGATTTAGTGGTCTGTTTGAGGTGATGCGCGGAGGGAGAGAGAGAAAGAGCAGAAGCAATGAAGTGGCTTGGCTAATGAATGTTACATGAGGAGATTCTCTTGAATTAACTGCCCTCAATGGAATTCCCATGTAAAGTACTTATCGCCTCTGATTTTTCTCCGTCTCAACCCTCATTCCACCCCTCGCCCTCTTCTCTTTCTCCTCAGGGTGGCGTCTACCTCGTGAACTTCCTCAACGTCTACGGCCCTGGCCTGGCCATTCTCTTTGTCGTGTTCATCGAGGCGGCCGGAGTGTTTTGGTTCTACGGCGTCGACAATTTCTCCGCCGACGTGAAGCAGATGCTTGGCCATCGCCCAGGGATTTTCTGGCGTATCTGCTGGTTCTACATTAGTCCCGTCTTTCTGCTGGTAAAAGCCAAACAATGCAAATTCCCAGAGGAACTCCCGCACTCAATTCTCCCTTTCTTTGAATATCTCCGCAGGTGATATTCATCTTCTCTTTTCTGGGCTACGAGGATATGCTTGGCACGGAGTACGCCTATCCGGACTGGACCATTGTGGTGGGATGGGCACTCACGGCGTCCTCAGTCCTCTGTATTCCCATCTACATGATTTACAAGTTCCTCCGGACGCCCGGAGGATTCTATCGCGTAAGATCTCTTAGCACAGCGTGCCTCAGTCCGCGTGCCTCAGTCCGCGTGTCTCACTGTATTATTTGGCGATGATGGAGGAGACACTTGGACTGCGCCACCGTGCATGAAGCATATGCTTCTCTGTGTGACTTCTTTTAATAAAAATCCTCTTCCGCTTGACTTTCCAGCGCCTACGGCACATATTCAAGCCTGAGCCGGTGATTCAGAGCGCCGTGCCCGGCCAGGTGGGCACCTCGGTGTGACATGATGGCGCCGAGTCCCGGAATGCGTGCTCAATGCTTCGCTTCGACCAGCCGGAGGCGTTTTCACCAACAATCCCACGCACGTGTGTCCGATTTGCTACGTTCGCAGACAATAAGCGCGATGAGTGTCCGCCGGCGGCCAAGGGGCGCTCCAACGGGGCGCAGTTGCGGTGCATCGGCCTCGCGGATGAATATCCGGTGTCGCTGTCCTTCGCCACGGAATGGCTTGTGTAACCGTGTTGATTGTTTTCCATTCAGTGTTTGACAAAATGGGGTTTGTGGGGCTGAAAGCGGGGTTTATTTTTGTCGTGGCTTCGAAACCACTTGGGCAGGAGTGTGTGTGTGGAGGAAATTGAGGACTTCCCTTACTAGAATTTAAAGCCAATTGGCTTTCCTACGTGAAAGTATTAGCAAAATAGTGATTTTCTCATTTGCAAAAAATCAGCCATATTTGCAAGTGAGAAATTCGTCTTTGGAAAGAAAAAATTTGTCAGAATTTTATTGGCGGATCATTCACTCTAAATACAAAGAGAGAGGAAATCCGACAGAAAGTATGTTGTAGTGTCTATTTAGAGATTTTATCATGCCAAAGAGCAAATAAGTAAAATGAATTAGAAGAAAAAAGGGAAATCCAGTGTCTAGCAAAGAATTACCGAATAAATGTATGATAGTGTTGATCGCCTTGAAGAATCATCGGATTGTGCTAAAAGTAATTGTTGAGTAATTTATAATATTAGTAGGAAAGAAAGGGCAAGATAATGTGGGCGCAATTGTGATCCTCTGTGCAGCGCAATAAAGTGAATTTCCCGAGTGGAAATCCCATCAAACAGCCATTGAAGGGATTTCCCTCAAGGGCTAAATTCAATTCACAGTTGAAGTTCTGTTGGTAAACTTATTTTTTATGCAAATTGTACACTATTTTTTTTGTCAATATAATTTACAATTTCAAAGTAATTATATTAGTTTACTGATCTTAATAAATCCTTTTATTTTACACATTTTACGATTGTGTTTCACTCTGAAAAATCTCTTCATCCCCCAGAAACAATGTGTGTTTAATCGATAAACCTCAAAAAATGTTTGCCAACGCGTCGTGGCAGGAAAATTTACTGGAGAGAAAGAAAAAAGGTGAATTGTGTGATCAAAGAGTGGAGAAATGTCGTAAAATTCTCATCAAATCAGTGACAATTGATTCCCCGACTAAATTCATCACATTCAATTCATTCCTTCAACTGAGAAGACACAACTTCTGCCTCTCTCTGGCCATTGACTTCTTCTCCAACCATTCTCATCCCATCAGCGAAGCCTGCGACTTCACTCTCACCCCGGAAATCCTCCCCTGCATCCGAAACACCTTCCAGATTTGCCCAAGAACTGAGCAATCGACGAAGAAGCCTCGCCTGAAGTACAACCAAGACTTTCTCCTCCAATGCTTGGGCTGGACTGAAGAGCCTCTGTATCTCTGCTCTCCTCCCAGGATCTCTGTTGATGACAAAACTCCCGATATTCAGCTGAGGAAGATGGAAGGGAAGTCCCAGAACTACCATCGCTGGAAGTTTGTTCATCCGGATCCGGAAGAGAGACTTGAAATGGAAGGAGAGAACATTCCTTACAATTCTCCAGTGCTTCTTGTTCACAGTGCAAGCAATCGAGTGGCAACTAATCGAGGAGTGTTTGCTAGGACGATTTTCGGTAAGTAAAAAAAAATTTAATTCATAAATAAAAATTGATACAAAAAATTCATTACTTTTTCAGGCAAAGAAGAAAAGGTTTCTTTGGTGTATCATAATCTCAATGCAAAGAAGTGTAACGCGAAGGAAGACACTTGGATCATTCCATCATTCTAAGGGCTTTGATTACAATATATTACAAAAGAAATTGATTACAATAGAAATCACGGCGTGAAAACATGTCAAAGTTGTGTTTTGCGCGTGAAAATGTGTCGCGCACGAGCATTATGTTCGTGGTGTGTATGGAATTGGATATGGATAGGATTGGGTAAATCTTATCCTAACATTGGGCTTGGTGTAAAAAGAGTCAAAGCTCTGTGCTTTGGTATTTGCTAAGCCGAGACACAATTCACATGCTGTCAGTTAGACAGACTGGTTTCTGTTTTACCGATCCAGAAAAAACTAGCAACCTGAAGTTAGCAACCTGAAGTTATTGAACTTTTCGAAATTCCACTTTTTTCGAACTACACTGAAAAAAACGGTACCATTTTCGAAATTTTTTCCCTCCGCGTAAAACACCCTTTTAATGGATTTGGAAAGAATGTATTGATAATTTCAATAAAAAATAGTAATATTATATATTCAAGCTTACTTAATTGCCATTTCCTTATACAAAATAATGCCAAATCAACCTGAAAATTCCATATTTTCACATTGAACATTGTTCTTGGGTGGCTTATCTCCAGCCTGCGAGAGATTTCTCAACGGGATAGTGTTCCTGGGTTCTCTGGCCATCCCCTGGACCAGGTTTCATTCATGTACCCGACTTCAGTTGGGTGCAGCGCGCCCCGAGCCTCGGACATGCTCACGAAATTCAATAAAATTCTCCCTTTTTTGCACTGGACATTGTCCTGGACCAGCTCAACTCCAAGGTGCGAGCGATTTCTCAACGGGATAGTGTTCCTGGGCTCTCTGGCCATTCCCCGCACCAGGTTTTGTTTAGGCACCCCGCTTCAGTTGGGCGCAGCGCGCCCCAAACCTCGGCCTTGTACATGAAATTTCATGAAATTCTCCCTCTTTTCCCCCAGGAAGCCCAGAAACACTATCCCGTTCAGAAATCGCTCGCACCTTGGAGTTGAGCTGGTCCAGGATAATGTTCAGTGCGGCTAAAATGGTCCTGAAGGCTTGTTTCATATGGGGCGAAAGTAATTAAAGCGTATTTCAAGGGAAATATTATTAATTTTTATATTAAAATACACTCTAGGGAACTAGAAATCAATGATTTGAGTGTTCTTGCTGCTCCTGGAAGCGATCCTGGGCCAAAAAAAGTTCGAGTTGACTTGTGTCTTTACAGTGTAATAACGGTCGAATTCAAAATTGGAATTTCGAAAAGTTCAAAAACTTCAGGTTGCTCATTTTATGTGACCTTTCCAATGACTACAAAATCATTCTGATCGGTTAATTAGAAATAGAACTACGGCCATTTTAATTTTTCAAATGTGAACCCTAATATCTCGGTTCGTTGGAAAGGTCTTGAGCTCAGCTTATGTTTCAGATCATGTTATGTTATAATATAATAGAATTTAGGTCCGATCCATGCCATTAGGGCTGAACAAATTAGGAAAGAACATTTTGGTGGTGTTCAAAATGGCGGACTGAAGGGAAAGGGGTTGGATTTGACATCAAAATGATCTTAAGCCTCTTTAGCACTGCATACTTTTAACCTTTGGCGCCAAATGCATGCCAATATCTCTTACCGTTTAGGCGCCACAAGCCCGTTTGTCACGACGGAACGACAGACATGCAAACACAAAAAATGCCCCACCCCCCCCACTCTTTTTCGTTTTATTTCGTCATTTTGATATTCCCTGAATCGATATTAGTTGTGATGTTAATCCCAGCTAGATAAAATAGCAGCACCTTTTCTTTTTAGTATAGAATAGAATATATTAATTATTCGCTCATATGTATAATAAGCTTTTGTGAGCGTACTTTGCGTCCACCGCCGTCTAAGTGTTGATGACCAACCTCCAGAGCAAAACGGTGGAAAAGCTCTTTCACGGGTTGTATAAGTTATCTTCCTCAGCTCGTACAAGAAAGAAAAACATACAAAAAAAACAAAGCAGTTAAGACGCCAAGAAGGTTTGGATTAACCGCCGCTTGATATCTCCAGGAAGTTCATTCCAGAGACCTGACAGACAGACCAGGCGCGAATAGTTCAGCCAAATAATGGGATTGATGTAGGCGAAGCGTGCGAGAAATGTTGTCAACAGTGTGTGACATGAGGAAATTAGGTAGAATTTGGTCAGCCTGTTCCAGCACAAGGTGATAATACTGGGACATATGATCAAAAGGTGGGAGATTGAAAATAAATCTAATGCAGTTGTTGAAAACGACAGTAAGGCGATGCATAGAGGTTTGATCGCAGGAAAAGAATAGTTCAGCATCATAGGAAGAGACAGGGAGGAGAAGAGCTCGAACTAATACAAGTCGAACGCCGTGAGGAATGAAAAGCTTGTGTCTTCGAAGCGTGAAAAGAGTGAAATTCACCTTTTTACAAATGTGGGAACTGTGGTTGTCCCACGTAAAAAATGAATTGAGTCAGCCAGCAGGTTGACCAACGAGATAATGGGTTAAACATGTGTGATAGGAGAAGGATAGAAAACTACGGCTACTGTCAGTTTCTCACAATGATAGAGCTTAAAGTCCGTGATAGACAGAGAGCGATCAGTAAAGTACTCATTCAGTCAGGTCTCCGAGAGACACAGTACAGAGATCGAGGAGCCAGAATAACAGCAGTCGCACCTCAGCTAGATGGCGTCTTAAACCACGTACATTTAAATGAATTATTCTGAGAATACTGTAACTAGAGACTGAGGAAGCAGTGTCGTGCTCATCTAGCGCAGGCAGAGGTTGGCCCTAAGAGTCAGGGCTTGCAGCGGATGGCCCAGAACGATGTGAAAGGGAGTGTGGTCCGGGAACGGCAGGGCTCAGGTCGTCATCAGGTGGGTCACGACGTATGGCTGATCCTGCGTCTGCTGTTGCCCTGTCGGATCGTCGGGAAGTCGCCTCTGCCCCTTTTTTCGTCCTGGTGTTTTTGTTCATTCAAGTCTCCTCTTCGTGACTCTTTTGCGGCTGGCAAGAAAGGGAAATTTTGCTAGTCAAGTTCAAAAATAAACTTTTCAAATACAGAAAAAAGTGAAATTTGCGTTGGCTTATTAAATTCATGCTCAAAAAGTAATTTTTTCGAAAGGCTTATTAATTCATTTCCCACCTCCGAAGCGTATTCGCTAAATTATTAATTAATGAAATGAGCGAAACGTAGAAAAAAAAGAATATTTAAGCAGATGCACAGCAGCGCCTGAAACAAATGGGAAATCTATGTAGCCAAGCGGCCGCGAGTGAATGTCATTTGTTCACATCGGCCAGCTGCGATTCTGCGGGGTTAATTGACTTGAGGCGCGAATCCACCCGCCGGCGCACGTGATGAGGAACAGCAATGCGCTGGTGAAGAGCAGCAGCAGTCAGCGGCGGAGCAGCTCGTCCAACTACAAATTCAATCCACAGCAGAATGCTGACGATGGTGAGTTTGGAAGCCGATGAATTGCTATGGAATTTAAGTGTTTTGGGCGAAAATACAACTGTTGATGACGCATATCACATATTCCGTCAAGCAAGGATATAGTTTTCATGCAAAATAACGAAAATCTATATGATTGCTTAGCAAAAGCTATGATTTTTCTGTAGACATATGGAAATTACGAAGAAAAAATATGTTTTATAAATGCTGAAATCACTAAAATTCTTCTACAATCAATTAGCAGTGGAAATACTTTTCATTTCACACTGACTAAATGATTGATTAAAGATATTCTAGCAGAATTTTTCACACAATTTTACAAAAATGTTTGCACTTCACTGAATCTGGTGGAAATTCGTCCTTAGACGACAATCACAAGGGAATTTATGGAATTTATTCACTCACGTGTATTTATTTTTCACACAAAAAAGTAGAAATAGAATTTAGGGATGAAAGAATGGTCGCTTTTTAAACTACCCCAAAGTTAAACATAATTGCATACACAATGTTTAATCTTTGGTGTAGAAAAAAAATCGAAACACTAAATTTCTCACAGAATATCATTTTTTGAAGTCTCCATTCCAGCGATGACTTGCAACGCATCGTCTGTTGTACAGAAACTCAGATTAATTTTAATTATATAACCTAAGTATCTGTAGAACCGACGAGACGCCACACAAAATATTGCAAAGAACATTGTATTTTAAACGCAAAATTTCCAAAATTTGATTTAAACAATTAACACACAAAATTATTTATCACTTCATTTACAAGATTCAGAAATCACTGGAGAATTTATTGCACCGAAACTTGAATTTTTTTTACACCAACAAAACACATTTAAAAAATTATTTCTACATTTCCTATGGGGTTGAGAATTGCTGTAATTATCATAATTGTTTTAGATTACACTTCACTGTGAAATTTAACAGAAAAATTTAATATTTTTCCAATGTAATAAATAATTTTCATTCAATAGTGATTTAAGTATAACAATTCTTTCTAAAGTAAAGCAATACAACAAAAATTAATATAATTTGTACGCAAAGTTTCGCTGTAAAAAGAAAAACCATGGATTGACGATGATAGCCTGAAAATGAGAGTTGATATATCTAGCTTAATTCGAAACTTATCTTTCATTCGCTTCAACGATGATTTTATTGAAGTTCACAAACACTTTCTGTAAGCCAAATACAGGGATTTAAGTTCGCGTCTTGTCTAAATAATTAGTGAATTATCGACACAACAGAGACACTAAAAACAATGCCGAGGAAATCGTCGGATGAAAGCCAAAGATTTATTGAGAATCCGAGTTGCGTTTGAACGATTTGAAGAAAAGAATTATTTGGCAAGTTGAGTTTGTAAGGCTGAGGAAAGGAGTGCTTTTGCACAATTATCACGCAATGATGCGTTCACTTGCGGTGCTTGCGACCAACTGTCGAAAGTCACGGAGAAGTGCGTCTTTTATTGGCATCCTTCGCAGGATTCAACCCCTTTGTGGCGGATGTCAATCAATTAAAATAAGGAAATTGATAATTCCAAGCCACATATGAAGAAATGCAGTGATTTCGCGTCTACAGCGTGGGCAATAATTATATTTCCAACATAAGTCTCCGACGCCTAGATGGTTTGGGTCAAGATGAAAAAAAACATAAATGGTTTTTGATTGCCCATCCATGGCCGAAACAAAAACCCCAACGTAAGGCCCCTCCGCCCCAACGGGAAGGACCCAAATGTGGCGATCAGAGAGAACTGGGCAAAGATCTTAAGTAGTGGGGTCCACGGAGGACCGAGGCGGGGTTTGGCGATGGTAAATGATCGCTGGGCTCAAATTGAAGGATCATTATGATTTTTTGGATTCTCCGATTTTTTTTCCTGGTGAAATTGTAAAATTACCAAATTGGAAATATAATTATTGCCTATCCAAAAAAAGATAGAATTCCCTAGAATTCCTAGGCTCCGGCGTAGGGGCCTCATATTGGGAGTTTTACTTTGGTTATGGAAAGGCAATCATTTAGTCATTTAGAATTACTTTTGTATTCGACCCAGAGCACATGCACCCTGGAATCTTATGTTGGAACTATAATTATTACCCACGCTGTACAAATCAATCAAGCTATTTGTTTGGGTGGAAATTGTGCTTTTAGCAATTCATAAACGGATGACGCTGAGACACATCCTTCTTTTCTACCTTTGCATTGGCAATGTGAATCTTTGCCGCAGGATGTCTTATTTTATTTTAATTTGGCAGGAAATTGCATGGCAAAAGGACATGTGGAGGAAGCAAATTCACTCACATGTTCATTTGCGAATGCAAAGACAAAACGCGACAAGCATTTATCGGATTTATTTCCCCCTTTCATTTCCGTTACATCCTTTTCCACTAATAATTTTCCTTCGCGTAAAATGCGTTTCACCCTTTTTAAGACAGAATTTGTGGCACAAACTCAATTATCACATGAGTAAAGATGCGATGTTTCTCGCATAGAGCAGAATTTTCAATTAAAAGATTATTGATTTCTTGGTGTGCTGAAGGTTTCCAAACCTGAAGAACATCAACATCTCATATGGCCATGGAATGAAGCTAATTACAGTAATATTTCTGTCAAGATAAAGCGAAATCCAACTTGAGGGGCGCTGAATTTCCCTCAAAGTGTGCAAAATTGAATTGACTGAAAGTTTATCGCACTCTAATTGCCATCTTGTCTTTGTCTGGATGGTTTCCAGGCAAAGGAGTCTTGGCGGCTCCCGCGGACATCTCTCCGGACGCTCCGGGCGAAATGGGACGCCCAGTTGTGCTGCCGACCAACATGACGAGCTCCATGAAGAAGTCAGTGGACGACGGATGGCAGAAGAATGCCTTCAATCAGTACGCTTCGGACCGGGCAGACACAGCGCCAATCTTCCCGCCACTGCCGTGATAATTTGCTTCCACAATGAGGCCTGGTCGGCGCAGGGAAAGAAAAGATTATTAAAATGTGCTCTAAACATTTTCTCCGTGCCAAATTCCACCCCACTTCCGGGATGTTTACAGACACAACGGACGTGATAAGCGAACACTTATGGTCAGCTGGGCGCCGCCAACTCGAAATGTGGCCAACATGTGGGTGGGGGTGGGGAGGATGGGGAGAGTGGGGAGGGTGGAAGGTGGGGAGAGTGGGGAGGGGGTGGGTGGGTAGGATGGGGGTAGGTTGGGGGGGGGGGTAGGGGGGTAGGGGGGTAGGGGGGTAGGGGGTGGGGGGGGTAGGGGGGTAGGGGGGTAGGGGGGTGGGGGGGGGGGGTAGGGGGGGTAGGTGGGTGGGGGGGGGGGGTAGGGGGGTAGGGGTGGGGGTTGGGGTAAGATATGTAGTGGGGGTGTGAAGTGGGAAGCGGGGCATTCGGCCCCGCTAAATATACAATTTTTTTGTATTCGGTTACAAACTTTACCGATTTTTAACGGGAGAACCGAGAGTCCGACTCGATTTTATAACGGGAAAATGTTTGTGACATCAACACCTTTCAAACAAAAAAAAAAGATGGGGGTGATCCGAGAATGTTCGGTAAACTGAACATATGTCGAAATCACGGCGTGAAAACATGTCAAAGTTGTGTTTTGCGCGTGAAAATGTGTTGCGCTCGAGCATTATGTTCGTGGTGTGTACGGAATTGGATATGAATAGGATTGGGTAAATCTTATCCTAACATTGGGCTTGGTGTGAAAATAGTCAAAGCTCTGTGCTTTGGTATTTGTTAAGCCGAGACACAATTTACATGCTGTCAGTTAGACAGACTGGTTTCTGTTTTACCGATTCAGAAAAACTTTCCTTTCTGCTATCTTCAACGCCACTATTTTTCCACAGAGGCCGCTGGCGATGGCGAAGGGCGCGCGAAGAAAGCCCGGGGACGTTCGGGTTGCCGAGCGCGGCTGAGAGCGGTGTGAGAACCTCAGTCATTCCCCATCATTCCACAGTGCTGACAGTTGCTCTGCTGCTCTGGGGACTGAAGAGGCACACATATCAGGTGAAGAAGTCACTCTAATTACCACAATTGCACATCAATAGTAGTGTTTAGTTGGGCGGCATCGCAACGGTTCTTGTGCATCTTCGCTGTGGCCAGTATTTGTGAGGCTCCGACTGAGAAACCTCGGCTTGTGTTCGTTCACTGCGGAAGCGCTGATGTTCCTCGTGATTTCCACTGGATGCCCAGGAATTGCAGCTCACCTGGAGTGTGATTGAGAGTCAGTGGAGTTCGCCTAAATCCCGTGGGCAGTGCAAAGTGGCTGAGAAGAGAGTTTCGTGAGAGTGATTTTGGTGCATGTTTGGAGAGGTTTTCGTGCGAGATTAGGGGAAGCTCCTATTGATTTTTTCCCTGAAGCTCTTCGCAACTCCACGACAAATTTCCACCAGAGGAATTTTTTCCTCGTGCAGAAGATTTCTCCACGTCTTCCCCGAACGAGGAAATTCACGGAAATTCCGTCATCCGTAAGGTGAGAAATTGGAGCCTAATTGGGAAGAATTATCTGATAAGATTCTTCGCGCGCGTCTTATCATGCGACATTTCTTCGTGTTCTTGTTATTTTCCTGAGATAAGCACATATTGGGAAATATAAAAATCTTGTACACCAGCAATTTCATTAGCAATCTCACGAAGGAAAATGCGACTTTCCGGTTGTGGAACGCGCTATCTTGCTTCTTTTCCCGACCATATTTCTTTTTTAGTCTGGCTGATAAAAAATAGCAGCACTTTTTTGTGCCGTCTTGTCTTCTGTCGAAAGTCACCTTGTCATAATTTCCGATGATAGTCCTGGTTTATTTCTTCTTCATTCAATTCGCCTCTTCGTGGCTCGTCTGCGGCTGAAAAAGCAAGCAAGAAAGGGAAATTTTGCTAGTCAAGTGAAAAAAAATAAACTCTTCAAATACAGAAAAAAGTGAAATTTGCGTTGGCTTATTAAATTCATGCTCAAAAAGTCATTTTTTCGAAAGGCTTATTAATTCATTTCCCACCTCCGAAGCGTATTCGCTAAATTATTAATTAATGAAATGAGCGAAACGTAGAAAAAAAAGAATATTTAAGCAGATGCACAGCAGCGCCTGAAACAAATGGGAAATCTATGTAGCCAAGCGGCCGCGAATGAATGTCATTTGTTCACATCGGCCAGCTGCGATTCTGCGATTCTGCGGGGTTAATTGACTTGAGGCGCGAATCCGCTTCAAATCGTGCTGCAGATTTATTAATTTTCAACACTCTGCCGATATTATTCACCATAATTCTGTATTTTCCGGCTGTGATTTATTAATTTCTAAACCTATACTTTGCTTTAGAAGTTGAGTTTTTTTTTAATTACTGATTTATGAGCTGAGCTTAGACAGAATTTGAATTCTTAATAAAGTTTCCTTGGAGATGCTTTTTCAAGTGAAATCTTAGAAAATATCGTTGTCTTTCTGGCAAAACTCGTCTTAAAATTATTCAATGTCATTAGGTTTCATTCAAGACGATGGATTAATGAAATTTTTAGGAAAATCACAAGCATTAAATCACTTTCTTTCTTTCCTAACATTTTGACAAAGACTTTCGCATCGAATTTTTATAAATAATTCTACAAATTGTGTTTAAATTATTCTGAAATGTGTCCTGAAAAATTATTCTGGCAGATAAAATTTTCTCCCCTCAAATGAATTTCAGAGGCAGAAAAAAAACAATTGTTCCTTGCAAAAATGCAAACAGCAATTTTCAAATGGATTTATATTCATATTGCGCCAAGTTTGATAATAAACTCGAGGATTTGGTAACAGAGAAAAAAAAACTCACTTTGCGGCTGAAAGGATGAGAAAATCCTGTGCAAAACATTCTCCACGTTTTGTTCAGCGAATAAAGCATTTCCTCTGCGAATATCTGACAAAGGCCTGTTTTTTCTGTGCGATTCAATCTTCCTGCGTGATTCTTCTTTCCGCACCGATTGCAGCAATGCTACCTGCAAAAGTCTATTGCGAGAACCTCCTCTTTTATGCAAATGTCAATGAATGGTAAAAACCTGTTATCGCGGAGAAATCACATATTTTACACACTGTGTCGTTTGATGAGTGGATTTCGTTGGGTTTTCGGCCTGATATTATTATGTCTGGAATTGAACTGTGAAATCAAAGAGGAAAAACAAGTAATTTTTTCTCAATTCTAAATAGATTTACATGATAATGTTATAGAGTAATTACATATTTGTTCACGCAACAATTTATTTCCGATGAGCGCTGCTGTTTTTATATAGGGGAGAGTGGGGTGTTTTTACACAAAGATGAAACATTGGAGGGAAATTCTATTCAACCTCTTGAATTATTCTTGCTAATAAGCATCAAAAGACCACTTTATTTCGGGTTGGGAAAATGCAAGGATTTTCAGTAGAATGATTTTTTTCTTTTCACGGCATTTTCGACCAATTTGCCCCATTTTGGGGCACATTTGGATAGTAATTTTTCCGTAATTTTTAGAGTAAAATCCAAAAGCAATGACAAAGAAAACCCTTTTATAAGTAAAGAACATTCTTTCATGGCCAATAGATGATCTAATGGAAGGAAGACTTGAAGATTTTCATTTTATTCTGTAGCAGAGACACATTAGCAGAGGCACATTTGACGGAAAATTTATTTTCTTTAATTCTCCTAAGAACACCTCGAATAACATGAAAAACGTCAAGCTATCAAACTTTATCAGCGCAAAGCGTGCAATTGAAATTGAAGATACAGAACTTCAATTCAATATTCTGTTCGAGAAAGGCGCTGTGCCAATCTACCCCACTCTCCCCTATTAAAGAGAAAACCACACAACTTACAATAGTCTCTCGAGCATCATCAGCCAAGGGGGAGTTGTATTGTTCTGGGCATGATTTTTGGCCGATTAAATATTTAATGGCAGTCTTGCGAGATGTGCTCGAAGGAGTGTGGAGGACTCAAAAAGGACACTGGGGAGCGGCGCAAAACTTTCCAATCAATTATGCAGCCGCCTTCGGTTTGAGTTTTGCTTTACAACCGCCACGGCATTCTGTGTCAAATAGAATTAAAGACGACGCGTTTGTATGTGGAGAAGAGACTATAATGTGTGCTGGCCCAGGTAATAAGTTGATTAACCTGTTTTCGCTGTGGCTCTTCCTCAAGACGCTCTTCGACTTCAGGTTTCACTCTGTGCGCTCTTGATATTTATTTCAGTATCGTACACACTTTGCTCTCTGCCTCATTCCAGCCTCTTTTCTCTCTCTCTCTCTTCCGCTCCCATCGGGAGGAATCTTCCTCTTCGCCTTTGTGTGTGCGTGCTGGCATTAGACACAGATCTTGGGTGACCTTTCGACGATTGTGGGGGGCTTTTTGGGCACAATTTCCAGCAATTGTGGCTCTGACTCTGCGATGTGCAAACATATTCGTTCGCCAACTGACCTTAGCATGGATAGTTCAATGCACCACATATGTATATATCGCGGGGAGAGTCATGCTGCAGAAATAACAGGTTTTTTGTGCAAAATCAACTCACGGAAAAAATACCATCGGGCATTCTTGGAGCATCCTCCAGTTCATAAAACCATCGCGAGGCCGCGCATGGTTAACAGTAAAGTCCGCTTAGAATGGTGTGCAGAATATCAATGGTTTTTGCCTCTCCAAATCCCAATTTGAGCGATTTCTGTGCCTCAATTTTGCTCGCTGAAAGCACATATATTCAAGTGGATATGTCAACAATGCCTGGGCGCACCTTTTATCTGGTTGAAAGGTCAATTTTGAGCTTCGCCGCGTGTTTGTGTGTGGGAAAGGGCGATGTGCATTCCAATGGAATTTGTCAGATGACTCCATAAATCCTCACTTAAGCACACAAACATGTGTTAAATCTCTTCTGAAAATTCACTTTTGCGAAATTATTCAGATGGAACAAAATATTATTCCGAGCCATTCAAAAATCCAAGAGCGGTGAAAGTGTTCAACTCGATGGAATCTTTGGGGTTCATCAAGTATTAAATCGATACTGTGTGTATTTGTATAATAAAGTCAGTGGATTGACCGTGCTCATCTTCCCCAGTTTGCCCAAAATATTTCATGACCCACAATGGCTCGTGTGAAATCTCATCTCTAAATTAGCAGCAATTTCACTGGCGTCATCATTTCACGAAAAAGAAATAATGATGAGAAGACGTGAGATTTCGGATGAAATGTTTTAGGGTCATTTCTGCCATTCTTTCCCCTGTAAATTGAAAGTCAATTGCTGCTTTATGTTAAAATGGGGGGAAAATATGGAATTTTTTTCGTTCTTCTTAAATTGAGAACAGTTTTACCTTGAATTAGACCGAAATTTTGACACACAGACAATGAGTGGATGAGATCAAGATGCCAAAGAATTTCAAGATCAAGGTTTTCAGTCACTTGCCAATGCAGAAAGTGCAGATTTTGTGAATTCTTTGAGAATCTGTTCTCAAAACGTGTCTTGGCTAAATTTATGTTATTGTTTGCGCAAGGTCTGTTGTTTAAACATGGCAAAAAACACACATTTTAACATAATGCTTTTGTGGACAAACATCTTTTCTGCAATTCCCAGAAGAATCACGGCCACTGCAGTGGTTTGTTTATCATATAACAATGATTTTCATGCAATCTTGCGACACTTGGAGGTTTGAGTTGGAGATTCATTGCTCAATTTTCGGACAATTGACTATGATAGGGTGCATTAGAGCGTAATCCGCGGTAATAATGCGCGCTCGCATTGGCCAGAGTGGGTTAATAACCTGCCGCCGCGGTCCCGCGATAAGCAAGAAGAGAGTCAATGATGCGAAGAAAATGGTGTTAATAGAATAGATCACGTCTTGACATGGCTTCGCGGATGATCTCGTATAGCAATTTACTGGTGTGCTCAAATTGCAGCTGTGAAATTGTTGAGATTGGGCAATGAAAAGGCAATATTTCTCGGTCTGGCGAGATGGAGATGCCAAAAGAATTGCGAGTCACACCGAAATTCACCGCTGAAACATTGATTTTTCTTTCACTCAGAAGTTTCTCAATAGCGTCACACTATTGGCTCTTTTGCGAGGAATTGAGGTGGTGAACAATTTTCATACATATATCAATTAAAAACATACATTTATAGCATAGAAACTTTCACAATATGCTTCTGCTGCAATAGCCAAGGGGGAAATAATATGTCTTAAAACTGTACAACACTTCCTAACACTTCTAGAACATGAAATTTGTAGTATGTTTTCACATTAATACCAAAACTATTATGAATTTCTTAAGGTTCTATTCGATATTTCTAGAAAAAACAACAAAAAATCGCTTTTTTGGACATCTTTTCCGACCATAACCTCAAAATCATCACCAAAAGATCGTCTAAAATTCCGTTTAGAAGTATTCTATATCCCAAAATCATTTCTTATGATTTGCCAATTGCTGATTCATTGTCAAAATCATCCGGAAAGACATCTAAATAGACATTTTCTAAGTTCAAATGAGTTTTTTTTAGGTTATATTCAGTCTTAGCACAATTTGCAGTGTTTCTTGGCATCAAGGGATAAACATTACTAGGATTAGCAGAATTTATGTGCTATAATACGAATTATTCACTAAAATTGACCGTGATTCGTTACACATAACCTAGAAAAAAGATTTTTATTTTTAATTCTGCGTGAGAACCGAAGGAAATTCAAAGAATCTGGATGATTAGTCTGTAAAAGCGGCACTCAGGAAGGGAATATTGTAAGTTTTTGAATACTTCCACTTCTTACGTACTTCTGCTAATCTGTACACCACTTCTGGACTGTATTATCTCCCCCTTGTCAATGGCGGAAATCAAAATAAAATGTTAATTCTGATCATTAGTGTTGGGGAAGATATTTCTTCATAATTTTCACAATTTACTTGTCACCTCACACTTCTCATCGGGAATTTATTGGTTTTGGTGTGCAAGAAGGAGAAGAAGAAGGCAAAAAAGAGGCGGAAGATGTTTTCGCGCACGTTCACCAATTCCTCTGTGATGATGATGAATATTGTTGTTGGTAATGACAAAGTTGTTCGGAAGGTGTTTTTATCTCAATTTCCCCGTTTGATGCATTTTAATGCTTGATTTTAATGTGATTCCTGCTGAACTTGATGAGCCAATCTTCATTTGCCCATCAGCAAAGGAAAGAAAAAACATTTCTTCGTCTCTCTAAATTCATTATATGATTCGCGAGACGATGAAGCTGTCTATTTATTGACTATTTCAATTTTAATGGGGTGCGCTCAATAGGAAGTGTTTGGATGAGTGAAAGAGATTCTCTCTTTCGCTCTGGAGGAAAAAAAAAGAAGAGGTTTTGTTATGCAATTTGCTGGAAGTTCACAGAAATTGCTGTGCATTCACTTTGCGTCTGAGGCGCAAAAATTGATGCGAAAATCCAAGCCAATGAAGATGAACAATAATTGTGAAAGAAAGTAAAAGTTGAATGTTGGTTGTGTGCCGATGGAAAAAGTATCGTGGTTCGTGATAAGGCGCGTGCAATTGAATAGTAGGGAGATGAATTGCAAAATAGCGAATGTGCAACATCTTATCACTCTCTGTGCCTTTCTCACGTGTCGCAAAAAAAACCAATGGGGGAAATTATGACGTGGGAGAGACGCGCCGCCACTCTTCAATATGAACCAGACACGCTGGAATGCAGGCTCAAAGAGATTTGCCGTGTGCTCTAAAAATCCCAGAGCAAAGCGCCCAAAGTTGGTGCAGACTTTGCTGTGGAGAATGCAGGAAATTGAGTGTTTTGAGAGTTTCGAAACTTTGCGAATAGAGCTTGAATCGCATTTTCAGCATTTTGAGCAGCTGAAATGCGACTCTTGAAGTTCATGTGAAAGCTTCAGAAGCGACAAAGCATTAACAATCAAGAGTTCTAGGAGATTTTTTGCTATCCAACAGAATTTCTACACAATTTGAAGGTATTTTTTGACATAAATCAAGCTCAAAGCTTCATATTGATTGTCTGTTTGAATTTAATTAATTCAATTTCTCGTTAAATTCCCTTGATAAGCAAATTATTGCACTGTTTGAGCGTTATTAAATTGAGTTTGAAACAATCAATTCTTCTTCTCCCTTACTGAAGTGAATGAAGATTGATTCGCTCAGCGTTAATCGCAATAATCAATTTTAAAGTCAATTTCCGTGCGGGGAAAATTAATTGTAATCGTTTGCGGCACTTCTGAGAGCCACTTTTATGATGCCTTATTAAACGCATTACTGCTCCTTCTTGTGCCGCCACACCAGAGAGTTCACGCAATGAAATCCGCCAAGATATAGTTTAACATACTTATATTGTTATTGTTTCTTCTCAACTTCATGGTGCAATAAATCACTTGGCGCGCAGCTTCTGTGAAATCCACACATAACGCCGCGTGTGTTTAACAACTGAATGAGCTGTTTTCGGTGATCGTTTCAATGAAATGCCAAAAATGCGACCTCAGCAATTACAGTGTCCAGTGATTTTGATGGCAATGGGCATCATGCAATTCCAGTGTGTGTGTGGAAAAAAGAGAGTAAATATTTCGTATACATAAAAATCATGCTTAACTAGGCGAAGGTTAGAATTTACTCTTTTTTTCGGCACACTCGAAAGCGTGTGAAGACACTCTCGGGCTTCTTTCATAATTCATGAAAATGATGTTTTAATAAAGTGGCGAGAAAGAGAGAGAAAATGAAGAATTAATTATGCACATTTTCCGACTGCGCGAAGACGTCGAGTGTGAGCGCAAAGAGCGAAGTATCAACAAGTTCTTCAAGGCGCGCGCGATAAGATGAGTGGAAAAAGTAGCAGAGCACCGGAAGACAAAGTGAAACAGTTTAATTGGCGTTAGACGGTTGGGTGAGGAAATGAAAACGGGCTTATCTGGGCAAGAAATTTACAAGAGAGCGAGCGCTCTTAAGTTATATCCAAACGACGAGAGGATTTTATGTGGTGTTTTTTCACACATTTTCAACATGTTTTTTTTTTTCTTTTTGACTGCTTTCCAGATCATGGGCAAACTTGCAGTCAGCGCTGAAATTTGTGATCACTAACTTCCTTGCAATTCACAACATATCCTTGCACGCGTGTGGCAAAATGTCGAGAGACGCTTCGGACGTGGAATAGTGTTTAAAGGCCAAAGACAAGTGACAGTCGTCAACACAAGTCATCAACGAAACGAAAGGGAAAATCATGAAACTGAAGCTGTCCGCGCCCAAAATGTCCTTCCTCTGGCGAAGGAGATCGTCAGTGGTGAAGATTGTGCTTCTACTCACCGCCGTCTGGTTCACAATTGCCTTCCTCATCTACTCGGAGGACAGACAGACGCGCTCCGATCAGCTGTCCAACATTCCACCGGCGCAGCACTTGGACGGTGGACACAGAGAGGAGTTCCAGGAGTTCATCCAGGAGAGTCACAACAACATCCACCCGCCGGCGCACGTGATGAGGAACAGCAATGCGCTGGTGAAGAGCAGCAGCAGTCAGCGGCGGAGCAGCTCGTCCAACTACAAATTCAATCCACAGCAGAATGCTGACGATGGTGAGTTTGGAAGCCGATGGATTGCTATGGAATTTAAGTGGTTAGGGCGAAAATACAACTGTTGATGACGCATATCACATATTCCGTCAAGCAAGGATATAATTTTCATGCAAAATAACGAAAATCTATATGATTGCTTAGCAAAAGCTATGATTTTTCTATTGACATATTGAAATTGCGAAGAAAAAATATGTTTTATAAATGCTAAAATCACTAAAATTCTTCAACAGTCAATTAGCAAAGTGAATCTTTTACATTCCACTTTGACTAAATGACAGTTGAAGATATATTAGTGGAATTTTTCACATGATTTTTCACAAATGTTTGCACTTCACTGAATTTTATGTCTTTGGCGCGTTTAATTGTGTTTTTCATTATAGAATTTCGTCCTCTGCAACAATTATAAGAGAATTTATTCACATGATTGCTTGACAAAAGCTATGATTTTTCTATTGACATATTAAAATTGCGAAGAAAAAATATGTTTTATAAATGCTGAAATCACTAAAATTCTTCTACAGTCAATTAGCCATGGAAATACTTTACATTTCACACTGACTAAATGACTGACTAAAGATATTCTAGCAGAATTTTTCTACACAATTTTCCAAAAATGTTTGCACTTCACTGAATCTGGTGGAAATTCGTCCTTAGCAGCAATCACAAGGGAATTTATGGAATTTATTCACTCACGTGTATTTATTTTTCACACAAAAAAGTAGAAATAGAATTTAAGGATGAGAGAATGGTCGCTTTTTAAACCGCAACAATGAGAAACATAATTGAGTACACAATGTTGGAACATTGTTGCAGTGAAAAAGAATCCAAACACTAAATTTATCACAGAATATCATTCTTTTGGCGTCTCGATTTAAGCAGTGACTTGCAACGCATCGTCTGATGCACAGACGCTAAGTAACATTTCAATTACAGTAACTAAAGCTACTGTGCAACAGAAGATACGACACTTTCTTCGTGATGACAACTTAAGAAGAATTAATGAAACACCGTTTTTTACTCTGTCTCAATGCACGAAAGGTAGCAAGTATATCATTTCCTGCGTTGGAACAGACCAAAAAAAAGAGTTCTTTTGCAACTAATTATGTTGGATTCGTTGGATTAATCACACAAAAATATATATTTTGATAGTTTTCAACCATTTATCATGTTGATAAAGCTATCAAAGCATATGTTTTGATGTGATTTTACGCCACAAAAATATCACTGACTGAGAATTCAGCATTTTCTGCATTGTGAAGATTTTTATCACAAAAATATCACACGAACTGTATTTGTCACGACCATGATGATTGTAAAATAATCAGAAATCACTGTGGAATTTATGCTCCGATGCGTGCACGATGAAACTTGATGGCCAACTGGCATATTCTATCAAAGGATGCTCTTAATAAACGCTCGGTGCATCTTGCAAGACATTGTCTATTGTACAGGATGCTTATGAGGATGTGATGTGAAGCTTTCAGCTTAAAAGGTTGCCAATCTAATAAGGATATGTTTTATTATTCTACAGGCTTCGTGCAGGTGAAGTTCCGCGATTTTTTCTCAATAATTTAATCAATTCATCAGTGTGTTGTTGCAGAAACCGCGAGATTTCCTTACTTTTTGCATCGTAATAAAGTTTACTTCTTTCTTATTCTTTTTGCTTCTGAAGTCTTTCTGTGAACTAGATTTGCAAGACAATTTGCGAGGATGGAAATAACACAAAAATTTGAGGACAATTAACGAGTATCCTTAAAATATTCCAAACTAATTTAATTTTGTAATTAGAACAACAGAGAACCATATCCAATAAAAATTCACACTATCTTTATAGAAAAGCAATTATCATCATAATTGTTTTAGATTTAAATTCACTGTAAAATAAAAATGTGGATAATCATACGCTTCGCGTTTCGTTCTCTAATAATTCGATTTCGAAATTTCGAAAATCGTATTTTTGACTTTAGCGCCTGTAACTGTTGTCCTTTGAAGTTATGTTGTTCAGATGGGAGATGGCATTTTATGAGACCTTTCCAATGAATACAAAATCATTCCGATCGGTTAATTAGAAGCGGAGCTATAACCGTTTTAAGTTTCGAAATATGGACCCTAAAATCTAGGGTCTGGAACGACCTAGGTCCTTAAGTAGCGGTTCGTTGGAACGGTCTTGAAGTCAGCTATATCATACTAAAATTTGGGCTCAGTCCATGCTTTAGGGGCTGAACAATTGAGAAAAGTGTATTTTGTGGGTGTTCAAAATGGCGGTCGTAGGGGTTGAATTTGACAAAAAAATCTTCATTACCACTGCATACTTTTAACCTTTGCCACAAACCGCATGTCGATATCTCTTACCGTTTAGGCCCCACACGTCCGTTTGTCACGACGGACGGACGGACGGAACGACAAACAGGCAAGAAAAACAAAAAATGACCCCCCACCCGATTTTCATCATATTTCCACATTTTACCATTACTTGAGTCGATTGGGGTTATATATCCCAGCTAATAATATGTTTTATGAATGTTGAAATCACTAAAATTCTTCAACAGTCAATTAGCCAAGTGAATCTTTTACATTCCACTTTGACTAAATGACGGTTGAAGATAAATTAGTGGAATTTTTCACATGATTTTTCACAAATGTTTGCACTTCACTGAATTTTATGTCTTTGGCGCGTTTAATTGTGTTTTTCATTATAGAATTTCGTCCTCTGCAACAATTATAAGAGAATTTATTCACATGATTGCTTGACAAAAGCTATGATTTTTCTATTGACATCGTGAAATTGCGAAGAAAAAATATGTTTTATAAATGCTGAAATCACTAAAATTCTTCTACAATCAATTAGCAGTGGGAATACTTTTCATTTCACACTGACTAAATGATTGATTAAAGATATTCTAGCAGAATTTTTCACACAATTTTACAAAAATATTTGCACTTCACTGAATCTGGTGGAAATTCGTCCTTAGACGGCAATCACAAGGAAATTTATGGAATTTATTCACTCACGTGTATTTATTTTTCACAAAAAGAAGTAGAAATAGAATTTAGGGATGAAAGAATGGTCGCTTTTTAAACTACCCCAAAGTTAAACATAATTGAGTACACAATGTTTAATCTTTGGTGTAGAAAAAAAATCCAAACACTAAATTTATCACAGAATATCATTTTTTGAAGTCTCCATTCCAGCGATGAATTGCAACGCATCGTCTGTTGCACAGAAACTCAGATTAATTTTAATTATATAACCTAAGTATCTGTGGAACAGACGAGACGCTACACAAAATATTGCAAAGAAAATTGTATTTTAAAGGCAAAATTTCCAAAATTTGATTTAAACAACCTTTCCGAACATAATCTCTACGATAACCCATCGATTCCCATGCAAAATAAGCTTCTTGCAAGATTCTTAACACTTAAAAATACACTTTCTTCCTCATAATCTACGAAAAAGTATGTGCGAATAAGTTCTTTTCTGATTTTTTTTTCATAAATCTAAGAAATAAGTGAAGGTAGTGTTGGAAGTGGAGGAAGTGTCAGGAGTTCACCATACAAACTTGGAAGTGTTTGGAAGTGGTGTACAGATTTTAGGCAAATTATCCCCCCCTTGGGAAAACTTGAGGGTCTAAGGGAAAAAGTGAGGTATCGTTGAAAAACTGATGACTCAAGGAATCAGAAAACCACATTTTAAGAAAGGGGCAGAAAAATGTGTGATTTTTGTTCCCTAAGTGTAATATGTTGGAAAGATCACACAAAAAATCTATACTTTGATAGTTTTCAACAATGCATTCTTATCACGCTGAATAAATTATCAAAGCATAAATTTTTTTGTGATTTTACGTAACAAAAATATCACACACTGAATTTTCTGCAATTAACACACAAAATTATTTATCACTTCATTTACAAGAATCAGAAATCACTGGAGAATTTATTGCACCGAAACTTGATTTTTTTTACACCAACAAAACACATTTTTAAAATTATTTCTACATTTCTTACGGGGTTGAGAATTGCTGTAATTATCATAATTGTTTTAGATTACACTTCACTGTGAAATTTAACAGAAAAATTTAATATTTATCCAATGTAATAAATAATTTTCATTCAATAGTGATGTAAGTATAACAATTCTTTCTAAAGCAAAGCAATACAACAAAAATTAATATAATTTGTACACAAAGTTTCGCAGTAAAAAGAAAAACCATGGATTGACGATGATAGCCTGAAAATGAGAGTTGATATATCTAGCTTAATTCGAAACTTATCTTTCATTCGCTTCAACGATGATTTTATTGAAGTTCACAAACACTTTCTGTAAGCCAAATACAGGGATTTAAGTTCGCGTCTTGTCTAAATAATTAGTGAATTATCGACACAACAGAGACACTAAAAACAATGCCGAGGAAATCGTCTGATGAAAGCCAAAGATTTATTGAGAATCCGAGTTGCGTTTGAACGATTTGAAGGAAAGAATTATTTGGCAAGTTGAGTTTGTAAGGCTGAGGAAAGGAGTGCTTTTGCACAATTATCACGCAATGATGCGTTCACTTGCGGTGCTTGCGACCAACTGTCGAAAGTCACGGAGAAGTGCGTCTTTTATTGGCATCCTTCGCAGGATTCAACCCTCTATGTGGCGGATGTCAATCAATTATAATAAGGAAATTGATAATTCCAAGCCACATATGAAGAAATGCAGTGATTTCGCGTCTATAAAACCAATCGAGCTACTTATTTGAGGGGGAATTGTAGCAATTATCAAAAAGGGTTGATTCTGAGGCACATCCTTTTTCCAATACCCAAGGGAGAGATAATATTGTCAGAAGTGGTGTACAGTTCAACAGAAGTATTTGAGAAGTGGAAGTATTTGAAAATGTGCATTCTAAATGCCTTTCTAGGTTATGCAAGTAATTTCAAGCATAATTTAGTGATAAAGTAACATTGAAAAACACTAATTTATGCCACTTTAATTGGAATAACTAATATTCCCTATCAAAGTTGAACGTTTGTGATCAAATAAACTACAAAAAATTATAAATTTTACTTCAAACTTGAAACTAAACTTAACTTTAAACTTAAAATATTTCTTAAAAACTAGTTTCTCAGTAAGTTTTTTTTGTGGGTCATAAAGTAAATTTGAGTGTTATGAAGACAAGAACTCCTAAATTTGAGATTAGACGGTCTGTGATTCCCCGTGAAAAATGTGAAAGTGTCAGGAGGTTGTGTACACTTCAGCCCTATTATCTCCCCCTTGTTCACATTTTCAAATTAGCTGTATGAATCTTTGCCGCAGGATGTCTTATTATATTTCAATTTGGCAGGAAATTGCATGGCAAAAGGACATGTGGAGGAAGCAAATTCACTCACATGTTCATTTGCGAATGCAAAGACAAAACGCGACAAGCATTTATCGGATTTATTTCCCCCTTTCATTTCCGTTACATCCTTTTCCACTAATAATTTTCCTTCGCGTAAAATGCGTTTCACCCTTTTTGAGACAGAATTTGTGGCACAAACTCAATTATCACATGAGTAAAGATGCGATGTTTCTCGCATAGAGCAGAATTTTCAATTAAAAGATTATAGATTTCTTGGTGTGCTGAAGGTTTCCAAATCTGAAGAACATCAACATCTCATATGGACATGGAATGAATCTAATTACAGTAATATTTCTGTCAAGATAAAGCGAAATCCAACTTGAGGGGCGCTGAATTTCCCTCAAAGTGTGCAAAATTGAATTGACTGAAAGTTTATCGCACTCTAATTGCCATCTTGTCTTTGTCTGGATGGTTTCCAGGCAAGGGAGTCTTGGCGGCTCCCGCGGACATCTCTCCGGACGCTCCGGGCGAAATGGGACGCCCAGTTGTGCTGCCGACCAACATGACGAGCTCCATGAAGAAGTCAGTGGACGACGGATGGCAGAAGAATGCCTTCAATCAGTACGCTTCGGACCTGATATCTGTGCATCGAACTCTTCCAGATCCGCGGGATCAATGGTGAGTCACTGGGCGTTTTGTTCTCTGAATCAGTCGCTCCAGCGCGCCAATTATCTCTCATCCGTGGCTGTTCTCGTGCAGGTGCAAAGAACCGGGCAGACACAGCGCCAATCTTCCCGCCACTGCCGTGATAATTTGCTTCCACAATGAGGCCTGGTCGGTGCTGTTGAGGACAGTGCACTCGGTTCTCGACAGATCTCCGGAACATCTCATACAGGAAATCATTCTAGTCGATGATCACTCGAATATGCGTGAGTTTACGATGCTCTCCTGTCCTCGATGCGTCACTCACTCACTCTGCTTCTCTCTTCCAGCGCACCTCAAGACGCAACTGGACGAGTACTTCCAGGCGTTCCCCAAAGTCAAGATTATCAGGGCCCAGAAGCGCGAAGGACTGATCCGGGCGAGACTCCTCGGGGCGCGGCACACGGATGCGCCCGTGCTGACGTACCTGGACTCCCACTGCGAATGTGCGCCTGGTGAGTGAGACACAGCGTGGTTCACGAGGCGAACACGTAGGTTCGCTTGTATCTAAAAACTTCATTCAAAATATTTTGACTTTAGAGAAAATTATACAGAGATAGTGGTCGGTAGAGACGTGAACTTTGACCCTCCATATCTCCCCTCCTATGATTTCAATCTTTATGATTGGGGGTTTGTTTGAAAGGTCTCAATCTCGCCTACAACATACTAAAATTTAAAGAAAATGCACAGTCTAGTTTTCGGGATATTCGATTTCTAGACTTTTAAAATGGTTTTTTCGACTTTAGCGCTATAAAATAAAATGACCCCTCTTTATTTCGTCAGATTTTTTTTTCATAATTAGCCTCTCTGATGTCATTTTAGTCGATTTTGCGACATTTGATTTTTTGAGCGATTACGCTCAGCTCAATATATTATTGACGATTAAGACGATTAATGAATGGAAGAGCGCCGCAAAGTGCGGGGAAAAAGTTGAAATTGATGGAAACTTGTTACAGTCCGAGTGAATTGCAGTGGAAAAAACTTTAAATAGCAAAAATCTTTCACGGAGAATGAGCGCATTAATGAAAGTCATTAAGGGAGTTGTTTTAAAACTTTGAGTAAATAAATTAAGAGACGGTAAAAAAATTAATATGAAATTGGATTAGTTCGTAAAAATGGCAATAAAAGTTCTCAACGAGTTAGCAAAATAACAGTTAATAACATAATTTTTGCAATATTCATGATTTTAATTGAATTTATGTCAGCATAAATTAGCGTAGCAAAGCAAAACATTAAATTCTGCATATGAATTTTAGTATTAAAATTGTTGGGTTTGAATTTGAGTGAAACTTTCGCAAATTTCCTCAAAATTGTTTTTCTCATTAATTAGTTTTCAAATTGTTTGGCTGAATTAGCACATTTCCCCGCGACATTACTGAAATATGTTGCTCTTTTTTTTATGCTAATTACTGGACAAACACCAACACTTGATGATTGTAAAGATTATAATGGTGATAAAGAGTGTCGCAATGTGTTTATTTGCTTTCTATATGAGCAAAAGCAAAAGGGGGGAAAAATGAAGAGAGAAACTCGCGAGCGCATCATAAAATGCGATAAATATTGTATTTAGTGATTGTCAAAGGGATTCCAGGAATGATATCTCGGACAAAGTGAAGAGAATCTGCACACTGTTGAATCTAATTGCGCTGCGCCCTTTTTTTCTGCTGCAGAAAGAGCGGGAAAATATGTCAGAATGCGACATGAAAAGTATGTAATATTTTGCCTCTTTTTCACTCTCGGCACAATCTGTAGGATGGCTTGAGCCACTCCTCGATCGCATCGCGAGAAATTCCACGACTGTTGTGTGTCCCGTTATTGATGTGATTGACGACACAACGATGGAGTTCCACTGGAGAGATTCTGGTGGCGTGAATGTTGGCGGATTCGATTGGAATTTACAATTTAATTGGCACGCTGTTCCAGAGCGCGAGAAGAAGAGGCACAAGGTGAGGAACTGCATCCCCATTCATGGCGCTCAATTTCCCTTCACACACACGACGCACTCTTTTTGTCCATTCGGCAGAACTCCGCGGAACCTGTTTGGTCACCCACGATGGCCGGCGGACTGTTTTCCATTGACAAGAAGTTCTTCGAGCGCCTGGGAACTTACGATTCGGGCTTCGACATCTGGGGCGGTGAGAATCTGGAGTTGTCCTTCAAGACGTGGATGTGCGGAGGAACACTGGAGATTGTGCCGTGCTCCCACGTTGGCCACATCTTCCGGAAGCGCTCTCCGTACAAGGTAAAGTCAGGCAAACAGAAAGGAACTATTATTACTGACAGCAACACCTCTAGCGATGATCAGATGAACTTTTATTGCTCTAAAAAGTTGTAAAAAGTGAAAGTGAAAGAGTGAAAAATTCCGTGTTTATCCTAAGCTTACATTTCTTGTGCTGTTTTTGTCATTGACAGTGGCGAACGGGAGTTAATGTCCTGAAGCGCAATTCCATTCGTCTGGCGGAAGTGTGGCTCGATGATTACGCTCAGTATTACTATCAGAGAATCGGCGATAAGGGCGAATATGGCGATGTGTCGGCGAGGAAGAAGCTGAGAGAGCAACTGGACTGCAAGTCCTTCAAATGGTACCTGGACAACATCTATCCTGAGATCTTTATTCCAGGCGAGGCTGTGGCGTCTGGAGAGGTAATTTTTGTTCACATTTCTCTATTGAAATTAATTTCATGGGTGAAAAAAAAAACAAGAATCTTTCCGATATAATAATTGTCCTGAAACAATTTAGATTCGCAATTTGGCATTTGGAGGACGAACATGCCTTGATTCGCCGGCCAGGAAGAAGGATTTGAAGAAGGCCATTGGCCTCTATCCATGTCACAATCAGGGTGGCAATCAGGTTGAGCATTTTCCTATAACAATTTCTCACTGTATTTTCTCGATTGACACTCTCGGTTTTTTTTTGTGTGAAAACCACAAATTCCTCATCATACTTCTTCTCCTTGTCGCGCGCGGTATTTTCTCGTGATAAATGGCATTTTCTCGTGCAAAACTGGAGACGCAAGATTGTGGTTGTTGAAGAATGTGAGATTTAAAGTGCGGAAATTGGATTATTTTGTAGATATCGAACACCTGGAGCAATCTCTGTCTCGATTCTGCGGCAAATCCAGAGGACATGCATGTGCCAATCAATTTGTGGCCCTGTCACCGACAAGGTGGAAATCAGGTACAGGACGCCGAAGATTGTCTCTCTCTCTCTCTGTCGTAAACATAATTTTCAATGGGAGATTTGCCCATCCTTGGCGGATTTTTCCACAAGAAGCGCCTCGAAACACAAATTCTCTCTCTCTCTCTCCTTTACTAACCATCTTATCCACTTTCTGCTTCGTGTCTTGGCTTCTCCAAAATCCCTGTGAATATAGGACATTGATACCTTATCAATTGGTATAACTTGGCCGCGGAATGCATATCCTCTGGAGTTGGATAATACAATTTCTTCCGCTCTTGCATTCAGCAAAGTATAATATATTCTATAAACTCGCTTGAAGAATGATGAAGACACTCTTTCTGGTTGAAGTATGGTGAACCTTTTGCCCTTTTTTATGATTCTTGATGAGACATTGCATGATGAATTCCCATTCCGCCATAGTAAGTACCTCAGCAATTAATAATTTAAAAAAAAATATATCCTTTGAATGCGCGATAGGAGGAAATGTTGGATGGGAAGTTCAACAAGAGCATGACGATTGCGAGATTTGTCCGACGGAACAGTGTATGTTTTACGTAAGAGAGTTGAAGAAAAGATAAGACGATGCATAATCTATTTAAAGAATGTGTGCTATCTTAATTGAAATTCCCAGAATTTCTATGTTTTGGAAGCAGTGGCGTAGTTTTGCATGCACAGAAAGAAAGAATTGGTAGGAATTTGTTAAATTTGGTAAAAAGAAACTTATGAAATCGTATGGAAAAATTACAAACATGCTAGTAAAAAACGGTTCCGATAAATATTTGTCAAAATTTGAATTCTTTTGCCTGTAATTTTTACCCGTTGTTCGTAATTTATTGTGATTTCTTATAAAATTTTCTGGGATAATTTTATTACTGAAAGAAATTATATGCATATATATATGTATATATTTTCTTAAAACTCTAACATTTTTCTTCTTCTTTACTAACTATTTACACAAAATGTTATCAGAGTTCTAAACTTAGAAAATGAACTTGAATTTGACTTGTAAAATGATATGATTATATGAATTTATTCCGTCAATTATGAATGAGAATCTATTTTACTTACAACAAGAGATTTTCGGATTATTAAATACTTTTGCATTGTGTGAGAAAGTGAAAATTGCACTCTGAATCTTCTGTTTTTCTTGTTCTGGAAGACAACCTTCAAAATCAGGAATAAACTCACATTTCTGAAGACTATTTTCTTCCATCTGTACACAATTTCTATGACGAAGAGATCTTTTTCTCTTCATCATTGTAAATTTATTCAATGTAAATTCAAAATGTCAACTACGTCACTGCTTGGAGGACATTCTCTATAAATAGAATAAGTAGATGCAAAATAAATTGATGTCCAAACGTTCAAGAATAGACTAAAATGTATTCGTTTTGTAGAAATCTTTTTGTGCTGTACTAAAAATAGATATGCTAATATTTTGTGCAGAAAATCTATTTCTATGCCAAGTGAAGGATTGAATTCCACAATTCAATCATCATTCACTGTCTCTCGTTGAACTTAACCCACACAGAATGGTAAAAGGTGGTAGTTTGTGGTTTTCCTCGTTGTTTCAATGTTTCCTGTGATGGCGAAAAGTGATAAAGAGATTCTAATGGGCATTTTGTGTGATCCTCTTGACAGTACTGGATGATGAGCAAGACTGGGGAAATCCGACGCGATGAGGCGTGTCTGGATTATGCTGGCCAAGATGTCATTCTCTATCCCTGCCACGGTTCGAAAGGCAACCAATTCTGGTCGTACAATCAGGACACGAAGCAAATACGCCACGGTTCGTCGGAGAAGTGCATTGCCATCAATGAGGCGAAGACGAAGGTGATGATGGAGGAGTGCAGCGCAGAGAAGGAGCATCAGAAGTGGCAGATGCAGAACTACGATCCCAGCAAGTACTGAAGAAGTTGTCCGGAGCGAGTCTCCTTTTGCCATTTGTGTGGCGCTCAGCGGTGTGGTCTTGATTGACTTCCTGTTGATATGCCAAGACTTCCTATATTGTTTCGTGTAGGGTGAGAAGAAGAAGAAGATGAGATGAGATAAATAGGTAGTTCTTCCCCAATTTCCATGTTATGCTTGTGATTTTTAAACCGCGATATTTGTATATATATATAGAGAGAGAGAAGAAAAAACATCAAACAATGGACCTAATTACTTATAATGCAATATATTTACGCATATCTCTTTAGTTCATTCTTTTATCGTCTGCCTAATATTGTGCGGGAGTATTTTTTTTTTATTGTCGTATTTATTTGTTTAACAGAGTATTTAAGTGGTAAAAATTACTGCCGAAAAAATAGAACAAAAGACACAGTGAAAGAAGAAAGTTTATGATGAATGAACAAGTAGAGAGCTTCCTAAGTGAGAAAGACAGAGAAAAAGTATTTTGAAAAGTAAGTCAAATGCAAAGACGGCTCAAAAGGCATTAATTACAGGTTATTATTTTGCACAGATAATTCCAAGAAGAAGAAGAGCTCAAAGTTGTGTGTTGGAAGACATTAAGAAGAAGAAATTACAAGTATTAATTATAGTGAATCATTTTGAATAAAATAAAAACATATCCAATATTGAAACAACCGTGAATGTGATAAGATTGCGGACAAAATATCAATAACTAATCACATTTCGATACAAATTATTCCTCTATCAGAATTCCAATAATATGAAGAATCATTACAAATTATATGTGAAATAAAAGAATATCTTTGACGTGCGCGGAGAGACTGATGAGAGAAATGTTGCAAAAGCACAGTTGAGATAACAAATTTAGCCGGAGTAAATTAGATGTAGATTAGATTGTAGGGTGAATTTTGTTTGATAACTCCGTACTTAGTGGGGCTGAATGGGTGGTGAAGAGAGTTTAATAATAATTTGTGCATCTCTGCACAATTTAGTCGTTGACACACACAGAGGACAAACAGTAACATTTTAGATATTTCCATAAACGAATTTTGTCAATAAATAGCAGTAAAATCAATTAACATTCCTAGAATTTTGAAAGAGTTTGTAAATAGAAAAATAGCATAAAATATCCATATTTCTGCAGTTTTTTTTTTTGAATTTCCCAACAGAATTCAAAGTGTAGGCGTTATTTTGTAAGGATTCAGTCACGATCATTGAGAAAATGTGCCTTCTAGCTATTAAGTGTAATGTTGTAAATAGTTTTCTCATTGAGAATAAATTGTGTATTTCATTTCGATAACATGACAAGAAGTCTTTTCACTGCAATTTCCGGCGCAAAACCTCCCATTTCTCCCCCCTTTGGATGTCAGGAGTAATGCAATATTGATTAAATGCCATATGCAGATGGCCAAATAGGGCTCACAAGTGCAGGTGAATGAACTCTGCTGACTCTTTGTAACATTTTCCTGCACAACACAGAATAAACACAGCTTGAGACTTTGAATATGTGGCGAAAATTTTGCCAAATAAAGGACAAAATCCTTTACAGAAACTTTATAAATAAATAACAAATTCACGAGTCGTTGCAACATTACGGATTTACGTATTTCAATTCGTAAAAACTAGCAATTTGGTGTTGCAATTTTACATTATCATAGCTTTTATTGGCGTCCGCTTGGTGGCGCTAGTGTAAGGTACGAATGAAATACGAACGAAAAGGTGTTGCAAGGCAAAGTTGTGAGTTTATTTAATATGAATTTCAGCTGTCAAAAAGCCATTTCTGACAATGAATTTAAATCAATTAGTTTCCTTGGCTAAAGCTTGAAACATTTCACGACTCGCATAAAATTCATCCTTTTCACAAATGTTATGAAACACAATCAGGAAATTAATTCAACACTTCTGCCAATTTGGAGAGCCTGAAGAGGGTTAATTTACTGTGCAGTTTTAGGGGTTACAGGGTCAAGTTGCTGTGGTTTCTTGGAAAAGCGCGGGAAAGTGCGTGGATTTTGGGGGTCAGCGGCGCGCGTGTGTGTGTGGGCAGTGAGTGGGTGGCCAAGAAGACTGGCAGCCACTTTCGCTTTCCGCTCGGCGGCCGCCGCCGAAGCGCTATTGATCGGGCTATGTGACAGAGGGGTGCGTGTGGCAGGGGCACGGCACCCCACCAGTCGACTGTGCGCACTGGGAACGATGCGGAGCCACCTGTTTCGCGACGAGGTGCGAAGAAGGGCGCAGCATGGGGACACCACAACTCAGTATCAATTTATTTAGCGTGTAGACAAGCTGTGTTTTGTATTATTTCGTAGGGCCACCATCACTGGATCTGTACTGAAGATTCTCTGCCAAAAAGCATCCTCAAAAAGTGCCTGTTTCACTCCTGTTTGTCGTGCAAGTGAGAGTTTTTAGTCTGTGAGCTTTTTTCGCACCCTCTGGCGACCACATCTCAAGGATTCTGTGCTCCTCATTTGGCTGTCCACCCAGGAACACACTTGCGCCCATTCACACATTCGACGCTCGGCGGACAGATCGGGAGAGTGGGCAGCTCATCCGGCGGCCAAGGGAGTCCCCATTGGGAGCCAGAGTGTGTCTAATTAGGTTGTCGATTTTTCCGTTGAAGCGCAAGCAGATTCATCGATTTGGCTATAAAAGCCCCGTCGCTGTGTGCGTGAGCGCGTGTCGTGGTGTGCGAGCTTCTAATACCCTGGTCGAACCTCACCCCGCGCTTAATCCCCAGCGAGGAGCAGACGCTGCAACAGGTAAAAATGCTAAGGGTGTTGCTATTGCGTCAAATCGCCAGCATGGCTGCGAGGGTGACTCTCAGCCTCTCGAGCCCTTTCCATTGCCACAAACTGGGCCGGATGAGACACTCCAGTTCTCATGGCAGGATGTTGTGGGGGTAAAAATAGATTGACTGTTAAAATCAGCGCGCACGACCCATGATTATAGCGAGAACGTCGTGGAGGAAATTCACTAATATCCTCTTGCAAAATTGATTGAATTTCCCACCCTTCAATTGAGTGCATTTTCCACATTTTCAGGGCCACTCAATTTCGCCTGGCAAGGAGGATATTTGCATTAGGGACACCATGGCAACAGCGCTTCCCACCGCCGTGCCGTACCATCCGTCGCTCTTCAGTAACGTATCCCCTTTGTCATGTCTTCCATCCCCAAATGCCAAAGCCTCATTAGCCATTCAAGAGCAATTACGGCGTCTGCAGAATCAACTGTCGCATCGATTAGCCATTGAGAGCCGCGCTTTGTGCGCGCTTTTTGTCTTAAACATTCCGAGGAAAATGCAGAATTCACGTAACCTTCAACTGCAGATGTTTCTGAGAAATGGCAGGAATTTCAAGGGGAAATTGCATGAAAAAGGACTCCATATGTTTTATGTAATTCAAGAGACGCAGAACAATTTCAATTTAGAATAGCAAGGAGTTGATTTTGCAGTTTACTATAAACGTAAAATGATTGTATTTTGAGCTTTAATTCTCGTAAATTGAACAATGCGTTCAAATTGCACTTAAAGCTACACGTGAATGTAATAATAATAATTTATCAGCTTTAAAGCTTACAAAATATCACACGGAAAACTTTTCATAATTACATTGCAACAGTTTGACTGGTTTTACCCCACTCAAAGGACACAAAAAGGGGAAAAACACATCGCTTAATTGAGCAAAAAGTGATATTTCCGTTCACAAAACATCCCCTTTGGATGAATTGACGCTCGTGTAATTGCGTTGCAAGTCAGTAACTGGCATTAAGCGAATTATAAAGTTTTTCCGTGAGCGACGATTCAATGCAGAATCCTTGTGAATCGATGGTGTTGATGGAAATGTGGAAAAAATTCAAGCGCAAATTGACTTGCAGGCATGACGGCGGCCTCATTTCCCGAGGCTTTTCCCTCCACTTCCGCCGGCTATGGCGGCTGCTTCGACTCCGATCTGTCCATCTTCGAGAACAAGAGCGGCCTGGCGGAGGACATGAAGTTCCTGGCCTCCATGCCAGAGCTCTGCGACGTGACGTTCCTCGTGGGAGAGACGCGGGAGCCAGTCTGTGCTGTGAAGGTCAGACACTGCGCAGCTTCTCCCGATCTTGCATTAATGTCCGCTTTTCTTGGACTTGCAGGCTGTCCTGGCGGCGCGCTCGAGGGTCTTCCAGAAGCTCCTGTACCAGGCGCCGTCGCCGCAGAGGCGCAAGGAGCCGCCGCAGCGCGAGAACAAGCTCAGGCTCTTCCTCAAGCGCTCCTCGGAGCCGCTGCTGAACCTGCAGAACGCCGCCCAGCAGGTAGCTACGAGGGTGGAAGCGCTCTTTCGCCTCATCCTTGTCTTTTAATTTCTTTTGTGTCCCTTCTCGTGCCCCCTTCCGTGTAAAGAAGATCCTCTGTGTGATGGGTTTTCGGGATGATATGGCAATTGGTAAAAGGACGCGCTGGAAGTTCTCAAATTGAGCGGTCGAGCGGTGATTGCCGATAATTGGCGTGGGTGGAAACTGAGTGTCCTCAGAGTGTGTCCAATTCATGTGGTCACTTTACTCGCCGATGCACTGGCAATTAACGCAACTCAATTATGGCGAAGCATTTGATGTTCGTTTGATGACAAATTTGTCACTCAAACGCCCTAAATATGCACAAAGTTACCACAACGTCGCGTGTAATTAAATCGGTTCTGTAATTTGGTAATCGATTTCAGAATTTCCAGTAGTCATTTTAATGTATAATGATTTGTGTTTTATATGGTTTTATGCCACAAACATGAAATAACATATTGATAAACACTATAAATAGGAAAATCTCTGAACACAAAGCGCATAAAAAAGCACATCAACTTCACGTGCTGAAAGATGACTTGTAAGCGTCTTTTGTGTAACAATCTTCCACACAAAGATGTGCAATATTGAATGAGATGTATTTTAAGCTCTGCAATCCATTTGTAGGTCTTCCAATGACTCGTCGCTCTTTCACTTTCAGTCATATCTTCAGGGATAATTCGCTCAGCTTCTCAGCACAGATTTAACTTGCAAGCTGAAAAATTCAATTTTTCCGTGATGAAATACAAACAATGCCGGGAAGTTTCCAGTAATTTTCCCCTCTGTTAATCCTTTTATGCAATTTTTCACGCTGATCTTCATAAGAAGCCTTGTTGAAGTTGAGTGAAAGCTCAAAGACTGCAATCTGCAAGAGAAATTCTTTCTTTCCGTCTTCATTTCCTCCCTCTTTTCTCTTGTGTACACAAATCTTGAGATGTCCTGCAGCGACTAAATCATTTTTTTTTTTCCTCTCAATTGCGGGAGAAATTATTTATTGATAAATCCCTGAGGATTTGCGGCCACGACGACCATTGATTCCTTCCACTGGCTCTCCTCCACATGCTCACAAATCAATAAATTGATTATTCATGGGGTTTTTCAGATGTGCGGCTGATTGTTCGCAATTCTGCATACTTTCCATGTCACAAAACACACACACACAAATACACACAACCACTCACGCACACCTACACAAATTGTGACTCCAAATGTTCTATTAGTTACATAAATGTCGCTGTAATTTATTGCTGGGTGTATATATTTTTGATACACAATTTTTCTACGTGACTTTGTTGCTGGGAAATTTCTCCATCACCTAAATTTGTCTTTTATTAAAACATAACATCTTGTTGATTCGAAAAATTATAGAGAAGTGGATTTACGCAACAGTTAGCGCCAATACCAGAGGTAAATACCATGAGAAAAGCTCACGGTTAAGCACAATGTCGGAAGTTCTTTTTCTAACGTTCATTCTTCTTTGCATAAGTTTATACATATATAAAGTATATAATTCTATATAGTTTCACATTTTCTCTGTTCTCTTCATGCTTCACGCTCTCATTTAATCACATTTTTCTCTCAGAGACACTACAATTTTCCGTCCTCCAACATAGATTTTTTTTCTTCTTCTTTGAATAGTAAAAAAAAAGTAACAGTAAAGAGATAAAAAAAAACACTTTCCAAGCACATGGCTTTTAAATTGAAAATTTTCCTTGCAACAGGACAACAATGTGTGATATTTTCAATGGTTACATTGCACTTTCATGTACATAAAGTCACCCAATTATCTCTCAATGTTGCATGTTCATTATGAAAAACCACACTGCACATCATATTTATAGACGCACTGACACTATTAGACTTCTCAGGCTGTTCTGCCATCACTAACTCCACCCTTTTGAAACCCTCTCCAGCCAACCGGACATCAGCACCAGACGCTGATCATTGAGGAATTCGAGCCGGACGTCTTCAGGCAGCTGATCGAGTACATTCACACCGGCGGCGTGACGCTGCAGCCGCGGACGCTGCTGGGCGTCATGAACGCCGCCGACTACTACGGCCTGGAGGAGCTGCGCAGAGCCTCCGCCGGATTCGTGCAGTACTGCATCAACGTGGACACGGTGTGCGCCTTGCTGGCCTCCGCTGAGCGCTACATCCAGTACAAGTGCACCAAGAACCTCGTGCAGAAGGTGCTGGAGTTCGTGGACGAGCACGGGAACGAGGTGCTGAATCTGGGTAGCTTCACCCTCCTGCCGCAGCACGTGGTGCGACTGATCCTGGCCAGGGAGGAGCTCAGAGCCGATGAATTCACCAAGTTCCAGGCGGCTCTCATGTGGAGCAAGAAGTACTGCGACAGCAGCCCGGTGAGTTGATCCACCCCTAAATGATGGCAAGCATTTGAGTTTTCAATCCCTCCTTTCCAGGCGAACCCTCTGAAGGAGATCCTGGGCAACTTCCTGGAGTACATCCAGTTCCACAAGATACCGGCGAATGTGCTGATGCGGGAAATCCACCCACTTGGCCTTGTGCCGTATTCGATCATCATGAACGCACTGGCCTTCCAAGCTGATCCCGCCAGTGTGGATCCGGGAAAGTTGTCGCCCAACTCCAGCCGAGTGCGACGAGCGAGACACGCAAAGGGGCGCTCCATGTCCGTGCAGAGCTCCCTCGATCCCTATGGCTCCAACACCACGCTCAGCTCCACCGGCAGCAGCGACCCGCCGAACGGGGCCAGCAGCAACTAGCATAGGTCGAACGGCCCCTCCTCCAAATCCTCCTCCTCGCCGAAGATCCGCAAAGCCAAGTCCCAGAGCTTCCGCACCAGGCGCAGTCCGTCTGAGCGCAAGAGCAGCTCCTCGGCCTTTGCGCCGACGTCCGGTCAGCTCAACCTGGCCATCGAGCGCGTGGGCAGCAAGAGGAGTCCCAGCGGAGTGTCGCCACACGACAGCAAGAGCCCCAGCAGCACGTCCCAGAAGAGCCCCATGTCCCTGTCGCGCCAGAACACCGTCCGGCAGTCGCACAGGCGAAAGAACAGCACGACGCCGTCGCTGAACTTGCAGGGCCGGCGGAGTCCCTGCGGAGCCGCGCCCGAGCAGCGCAGTCCGCAGGGGCGTCGCAGCCCCGTCTTCCTCAGCTACGAGCCGTCGCGCTCGGGACACAGAAGTCCCACGGACAGGAGGAGTCCCACGTCCTCCATTCACGTGCAGCAGCAGTCCGGACACCGGAGCCCCATCGACTACGAGCGACGGAGCCCGTTGTCCGGCGTGGCGCCTCCGCTGGACCGGCGGATGTCAGGAGGAGTTTCGCCGGATGAGAGGAGGTGAGTTGACTGTTGTTTCCACCGATAGGGGCGGATAATTGGCCTTGCTCGCTTTCAGAACTTCTCTGCAGCAATCCCTGATCCTCGGGCGACGCAGCCCCATTGGATTCTCGCAAGGCATGATGATCCCGCTCACGCCCAGCCGGAGTCCCACGGTGCCAATCCCACCCATTACGATCTCCAACCCTTCGGAGACCATCGCCATCATCCAGCGCCAGGTGGAGAGCAACGTCGAGTCCTCGGCGGACGAGAAGAGTCCGCCGCCGGCGGAGCGGAAGGAGAAGACCAGCGTCATGCGCGAGATCCTGGCGTTCGTGCGGAAGCCATCGAAGAAAGTCACCACGCGATCCAGCAGATTCGCCGCGGCCTTCTCGAGAGCCGAGTCGACATCAGGAAGTCCTCTGCTTCGCCAAAGCACCTTCTCTAGCGCCCCCACGGCGTCCAGCCGGGCGGCCAAGAGTGCTGTGACAAAGCAGATGTCGGAGGTGAGCTTAGAGCCGAAAATGTCGCAACGCTTCAAGAATCTCGCTTACACGACTAAGCTGTCTCTGAGACTGCGGCGCTCGGACACCAGCAAAGCCAAGGATGCCAAGAAGTCCAGCGGAGAAGAAGCCAGCGACGTGGAGAGTATCTCAGACACAAAGGCAGTGGAGAAACTGGGATCCAAACCATCGCTGAACAATGCAAACGGTAGGAAAATCTGCACTTTGGGTTCGATGTCTGGCTTAATGTTAATCCTTGTGTCGCAGGTGGATTGTCGTTTGAGCTGGAGAACGTGCACTTCGAGAAGGTGGGCGATTCCTACATCAAGCACGAGCAGATCCGCGAGGAGACCATCGAGGAGTCCAGTCCGGTGAAGTCCGTCTCGAGCGGCGAGCGCCGTCCGGAGACGCTGGAGCCGAACGTGATCGTGGTGAGCGGGAAGACGCCGCTGCAGGAGGAGACGGAGCGCATTGAGGAGCTGAAGCGGAGCCTCCTGAGCCTCCTGCCGCCGGTGGAGGGCAGTGTGGACGACCCCACACAGGAGGCGGCTGTGCCCGAGTTCACACTGGAGAAGCCTCAAGTGCCTGCCACGGCCAAGATGCAGTGTCCCACTTTCGAAATCGAGCCTCCGTCCAGGCGCGCCTCCTTCGATCCGCCTCGGTCGCCCTATCTGGAGAACCTACGCAGTCCGGCCGGCCGAGACGATGCGAATGGCGTGCGCAGGGATTCGGGGGCGGATAGTTTCGAAATTGTGGACACGGATCGCAATCGTGAGTCCAGCTTTGAGGATCGCTACTCCTCCATCGACACGAGTTTCGATATATCCAGGTGAGAGAGACTTCAATCCGCGATGCGCGCCCCAGCAGACACGATGCCAATTCCCTCTCTGCTCTCCAGGTACCACTCGACGAGTTACGAAGATCAGACGTCCAGCTTCGAAATGATGGAAGCCACTCCCGGTGACAAGAGATCACCTTTTGATCTCCGTAAATCGTCGATTGAGCTCGTGGATGTTGAAACGTTCCAGCAACGCTCAGGCGGCAGTAGCGACGGCCGGAAGTCCTCCCTGGAGACGCACTTTGACTACACGCTGCCCCACGGCATGGCGAAGCACTTCCACTCCCGCAAGCACTTCCACCAGCGCGCCCTGCCACGGGCGCGAAGTCCTCTGTCGCAGCAAACCTCCTCCAATTACAGCTCCCGCGACTCCTACGACTCCGCTTCCGAGCCGCTGGTGCAGAAGCGCTTCTCCGGCTCCAGGAGCCCTTTCGCCGATCCCACGCGTCAGCACTATCCTCTCCCGCCGCGCTCGCCCTGCACCGGCGCGGATGGGGAGTCCTTCCTGTGCATGGATCAGCGCTGTGCCGCCATCTTCGAGCCCAGGCCGCCGCGCACCTCGTCGCCCTATCTCACCTGCTCCAGCGGCAGCGAATTCGAGCCGCCGTCGCCGCGGCGCGCCTCCTCCGTGTCGCCCAAGCACACCTTCACGTTCCGCATCGTGCTGAAGAAGGTGGAGAGCAGCCCGGACGATCTGTGTCCGACGCGAGAGCCGCGCAGGGGGCGTGTGGATCGCCACAAGAGGCGCGACAGCCGCCGCAAGAGACTCCTCGACACCGGCAAGAGTTTCTAGGATCTAAGGAACAACTGTCCCACCATCCTCGGTCCCGGTATCCAATGCCTTATCCGCGGAAGGATTTTCTGGTGAAAATTCCTCTCACTCAGCAAATGCGCTCGCTTGCAATTCTCATTTTAGCACACTCAAATTATTAGCAACTTTGCAACAAAACAAACAAAGAAATGTATGGTTGGAAGTTAAGTAATTATTATGAATTGTTGTTACTGTTTGCAAAACATAAGCTAATCATAATTGCATTATATATATACATAATGATATTAGGACAAAACGTACACTGTGACAATCCTCAATGTTACTTAATAGTGAGTGAAAAATTATAGAGAAAAAGAAAATGAGATGTTTAAGGAGTCTATAAATGACAAATCTGATAACGTTTGGCAATGATTTCGCAACAAATTGAGTGTTTATAAAACTCTACTTGTTAATATTCCTGTGATTGCATGACAAAAAGTGTTTCTTCATGGACATTAAACCCAGATAATCTTCATCGTTGCATTTGTCCCATTGACTAATTTTAAATTGATAAAATATCTTTGTAAAATAGGGAATAAGAATATTTAGTAACTCAAATTGCAATGTAGTGTTATTTGTTACATCAACCTCGAGATGCTCAATGTTTGGAACTTTATTCGCTCCGAGTTGAAGAGCGAAGAGCAAAAAGGCCAAAAGAAAGGTGAAGAAGAAGAAAAAAACTGTATAAAGAGAGAGAATTACTTAAGAACTATACACAAAATGCCTCGTCATAGAAAAAGATATTAGGACTTATCAGTCAACAATGAAGAATGCGCGAACACGTAAATTTGAGATATCACAAGGACAGGAATTTTATATGTGCAACTTTAATATATTTATCGTATATTTACCATGGATTGATAATAATTATTCTAAAAGGATAGGATTGGGATTGAGTGTGTGTGTTGATGTGTTATACAAACCAAACCAAAGACGCGTTACTTGATAAATCGGAGAGGAATTTGAGAAGAATAATCACATTAATTACCTTTAACTGTGTGACTGTAACATTTTAGCTAAACACGTAATTTTAGCAGAATTTATGGAGAAATTCAGTGACTTGCAAAGCCGTTTGACTTTCAATAGTCGAAAAAGTTGAAAAAGACACTTTTTCCAAACCAATCATCTCTTTTTTTTACACAAATTTAACTCCTTAATTATCTTGTCAGTGATATTTCAGCAATTAGACTTAGAAATTTTACTTTATCACAAAACCCAAATCGACGAGTGCCTCAAAAACTATCAAAAGTCGAGCGAGTTCAAAATTTAGCTCAAAATACAGCTTCAAAATTTGCTAAATTTACTTCAAAACGCATTCAAAACGTCCGTTAAAGTGCAAATATTGCTTTGTATTTATTATTTTGTAAATATTTTAGTTGATTTTATTGGTATTTATTGGAGTTTTTGACTAGAATCTTAAAATATTACTTTCCAAAGTCGATTTTTAATGGTCTTCGAGTCGATTTTATCCACACAAGTTCTAAAAAATCAACTTTTCATACTTTACTTAAACTTTTCTTTACACTTTTCAAGTAAATTTTTTTAAAAGATATGAGAAATCTTCATTCAAAGATTTAAAAGTCAACTATTTAGGATGATTTTAAAAATCTAACATTATTTACTGAAAAGGCGTTTTATGCGTTTGACTGCAATTTTTGAGACATTTTTCTTGGAAATATTGTTCAGCGTAAAACAATGAATATTCGTCTTTTCATTCGCAAAACATTATAATTTTTTCCCTTTGTGCTTTTTTGATAAATAAGATTTTTTTTATTATTGTCTCATGAGATACAAATCTGAAAATTTTTGTAGCTTTTCAAAAATAACATAAGACGTAAACTATGAACAAATCGACTTTTCATCGTTTTTCAATTCACCCGTCGAAATACGAAAACCCTTGTGAGCCACACGTTAATTGTTTGTTCAAAGATAGAATAGAGGAAAAGGACAACTAAGAGGATAGAAAGCAAAGAGAATATGTAAATGAGAATATCTCCTTTTCATGCCTTACATGATATAATCTTACATTATTGATCGTATAAAACAATTTATTGAGTATTTCTAGAAGTTATTGAAATATACATTTTTACTATAATGTCCAAGAATTGTTGCGCATGTAGAGTTTGATGAAACAAAAATTCGATGGCATGAAGAGATTTCAAAAAAGAATACAAAAAAAAATATATATTTTGGCAGAAATGTTCATCGTTGTTATTTTGGTAAGAAAAAAAAATGTGTCAAAAGGAACTTCTTGGACATAAAGTGAAAAAGTTTAGATGGAAAATAGTGGAAGAAGAAAGTGAATATATATTTTATTAGCCAGCTGGATTTGGGGCCGTTTAATAGACATAACAATTATAGATAAATTGAGAATGTTATTGATAATAATTCCGATTGAAGACATCCATGTTAATAAGACGTTGAGGCGTAAGTTAATATTGATCTACTCGTACTATCGACTTAATCGTGAGAAGTATTCTTAGCTTGTGTGCAATTATATTGTGGGTGTCGAAGATGAAATGTCCTCTTTTTTTTATTATACACTGAAAATATGATCATATCTTATATATATATATATATATAGTCAGATTTTCCCGCTCTACGAAGGCTGTTTCGGTGAAGGAAATTTCATTCTGTACTTATCAGAAATGCCAAATTTATCACTGAATGTCAAAGTTTCACACTAAAAGTTTAATAATAATATTCCACAGGAAGTTTGCATTGTAATTGCATAAATGTAACTGAAAAATTGAAACTGTTTTATCAACCACAAACCAAAGGTTTCGTATAAGTTCATGTTCAGGTGAAAAATATATTACTGTATGTACACAAAAAAAAACAATCCATCTGTATCTCTTTCTTTTTCATAAAGCCCTCAGACGTCTTTATTAATTATTTGCAAAGATTTATTATTTATTTGCAAATTTTCAGCTTAACGAGAAAACTCATACAGCGTGGACAATAATGATTGCTCCAGCATCGGTCTCCAGGGTCGAGGTGGTCTGGGCTAAAAAGAAAGAAAAAAAACCCAATTATGGCGTTTGATATCGTTTGTATCGTCCGTGATTATGAGGGTGAACCGCAGGGGTGCCTCATACACTTGTAGAGAATCACGCGGCTTGGAAATTCCCACGATGCTGACTCGACGAGTGTTCCGCATGGAATGTGATGATCCAGATTGAAGATTAACAATGTGCTTTTATATTCGGGCGCTTCCCTGGAAGTCTGAGGAAACTCTGAATGGAATTGTTTATCGCTTCATCCGTTTCATTGGGACAATATTTTCATGTCATTTTGGACAGGCCAAAAGATACGAATTTCAAAAATTCCTGGCGCTCACCATAATATCTATATTCTCTTCTTAACACTAATTTGGTGTAAATATGGTCACTATGCTTTACGCCCAATTTCTGGAGCTGCTGAAAGTGCATGTGTCAACTCTAAGTACAGGACTCTAAAGTGGAATCTTCAAACACACTACAAAATCCTGTACCTTAAGCCGACGCGACACACGATTTTGCGAAGATTTCGATTTACTGGGCGTTCCGGAAAAAGCTTGGAAATTCGAACAATAATGCTGAAATATCGTCTGAAATATCATATGTTGAATTTTCTTAACGTAATTTCACATATTAATGAAACCATGTCCGTTAAAAAGTCATAATATTCAATAATTATGAAAAAAAACGCAAAGAATGAAAAAATTGCGCAAGAGAGAAAAACATTGAAAAGTCGCTTTCAAATTCGCTCGTCGCTTTTTCTAATTCACCTCAGCATGGATATATAAAAAGCATTGTACATATATGTAAAACCAAGCCAAAGCTGTGGATAAATCTTGTCCTAGCAAAGACGTCTCAACAACCGCACAAGATCAAGAGAGGCGGCGAAATCCGTCGAAGGCGCGCGGTTGCGTTGGGCAAGAAGTCAGACGGGAATGCACGTCCTTTTCGCGTCCGCAGGACGGGAAGCGAGAGCAGGAAGCGTCGCTGGGACAAGTCGATTCACTGGGCGTTTCGAGAAAGCACTTTTCTTCAGTTCAGGATTAAGACACAGCGGCGCGAGGCACGGGCGGGCAGGGAAGCGACAAAAGGAGCAGGGTTGAATGAAAAACTTACGAAGTAGAAACGATCCATCGTGAAATGCGTCTGGGCGCCAAGTTTCCCTGCACACAATCCTTGGAGAATTCACAGTATTTGCAAGCACAGGAAGGAGCTTTCAACGCGTCCGTCCGCACTGAATGCCGCCAATGCACTGATGAACAAACAGGATTCTGTGCGTGCACTTTTGGTGGCCCGAAAAATACGCGCATTTAATTGAATTACGCTTTGTTTGTCAACCTTTCATCTCACAGAAGGGAGAATCGGGGGAAGTTTGGGAGGTGGACATTAAACGGTTAATAAACAAGGTATTTACATGGATGAATTTTCCACCGTAATTCAATTTATGAAACATTATTATTCGCATATTTTCCGATGGGGAAAAAGGAATGAGCGAAAGGATCAATTTCTGTCATATCCGTACTACCGTTAATGCAATTAAAAAATCAATTAAATGCATGTTACTAAAAATGTTGTCGTCGTTTCAATTATTCATCCATTTTTCCAGTTTCGAAAGGTTTCGAGATCAGCTATAACATACTAGAATTTGGGCCCACCCCATACTGTAGGGGTTGAACAAAGTAGAAAAGTATTTTTTGGTAGTGTTTAAAATGGTGGCCAGAGTGAGTGGGGGGTTGGATTTGACGAAAAAAATATTCATTAGCATTGTATAAAGAGTGTGAAAGAAATTGCTTTACATAAATAGCCTGCGTAGAGCGGGAAAATTGGACTTTTCCAGATTTTAGGAAGCAATATTCGAAATTAGAAATGACCAAAACTCCAATTCTAATTTCCATTTTAGAATATATAGAATATATATTCATTTTTACACTCATAAGACGAGCTGTTGTTATCAAAGATTGCGTCCACCGACGTCTGAGTGTTGATGACCAACCTCCAGAGCAAAACGGTGGGAAAGCTCTTTCATAGGTATTTTCTAATATGGTCACTATGCTTTACGCCCAATTTCTGGAGCTGCTGAAAGTGCATGTGTCAACTTTAAGTACAGGATTCTGAGATGAAATCTTTTCACACACTTCAAAATCCTGCGCTGAAAGTCGCCACAACACACGATTTTGCAAAGATTTGGAATTACTGGGCGTTTCGGAAAAAGGTTGGAAATTCGAACAATAATGCTGAAATATCCTCGTATTCATATGTTGAATTTTCTTAACGTTTTTTGACATATCTGACAACTTAATGAACTCATATAAATTTCATTGTGTTCAACAAATATGTCAAAAATGCAAAGAATTTTATTATTGGCACAAGAGGAAAAGCATAAACAAGGAAACACAATTTCACTGACAACTATTGAAGTCGCTTTCAAGCTTTGGCGTCACTTTTTCTAATTCACATCCTGTATTGTGCACTGTTTGAAATACAATTATGAAAGTCTTAGCAAATGCTTCTACACTTACCGATATTCGATAACCGTAGAACCTAGAAACGGCGTGTCTATAATTGGTTAAATAGAGAGAAGTTAGGTTCATCCAATGGACGAAACAAATAACACATTATTCCTAGTTCAGAAGAGATTAAGATACATGATTTTTGTAACTATTTCTGAACCTCGTTCTTCATTACAAGTATATTGGTTAACATTTGCATTTAAACATTTATGTAGAACATCAAACAATCGCAACAGTAACATTTCAGGCAAATATTTTTTTTTAAATGGGGAAACGTGTAAGAGCGTTTAGAAGAATGACTGAAATAGCAGTTCACTCATTAGATTTGGCGATAATATGGGTGATAATTCCGTTGATTTGTTGATGACTCAGAAGTTTCTGCAGTATTTTGGGCAAAATATTCATAATTCTCTGCCGCTCTTTGCCTCACAATGCAATGATAAATGCCTCTTAGTCCAATCAGCGTTCGTGGAACTTCAGCGTAGAGATTAAAAGCATTGTATATGTAAAACCAAGCCTCAGATTTGGCTGCTATGCTAAAAACAGTCCTGTCTCGGGAATTTAAAATCTCCTCATATGGTTTTGCAAAGTGCATAAGTAAATCCTTTTCATATTCTGAAATGTTAGGCGTGCGTTGGCGACGCTGGAAGTGAAGAGAGTAAAAGCCTTTCACAGTACGACTTGGAAAGCGTTCTGAGAAGATTTAGCTTAGTTAAAAAGATTGACGTATTTAGAAATCAGCGAGTGGCTTTTTCGACAGACAGAATGGCCTCAGTTCTCGCCACTCACTTCTTGTCCTTCTCGACGCTTCCAGGGCTTTTGCATCTTGCATTCGAGATGGAATAATGGGGGTGAATTTCGTCGCTACATAAGATCAAGAGAGGCGGCGAAATCCGTCGAAGGCGCGCGGTTGCGTTGGGCAAGAAGTCAGACGGGAATGCACGTCCTTTTCGCGTCCGCAGGACGGGAAGCGAGAGCAGGAAGCGTCGCTGGGACAAGTCGATTCACTGGGCGTTTCGAGAAAGCACTCTTCTTCAGTTCAGGATTAAGACACAGCGGCGCGAGGCACGGGCGGGCAGGGAAGCGACAAAAGGAGCAGGGTTGAATGAAAAACTTACGAAGTAGAAACGATCCATGGTGAAATGCGTCTGGGCGCCAAGTTTCCCTGCACACAATCCTTGGAGAATTCACAGTGTTTGCAAGCACAGGAAGGAGCTTTCAACGCGTCCGTCCGCACTGAATGCCGCCAATGCACTGATGAACAAACAGGATTCTGTGCGTGCACTTTTGGTGGCCCGAAAAATACGCGCATTTAATTGAATTACGCTTTGTTTTTCAACCTTTCATCTCACAGAAGGGAGAATCGGGGGAAGTTTGGGAGGTGGACATTAAACGGTTAATAAACAAGGTATGGATGAATTTTCCACCGTAATTCAATTTATGAAACACTATTATTCGCATATTTTCCGATGGGGAAAAAAGGAATGAGCGAAAGGGTCAATTTCACCTCCCATCATATCATGCATCTCTCGCATCATTCGTTAATGCATGTGGAAATTGAATTACTGCATTTTGCCAAAAATGTCGCCGCCGAAAAGAGGTGAATGCTTATTCACTTCCGCCGAGGGTTGAGGAAAAGAGGGTTCTTGCAGTGCTACAGCATTTAGTTATTTCCGCTGCAGCTCGAATCAATCAACGTGGGAAATAATGGGCTCAACATGAAGGATCATTATGATTTTTGGGATTTTTCGATTTTTTTCCTGGAGAAATTGTGAAATTTCCAGGTGGGAACTATAATTATTTCCCACGCTGTATTTTGTGCGAGTTCAAGTGAAGCGGGCTTTCGCGCGGCTCAATCGTGCAAATGAGAGAAATCCTTTTCGTGCTAATCAATGGAAGCAACGATTGCTAATGTCATAAATGCATTTTCGATTGATTCGAGCTGCAGCGGAGATAACTAAATGCTGTAGCACTGCAAGAACCCTCTTTTGCTCAACCCTCGGCGGAAGTGAATAAGCATTCACCTCTTTTCGGCGGCGACATTTTTGACAAAATGCAGTAATTCAATTTCCACATGCATTAACGAATGATGCGAGAGATGCATGATATGATGGGAGGTGAAATTGACCCTTTCGCTCATTCCTTTTTTCCCCATCGGAAAATATGCGAATAATAGTGTTTCATAAATTGAATTACGGTGGAAAATTCATCCATGTAAATACCTTGTTTATTAACCGTTTAATGTCCACCTCCCAAACTTCCCCCAATTCTCCCTTCTGTGAGATGAAAGGTTGAAAAACAAAGCGTAATTCAATTAAATGCGCGTAT